ACATCAATAAACATAACGTTTACGTCAACTAGCAAACGGCACATCATTCACATCATGCTATCAATATCAATACACATAACATCAATAAACACAACGTTTGCATCAACTAGCAAACGACACATCATTCACATCATATAAATATAATATTAGCACTCAATAGCAATAACACATCATGAGCACAACGATTATTATTCAACTCACAAAAATGACGTCTTCGCCGTTTATCAATGCGTCGCGTCTCGCACCTCACGCTCCTCGGCGTCTATAAACACATACACATATACTTTTATAAGTCATTTTATCATGATCAAACTTCTAAATATGCTTAAGGTACAAAATATGACTTTAGGGTTAACTTATTCCTTTATGGGTACTTGACCCCTTTTCACTCTTTCTACCATAAGTCTCAAAATACAGATTCAAATGATGCAATTCTAGTTTCACATGAAACTAGACTCATAGAGCTCTAACATATCCAAAAATCAAGTCTAGTTACAAAATACACAACTTATGATGATTTTCTAAAAATCGGAGTTGCTCGCCATTTGTTTATGGGTACTTGACCTCTTGACAGTTCACACTCTTTGTACTATAAATCCTAAAATACAGGGTAAAATGATAAAATTCTAGTTTTACATGAAACTAGACTCAAAGGGGTCTAACATATCCAAAAATCAGCCCAATATGCCATATACATGATTTATTCTAGATTTTCAAACTCTAACTAGTTTCCAAGCACCCTTGTTACCGAGCAGTCTCCAAACAAATAACAATAAATCTAGATTGGGACATGATCAAGAACTAATTCTTTTTTTTAAAAGAACTAGACATATCAATATAAAACATATCCAAAAATCAGGTCGAAATACTCAACACCCAAAGAATACCATATTTTTAAAGTTTGCACGCTAATCTGCAAGCATCGGATCACCTGAACAACATGTGTTCAAACCATCATAACCCGAAATATAAATTACTAAATACAAAACCCTTTCACAGAGAGCTATATAAGACACAAACCAATAATTTTTATTCGTACAACTTGTTCCAGATATGACCCTAAAGTCTCGAAATCAAGAGTGCAAAAGTGGGATGAACTTACCTAGATTTCAGATCATCGAATTTGACAAAGAAATGGGTTTTTCTCTCTTCTCTCTCTCAAAACGGGAAACCAGATGGGATAAGAAGAGATAATGATCAGGTAAGCAATCTTGATAAGGTTGTGAAGATATTTTGGCAAAGTTCATTTTGGTCCCTCAAGTTTTAGTTTGTTTTTATTCTAGTCCCCCAACTTAGATTACATTCAATCGAGTCCCTAATTCTTCCTATTATTCCAAATACTTACAATTGATCCCCTATTTCTTCCTATTATTTCAAATACTTATTATCCAATACCCCACTAACATGTCATATGCGAGTATAATTATATGCGTGTAATTTCTAAGTATGCGTGTATGCATGAACGATGTATGTTTTTGAAACGGGGTTATTACAATTATACTTTTATTGCTTAAACATTTGATCAAGTGAATTGCACATAGCACATATTAAAAAAAAGCACAATAAATTAATACAATCATATACATACTTGAGTCGCTATTTAATGTGGAAAAGAAAATCTTCTTTAAAAATTAAATCCAACAATTAAATAAGGAATTTTTCATAAAAATAAATCCAACCATTAAATAAGGAATTTTTCATAAGAAATGCATAATAGTTTCTTTACTTTACAAGTTTGGGCATCAAAATACAAGCCAACAATTGCATTTAACTTTGTTTGCAATTACTTTTGAAATTGATTATCATTTATAAGCATGACATACTCTTACTATATTTGAAGTCATGTACGTGGTACATTTTGTTTTTTATACCCAATACATTTGTTTAATGTACTTGTTTTGATATAAACAACTAGTATGATATTTATGATAAAAAATCACCAATAGACAACGATAAAAGAGATATTTGAATTGTAAAGTAAATTATAAATTAGTCCATCTTGTTTTGAGAAATGAATCAATTAGTCGCGTTTTGGTTTAAAAATTAATTTTTTAATTTTTTAATCGGTGTTGACTATGATTAATTTAATTCTTTTTTATTTTATAAAATTCATTCTTTTTATATTTTTATTTATTTTTTATTCCTTTTCTTTTTCTTACAAAATAAAAATAAATTGAAAAGTAGCAAAAAAGACAAACAAATTAGTTTTTGAACTACATGGACTAATTTATAATTTGCTCTTGAATGGCAATGGCTTCTCTACCAAAATAAGAAGGTAGGAAAAAAAAAAATCAAAGACTGGAGCATTAAATGCCCTGATTGAAAAGATAAGGAAATGATGGAAAAAGATCCAAGAATAAAATTAAAAGGAGAATCAATCAAAGATAAGTATGTAGTTTCTCAAATCAACTAAGTAACAAAAGAAAAATTAACAAAAAGATAAGAGTACCAAAACCAAGCAACCACCCATCTGCATGAAGACAAAAATAAGTTAAAAGGCACCAACATGGCAAAACCGACAGTCAAGAAAAAGACGCACCTCTAATGAATGGTTGAGATGATAAAATAAAAAAGTCTAAACAATGCGCACAAGTCACTGTGAACAATTATTCTGAGTCTAGAACTACAATAAATAAATAATATTCAAATAGGTTAATTTATTCTTATATAAGAGTTTAAGTTTTTAATTTCTATTTCTGTTTTTAATTGTATTTTTTGTGTTCTTAAATAAGGTTTAAGTCTTTAAACTGTTCTTTTCAATTTTAGTAATTATTTTCAATTTTAAATATATTCATTTTAAAATATTTTCAATATAAACATAGATAGAATTTTTTATTAATCTTTTGGATCATAAATAAATTTTTTATTCTAAATATTCCTAATTAAAATGAAAAAAACAGAGAGAAGATTTTACCAATGTCGGTGATTGAAAGGCTTTTTCGTGCACAGAGAAAGCTAGTTCACATAGTCGGGCTAGAGGTTCGATTTGGTTCGAAGTAAAAGTCTACCTAGTTTCCGGCTAAATTTTCCTAGTTGGGTAGATAGTGACACATTTTTCATAGGTTGAAATTAAGAGTAAACTATAGATTATCCATACAATGCCACAGAAATAATCTCTTGGATTCTTGTTATATATATATATATTAGTAAGTTAATTGGTTGTGTTTTTGTGAATCACAGGTAACTTTGCTTACCTCTCTGCTAAGGAGTTGACAGTAGATCACATCCAGGTAGATGGGATGACGAACTCGAATTGAAGCAGCTGGTGGTGGTGGTGTTGATGTGGAGGGGCCGTGGCTCTGTGGTAGGCTCCCTATGTCTCGAGCCATTGGTGATGGTGGCTTAAAAAGGTTCGATTCCAAAAACGCAGTGTCAGATTTTAATGTCTTTATTCTCTTGACTTTTATATTTGAACTCCTATGAACTGCTAATTCTATCATTGCTGGTCACATACATTTTGCCCTTATTAGTTGTAATTGATTTCTCGCTCTCTTATAAACCCTATGTTGCATACCAACCAGGATTTTTGTTCATGTAGAGGCAACTAATAACTATTTCTGATAAGAAACCTCTTGTTTTTATCCAGATTTGGCTTATAGCCGTGCCAGAAATGACGGGTTGGCTACGTTGGAGTCCAATGCCGCCTGTTTGGTGGTATCTTCAGATGGCATATTTGAAAGCTTGACTCGCCAGGATGCATGCCTGCGATCTTTTATGGGCTGCAGATATCAATCGAGATTAAGAACCGGAGCTATCATCTTGATCCCCATGTACGTCCTCTCCATCACTAGCGAAATGCATAATCAAGACTGCAAACGGGAGAGGTAGCACAGACAACTTATCAGTCATCGTAGTTCCACTTCGACAGGCTGCTTTTTCTTTGATCCGTGAAAGAAAGCCGTGATGATGGATAAACCTCTAGTGAATGTCTCTACAGAATGTTAGAGCTGGACAGAAATATGCAAAATTTTCTCTGAAAAGATTTTTTGCAGCAAAAAGATTACAGGAACTGGATCAAAGCATTACGGGTTGCCATGCTAATAAAATTTTCACTGTCTGGATTTGTCCCTTTGTGTCGGTTGAAATCGGTAAGGAGTTGGCTTAACAATGAGTAGCTAGTTGCAATCTTTAAGTGGGGGCATGAAGCTTAATATCTGGCATAAAGAAATATGTTTAATTGATTCAAAAAGACCTGTCGTTGATTGAAGTTTCAAATTTGGAATATTCAATATCTCAACTTAAATCACTGCCAATGAATTAGGGTCGGCAGTATAGCTCTGGCACTTCTTACAAGTTACCCTGGCAAAAAGATCCATGTTGAAAAAATAGGTCCAATAGCAATATTGTAGAAAAATATTTAAAACATTTTAAGAATAAATGATATATATTTGATTTCAAGGGAATTCCAGTGAGGAGTGATCAAAATTGGCATCCCTTTATTATTAGCTTTTTATTAATTGAGTATTTTTACTATTAATACGGTTAATGAGGTCCCTTTACTGTATATCCATTAAGCTGGAGCCCCTTAATCTATGAGACTAATAGGTTGCTGAAATAAAATCATGTTTTCTTCGGTTCTGAATATATAATAAATCAAAAAAAAAAAAGTTACCAAAATATGAAAACCCAATTTTACTCTTGTATATATTAATCTATGGGTTAAGGATTTTTAATTACGAAAGAAAAAAATGATTTTAATTCAACGATCTGCTATTCCCGCGATACTGTACACGCGTCACGCTGTTATCGTGACAACACATCAGCTTTACTGGTCTCATCGATTAAGGGGCTCTGATGTGAATAGAATATACAATAGAGGAACCGCATTAATCAAAACTCATTAATCCGATGCTCTAAATATAAATAGCACCAGCCTTTGGCGGCAAAATCTTAAAGCTACTAACGTAATTACCACGCTAATCAGAACCAGTTCTTTTCTTCTCCTCTCTACTCTGCTCACCTTTTCATCTCGAAAACCTAAAATTCGATGCTACCGAACAATGGATCTGGTGATCAATTGGAAGCTATTAGTTTTAGGGTTTATCATTCTCAACCTATACACAGCACAACTTTGCGTCGGAGAATCATCGACTTGTTTAACGGTGTACAAAGAAGGAGGTGCAGCGGCAGTGTTTCAATCCCCGAAATGCCCTCGCTGGAACTTCCCGAATTACGATTCTCGACCACGCTCCACCGCCACAGCTACCAGTAGCCGTTGCCAATCAGCCTTGCTTCGAGGCCGAAGAAAGTCTCAGGAGGATCGCACTCTCTGTGCTCTCGATTTTCGCATTCCATTTCCTGGTATAACCACAGTTCTCTTATCTTGTATTCTAGATCTTTTAATTTGCAGGCTGTGACTTACGGTTTGGGGTTGTGAAATTTTTAATTTAGTTGGAAGGTTTTTGTGACGTTTAGATTTTGATGTTGGAGCAGGTAAGGTAGGGGTTAAGGAGGTTGTGGTTGGAATTGTGGCAGTTTTTGATGGTCATAATGGTGCAGAGGCTAGTGAGATGGCTTCAAAGCTTTTACTGGAGTATTTTGCTTTGCATAATTATTTTCTTTTAGATGCAACATATTCTTTCTTTTTCAAGAAATCAAATGGAAGGTTGCCGAATGAGGGAGAAAAAGATGTGGATTTTCAATTGCTAAATCGGGGTGAGGAGTTTGGTCAGCGTGAATTGAACTTCGAAAGGTGCTTTAAGAGTTTGTTTCCTAGTGTTAAATTCGAATAATTCTTGTTATTGTTATTAAATTAACATTTTACTAAAATATTTCATATATGCACGCGTGGAGGCACATATATGCTCATAGTGCCTGCTCACTCTCACTCAAGCACGCTCATTTCTCTTTATGTTTCTATTGCATTTCTTATTTATTGTCAATATTTGTTTTCTAAATGATCCTTTTCAGGTTTAAATTTTCTCTGCCAACAAATGTTGATGATTCTTTTCATTTGGATATCTTGAAAGAAGCATTATTGAGGGCAATTCATGATATTGATGCAGCATTTTCTAAGGCAAGTTGAATAATGAATTTGATGCGTTTCTGCTTGTCTGACTAGAGTCCTTGCGTGCATAACCTTTCTGATCTTTTCTCTTATTCTTATTTTTTTTCATTCTATGGTAATGAAGGAAGCATCCAGAAATAATCTCGATTCAGGTTCTACAGCCACTGTTGCATTGATTGCAGATGGCCGGATTTTAGCTGCCAACATTGGAGACTCAAAGGCTCTTTTGTGCTCCGAAAAGTTTCAGTCTCCTGCAGAGGCAAAAGGTCTGAAACCTCATGTACCTAAAATAAATTGTTCAGTGTTCTAATACACGTGCTCCTAGATCCTAGAATAGTATAATTATACAAGTAGGCAACAGTTGTATGTGCTGCTCTTAATGTTATCATATTCTTGCATGTTGGGATTGGAGTGTAATAACTGCAGTTCTTCTTCAAGTAAAACACTGAAGTTTATTTAATACACTGTCTTTGAATTTGCAGCTACTTTATTAAGGATATACAGTGAGCAGAGACGTAATGGGGCAGTGTCACCTTCTAGGTATTATGGCAACATCAAATCGACATCATCCAATGGACCTACACATTTGATTGTCCAAGAATTAACTAGAGATCACCATCCAGATAGAGATGATGAAAGGTTTCGAGTGGAAAATGCCGGTGGATATGTTCTTGAGTGGGGTGGTGTCCCTCGAGTAAATGGTCAATTGGCTGTTTCCCGAGCCATTGGTGATTTGCGTTTTAAAAGGTGAGGTTCATAACTACCAGAGAATATGTAATTCATCACATCTTTTGCTTCTTAGTTGATACGTGACCATGTATTTCTTGCTCTTTGATCATCCATTTCTGTTACTAGGTTTCCTTTTGTTTGTAGTAAAAGAAGCACTTGTTTCTCATTAATGTTCCTCTGAACCATCAACAGCTATGGAGTTATATCTGCACCAGAAGTGACAGATTGGCAGCTTCTTACCAAGAATGATAGCTATCTGGTGGTTGCATCTGATGGTATGTTTGAAAAGTTGGGCTTGCAGGATGCTTGTGATCTACTGTGGGAAGTACATAGTCATGGTACTGAGAGGCCTGGACTCTCTTCTTCATGCTCATTCTCATTAGCTGAATGCTTAGTAAATTCTGCTGTTGAAAAGGGCAGCATGGACAATGTGGCAGCTGTTGTGGTTCCATTAGGATCTATTGGATTTTCTCAAAAAAAGTCAAGGGAAAGCTGTTATGGAGAGGGAGATATACATTCCTCAACAATAGGACAAAGGAATATCATGGATGTTCAATCAGGTAATTACCTCTACAGACTGTTCTCTGATGGTATGTTGGACCTGACATGAGCATTTGAATTGTGCATTGAAGTACCACTGTCACATATTTGTTACTTAGTAAATTATCCTATTTCCGAATTTTTTCCCCGTCTCTATTGAAAAATGTTATTTGAGGGTACATTGAGGAGTTTCTGGACATAAATTAATCTGGGCTCGCGTCCTTTCACTATTTTGTCTGGGTAAGAACCAACCTGAGGTTGCTTTAAACATCATGATATGTTTACCTGATTTTGTGTTGCAATCACAATGCCCACGAGCCCTTGTGTCCTTTATAACAACATAAAATGAGTTAGCTTGTCCGCAGGGTGTTTGCAAGCTGATGTGTATTTCTTCAGGTTTGTCCAAACTCAGTTTTTTTTTTTTCTCTCTCTTCTGTTCACATGTACATATGAGGTAGTTGCCAGATGTTTTCATGGTTTATAAGCTGTGGCTTCTGACGAATGGCACTGTTGAATTGTGCATCGTATATGATGAGGCAATTCTATAGCATGTATACAGTGCTTTCTTCTTCTCTCCTCATTTTTTCTTTGTGGTGCTGAATTGTCACAGCCTGTTATAGGTGCTCAAAATTTGACTGTTTTTTATGCTAACAAGCATCATATTATCACAAATTTTGACAGCTAATGAAGCGACTTCTGATCTCGTAAAATTGGAGCATGGACATTCAGTTACCACCAAATTTGACAAGTTGCTGGTAAGACTATTTCTATGCCCCAATCTTTGGTTGTCCATGGCCTTAATTTCCACATATCTAAATCAGACATGTCTATCTCATTATTTTTTTGTAAGGGATCGAGTTCTACTGGGGGAGAGTGGGTTATTAGGTGTTTGAATCATTTTATGGGCTGTATCAGTGACCATGCTATATACAGACTTTGTCTGATTGTTTTACTTTCTTCTTATGGCTATCTGTATGTTTAGAAAACAGGAAGATCCACACGTGTTGATTGATGAAAGAAAAGGCTACGAGATAGATTTGTTGTATGATCATACTTTAACTTGTAAAAGACATTATACTTCCCAACCTAAACTGCAGTTAACAGACTGGAGGGTGAATTCATGGTTAGGCCTTGCTATTAGGGGGATTTGATGTTATTTTTTCCTCCCCCTTCTTTTCTCGTGCAGGTTGAGGGAAAGCACAGGAATTTTGGCTGTTATTACCTGTCTGAGAACCTTAATGATAATCTGGAGATGTTAGGGGCTCAAAAAAAGGACAGGATAGATTTTATGTATGACCTACCTCAAGCTCTACCCAAGGCATTAAATCACCCCTTCGGTAGGTAAAGTTGCTCCTGAGTATCCCTTTTCTTCCTTTGTTGTTTTTTTATTTTCCCTTTGAATGGGGTGTGGTAATCCTTAGTTGCTCCATGGTCCTTTCTCACATTAAGGGGATTTATAGCTTCTTAATTTGCTTCCGAAACTCCTTAAAACATCTCTTCTTTTTTAACGTTATAGTTTATCAACTTTATGTTTGTCTGTGTGGGCTTGGGATGCATATATTTGTGTCTATCAGCGCAGCCATTGGCGACTTTTTTACCTTTTATTTCAGGTGGACCTCTGAATATATATAATGACCAGAATACGTGCTTGCATTTTGGGATGACCGTTGATGGAGTTAAAAACCAATGCGTTAATCCTGAAGGTTTTGCTAGTTTCCTTGGCTTGCTTGAATCTATTCCTTTTCATGATGCTGGTTCAAATTATGGCTCAACTGAGTATGCAATGCCTGACTTAAGGTGTGCGTCTTTTCTTTCTTTATTTTTCTAATGGCTTTTAGAGTGGGAACCATTCATTATTAAAATTTTTGCCTGTATGCAACTTGAGGTAGAGCTGAAGAGTAATTCTATATACAGTTAGCTGAACCATTATTGGTTCATTGACATTCAATTAGACTGTTAAAAATGATCCCCAATTGAATGCAATGACAAGCAATTTTCTGGAGCATACGCCTGACTAGAAACCCAATTTGGGGAGAGGGGAAATTGGTTAGGTGCCGTTATAACAATATCTACACCATTGTAACATGCTGATATGCTGAATTGCTAGTTGTCTGCTGGTTTATCTTTATTTTTTAGCACTCAAGTTATAGATGGGATCAAATCAGACCATGTTTGATATAATGTTATGTGAAATATGTAAAGAGAATTTGAGCTACCTCTTCATTAAGCTTTTAGTTGTTGCTTATATTGACTTAATATCACTATCTCACATTTAAACAATATTCTATTGGCCTGTTTTCTTTTGGAACAAACCACTAACGCACTTGTAGCTGGTGGTTCTTAGGTATGTGCTAAAGAAAAGGTTTGGTCGTGGATCTTATGGTGAAGTATGGCTGGCTTTTTATTGGAATTGTCATAAAGATCATAATGCTTCAAGTTGGAGTAAAAAGAATGGGCATTCCTCATTTGATACTAGTGTAAATTCAACTAAAAGAAATTCCAGTTGTATCAGCTCTGATGATTGTAGTTCTGGTTATCCTGACGGTGACTTGTTCATTTTGAAACGCATCATGGTAATTTGGTTGCTCTTTGATCCCCTTTTGTTCTTTTCTTGTACAAACATTCTGTGCAATGTAGCAGATATCCATGTTGTTACAACTCTCCTCTACTTTATGTGAAATTAATTTGCACTCATCTTGCTATTTTAGCATGTGCTGTTTATATAAAAATCAAACACTGAACCTTAAGATACCCTAAATATTTGTTGAAACTGCAGTTTCTGTTCAATTATGGAATAGTCTGCGCCCCCACCCCCCGGGCGGCTGCTGGAGCAATTTCTGAAGTTGTGACTTCCTGACTCTTTAGATTTTTTTTTAGGAGGATCAGGCTTCACTTAGAAATTTTTGCAATCTCTATTTTGTGTTGTGATATTTGTGGAAGTTGGTCTATCAAACTATGGCTTAAATCATTTTCTGTTAATTTTCATGCTGGTGTTCCATAAGGTCAAGCAATATACCCAAACAAATAACAAACACCATTTTGATCTCCTCTTTCTTTTTTTTTTAGCAGCTTTGAAGTGGTTTCAAAGATTTTAATGTATTTATTGATTGTTCTCTGTTAATGTTCATACTGGTGTTTTTGAGGTTCAAATTCTTTAAAAGAAATGATTACTGTAAACAGGTGGAGAGAGGAGCTGCTGTTTACTTAAGTGGGCTACGGGAGAAATATTTTGGTGAAGTATTCTTAAATGCCTCCAGGTGTCTTGGAGATTTACGATCAGATGGGATCAAAACCTCTTTATTTGATGAAATGTGCTCAGATTATGACCTGTTAGAGACTAATGAATCAGTTTATGGATTAGGAAACAGTTGGAATTTTGAAAATACGTTCCTGAACAAATTTAGAACCTCGAAAGCTGTCTTTGAGGAAGGTTTGAACCATATAGCAAGATATGTAGAATCTTTTGAATCTCGGTCTAATGAAATCTGGCTTGTATTTCACCATGAAGGTGTGTCTTTGTCAAAGCTTATTTATACTGTGGAAGAGGTAGAAAATATCTCTGACAGAGAAAAGGTTGAAGAAGTAAAACGGGTTGAGGTATTGCAGCCATCAAAATGGTGGCATTGGTTGAAGACAACAAAAGCAGGGAATGAGGAAATGCGCAACCTTATATGGCAGTTGGTATGTCTGCTTACAAATTCTATGTTGGGTCTTATAAGTTTTGAATTTTTGTTAACTCAACCTTTGGTTTCTTTAATGTTCATATGCAATCTTGCAATGGTTGGCTTAGCCACTCAGGTGTCATGCTGTGTTGTTTGTTTAACTTTAGCACACAGACAGGAGAATGACCCAAATCTTAAGTCATGTGATTCTTTTTATTAGAATTACCAACCCTTCTGTCTGGTGAGTTTTTTGTTATCAGGAAAGCTAAAAGGAGTTCAATAAGAATGAGTTTCTATTGTTAATTCTTTTTTAAAATGAGTTCAAGAAGTGTTTTAAGGTTTTCTGCTGGAGCAAAGGTAATACCACGGGTCATATCCTTTATTTTATCATGAATCAGTGAATACAGCTCGTGATGGAGTTTTTTAAACTATAATGTTTCAGATCTCTGCCTAGTAATATGTTTTGTCATACCTCTGTTCCCTTCAAAGAAGCTTTTTTTTTTCAAAAAGAAATTCTGTTTATTCATGATTAACATCTTTTTTATTTATGTTACTATTTTTTTAATTTTACTGTCAATTCCTGGTTGTCACACTCTGAGTGATGTCTGATGTACGTTGTTTTTTATTTGCTCAGTTGATGGCACTAAAGTCCTGTCATGACCGCTACATCACTCACAGAGATATCAAACCTGGTGAGAACACCAGCCTTTTGTCAGAGCTGATCATCATGCGATATAAGTTTGGAAATAAAATGTGTTTCAAAAATTACAAATTTGTAAATAATGCCTCTGGTACTTCTGAAATTGCTAAGCATTCAACGGAAATGACCTAACATGCGGTCTCTCTTTCTGTCAACCTGTGTATAATATCCCCCACCAAAGAGAGTAGAATGCCTCAGGTCTTTTGAATTGAAAAGCCCAGCAAGTACTGAGAAGTTAAGGAAAAAGCAATTAAAATCGGATGCAAATTTTGTATTGCCAGGGGAGGGGGTGTAAAGAGATCAAACTGTTTGGCTTTCACCAGTCTGAGGTGCAAATTTTGCCATCATATTGGTTTGTTTTATAAATCCAACTGATTATTTACTGCTCCCTATCAGTGTACCTAAGTATCATGTGTATTATGCACATCCCCCTGTCTGCCTTTTCACTTCTTTGTTAGGGATGATGCCACCTCTCTTCAGTCATTCTGCGTCTTTTCTCTGACTCTGCTTTTATGATACCTAATGTTGAGATCTACTTGCTTAAGATGCTTTCATCTTTCCCATTGGTAGAGAACATGGTGATATGCTTAGAAGATCAGCACACTGGGAGATGCTTGAAAGGAGGTCCAAGTGGAGATAAGAACTATACCACTAAAATGTACAGTAGTAAAGATTACAGTCATTTAATTTAACTTGCAAAGGTTTTACTATTAAGTTATTAAGTTTTGTAAGCTTCCTGTCGTTTGTTGGTAACCGAAATATGATCTGAGAGATGACACAAGTGCACACAAGTTCTTGTGTTCATGTTATGAGTTATAACTGGGTTGTTCATGCCTCTTTTTTGTTTGATACATGTTATACATCCCTCTTGATACATGTTATGCATCCCTCTTTTACCATCTGGTCTAGGCGGATTATTGACTTTGGTAGTGCAATGGATGAGTTCACTCTGAAGCATTTGTATGGGTCAACTGGACCTTCTAGGTATCTCCTTTTACTCTGGGAGCCCTTTCTGATATGCCATATCTATTGTTGCTGTACCTGATTAAGTGTTGATGATGGGTCTCTATTTTCTACTAATCAGGGCTGAACAAACTTCTGAGTATTCTCCTCCAGAAGCTTTTCTCAATGCTAGTTGGTATCATGGGCCAACAAGCACGAATTTAAAGTATGTTGCCTTTCTACTTAATGATTTTGAGTTTTAGCTTTTTTTGTTGATTTTTCAAATCACACTTTCTTTTCCTTTCTCTATCTGAATATCCATCTGCATTTGTTATCGCTGAATGCTAATAATAGTTATAAATAACTTCTTGTTTGACAGGTATGATATGTGGAGTGTTGGTGTTGTGATGCTAGAGTTGATATTAGGAACACCAAATGTTTTTCAGATTAGTGCACGAACTCAGGCTCTCTTAGATCCACACATTGTTGGGTGGAATGAAGACTTGAAGGAACTCGCGTACAAGTGAGTATTATCCTATGTGCTTTTTTGATATGATATTGAATTCTGCAATCCTCATTTGTTATGGAGCTGAATTTTGAATGATTTCTCTTTGAAACATTGCCTTTGACAAATGTCCCTAGATCATGAATTGTAAGTCGGAAAAGTTGTGTTATAGTGTCTGAGCTCTGAGGTTGAATTTGGTCTAATTTATTTCCCTTTGGTTTACATTTCACAATCAACCTTATTTGATTCTCCACAGAAATTCTAGGATCACATATTCTGCTTTCTGCTCTTCTCTGACAGTCCTACTTAGCCTTATTTAAAAGAAGAAAAATGTCAATTCTGGTTTTGTGTAGAAGTGCTAGTCTTGAGTTCTTGGTGTAAATTCCTCTATGGGAACCAGGAATGAACTTTTACCTTGTCTGATGAAACCAGAAAGTTTTTACGGCTGTTTCTGGTTTAGCTGGTGCGCAAGATTTTTACTGGTAATCTTAATGTTTAATGTCAACTGACGATCCTTTTCTATTCTTTCTAGCGAACATGTGATGTTTCTGCTGTTCTTATAAAATAGAAATTAGAAAGTAGTTGACCTTTTTGTGCTGTATGCTGTTCTAGATGGAAAATCATGAGTTCTTTAGTAGCAGTACAGTTTTAATTGTGACCAATTCCTATATGTAAATTATAAGGTCTAGACTTACAAAACATTCAAAGGTTTGATGGATTCCAAACTGACTTTCCGGTTTAGAACGGAAACATGTGTGGACAAATTTTTGTCATTGATGTCTTCTTGTTATTTTATAATGCCAGACTAAGGTCATTCATGGAATTATGTATCTTAATCCCAGGGAGTTCCTCAAAGCATCATCGCTCGATGAGCCGGGTCAGTTTCCATCTTTTATTGCTAAATGTTCTTTTAATTTGGTTTCTGTGATAAAAATGCCGTTGGGCATCATCTTTATGGAACTCTCATCCCTACATGCACTCCCGTGATATATGCAGTAGAAATGGATGTCAGCACCTGGATTGTTAAATTAACTTTATTGTACTATTTAGCTTCCCTGCATCCGATATAGTGAATTCAAATTTGTCGGCATTGGCAAATCGAGGTGAAGTTCAGTGAGCTAGATAGAGGCTTTACAAGTATTTTTATCAGTGACTGATTGTTCTGATGGTGGCCTCAAACTCTGCTTTTGAGACCAGTGCAGATGGATATGGGACAATTAGCCCATTTTTTTGCCACTAACCAAAAAGAAATTGTGACGAAAATATGTGCTTGCATTTTAGCTGAAACATCATGGACACAAATATGGCCTGATGACCTTAGGTCTAATTTGACTTGGCATCTGCTGATTGATATGATTTGGTGATGAAATGTATTAAGGTCATCGATGGACTAATCAGGAAGGTGAAATGAATAGTTTGTTAAGTATTGATTGGATGAAGAAATTCAATAATTTGATGTAGGTGCTAGCATTGGACTGTGAAATTCTGCATAAAAGCATCGGGATCGGGTCCATGATGTAATAGACATTTGGCATCAAATGGTACACCACTAATATAAAGTAACTTGCCTTTTATTGTTATCATTATCATCACACAGGAAGAAGTCACTGCATTTGGCTATGAAGGGTTTATTGTAATCCACCCCACCTTCCATATGATCCCCACCCCCACCGGGAAAAGGGAAGAGAATGCAACAATGTGCAAATTAGATTGATGATTCTTGTCACATTTCCAATATATCTTATACCCACAATTTTATGATGTTTTCTTCATAGCATACTATGATTTTGTTAATAATGACGCATCATGCATGCACTGAAAAGTTTTCTTTCGGTATGCAGGATGGAGTGTCACCTGCTTCCTGGAAATGCTCTGAAGAGTTCTTCTCTAATCAAATAAAGAGTAGGGATCCTCTGAAATTAGGGTCAGTTCTGATTCCATGTACTTGTCATCTTGATTAAGCTACAGTGTTACTATATACTACTATTTAACGTGTCATAGTGCTAACTGTTTAATGTGTCATAGTGCCAGTGTCTTACTTGTAGTGTCTTGCACTATGTGCAGGTTTCCTAATGTTTGGGCTTTGCGGTTAGTGCGCCAACTGTTACTTTGGGATCCAGTAAGTTCACGAAGCAGTCAAATTTAACACTTTTAACTGTAATGGTGTGTGATGCACAATTTAGTATAAAAGAGAATAACCCCCCTCATCCTTCCTCAAGTGGTTCCACCTGGAAGGCAATTCATTCATGGAAAATGCTGTTTATAAAATGCAGAAATCAAACTGTAGTTGCCGGTTTCAATTTTAGAAATGCTGCGCTTGAGATTCTGAGTATCGAAGCCCATATTGCACTCTTATTTGATACTGATGTATGCTGTCTCAGAATCACATTGATGTTATTGGATATTATGGGAAATATGTTAGCTTTTGGAATGGATGCATAAACAGGAGTAACCTAATTCCATATGCAAATTTGAGCATTGTTAGGTGGCATATGGATAATTTTAACATCTTGTACTAATTGGCTGTCGAGCCATGACGATTATACTCCCTTGGAATAAAGATAGGAGTATCAAGGGTTTGGAGGCTGTTCAAGCTTTTTGATAGTCTTGAACGCATTTGTAGGTCTTGTGATGAATAAAGTTATTTATTCATTTACTGTTCCATTCTTTAATCCTTGAGATGCAAATCATTTAAAGTTGGATGTAAGCCAGGTCCTAAATGCTTGTGATTGCAGGATGATCGACTGAGTGTTGATGATGCTTTGAAGCATCCTTATTTCCAACCTCCACCCGAGAGATGAGTTGATAGAAACGCGCAACTATCAACTTTGCAAGTGCTAAGTGCCGAGTTTTATGGTTATGGGTCCTGGAGATGGTACATCAACTGGTTTGAAAACACAACACACATGGCTTGCACAATCTTCGATTCATTTTATTTTTCTTTTTCAGGTGCAGCTCTCCTTGTAACTTTTGAGTTCTAACCTTATCATCGCCTAAAGGGAGATTTGCGGGATTGGAAAGGGAAGGCATTGCATGAACCGGCAGGTCCTCTTTGCTTGCGGATTGAAATGCTGAACCAAAGCACAATAACCTTTAACTTGTCAGGCACCTTGCAGCAGATGCTGCTTGATGCGAGCTTTGGATGGAATTACTTTATCGATGACCAGCTGCTCAGCATCCAGTCTGTTCTGCTGCTGTGCACATTCCAAATACAATGGCATTACCTGTTATTGGCATTTTTTTCATCCGACAAGTTGGAGGAATGTATATAGCTTATCTCAACGAGTAGTACCAATTTCCAATTTATATCGGTCTTGAGAGTGCAAGTTCCACCACAGGGAATGTGTAACTAGCATCCTACGACGCATATCTGAGTTTTGACGGCATCTTTATTTGGAAATAGTTTAATGTTTTGTTGAGTTTCTGCTAACACTGTTTATAATAGATTGGTGGAACCAAGCGAACAAGAACGAGACGTTTTTTTTAAAAAAAAATTGACGAATATGAGAGCCCCACCTCCCCCAGCGTATTGCTTAATGGATTTTGAGATTATGATAATGCTAAAAAACTTAGAAACAGTCTCAAGAGTTTATGATATTTCTCATTACTTTCTCTCGTAAAATATGATGCAGCAACTACCTCTTCAACTCTATAGTTCTAAACCTACGTGATCGTTGTATTTCGCTTTTCGTCACGTTTTGTCACACTTACAAGTTACAGACTTTCTATCCCAAGGGAACTACAATAGCAGACAAGTTATCACGACTGCCTTTTGTCATATGCAGTTGTTACTACACACTCAGCCAGCGATTCAGAAAACATGCATGAAAGTGGAAGTTTTGATTCTCTCCTCCTTTCAGGAACTAAATTCCATTCAAATATCAGCTCAGCTACATCTTGTGGTGTCAAGCTCTCAAACATACCATCAGATGCTACCACCAAATACCTATCATTAGCGGTTAAAACTCTCCAACCTGTAAACTCAGGCTCGGCTATAACACCGAACCTTTAACACCAAAGTAGAAGCATTCGAATTAGAAGAAATGAGATCTCGTTTTTTTAAGAGAAATTTGAAGAACAGAGAAAAGTAATGGAAAACTTAATTGACAATCTTAATCAAGTGGAAACTCACCTTTTTAAGGCTACGTCACCAATGGACCGAGACATGGCAAGGATTCCATTCACTCTAGGCACACCCCATAAAATAACAGAACCACCAGCTGCTTTAATTCTTGCCGTTTCATCTTCCCTATCTGGGTGATGATCATATGTCAGTTCTGTAGTTGAGAGACTTGCTCTTGAATCACCTGTGTAGTTACATTTAAACATCAATCTAATAGCATCATTAATTAACCACAAGAAATATGATAAACTCGAGTGCTGAAAAGTCCACAGACCAGAAAGAATTTTCACTGACATGAGAAGAGCCTTGGAATCACCTACATTGGCAACTAAAATCTGCCCATCATACAAAAGAACCACATTGGCAGTAGAGCCTGAGAAATAGTTGTTCTTAATAGCCTCCTGAAAGTAGACACAAAAGGAAACAATGTAATTGATTAGGCTGAGACCAAAACCTTAATCAATGAAAGCAACTTCATCAAAAAATCACTTTCTTGCCTGAGTAAACTTAAGATCAATGTCAAAAATTGTCTTCGACAATGCTTCTCTTAAAGTCCCCAACTTAATGGCTTTATAATCACTCAAAGGTAACTCTCCTTTGTGTGTTCCCATCAGCTTATACGAGAGAAACACAACGTGCAACTTAAAGTAATAAAAAAAAGTTTTGACCCTATTTCACTAGCTTCTTTACCACCATGCCCATCAAAAACTGCTAAAATACCAACTACATCGTCTTCAAAATCAAGAGAGTTGTTCTTTAGCAAGGGTAGTTTCATATCAAGATCACATACTACACGGTCTTCTTGATACTCCCTGCGTCCTTGGAGTGTGGCAAACTGGCAGTTGTTGAGATTCTGATTTTGAAGAGATCCATTAGAGAGAACCCATTGCGGACACTCTTGAGATTCGTAAACTGCAGGGGCACCACCATAATCGTAATCTATCATACATGACACTGATAACCCGTAAGAAGATTGAATGGTATTGATGAAAAGAAGTGCAAATAGTATTGAAAATGATGCAATTTTGAATCTGCCCATTGATAAAGTTTGGGAAAAGTTCTGCAGAAATCTAAATTTCTGGTAAAGTTTATGATACGAGACCTAGATTTTTATCGTAGCAAAAAATTCTTCGCGATCGACTACCAAAAGAGTCTGATTGCGGAAAGTGCTGAGATGGACAGGTTTTGACGTCACTAAACTCGTTTAATTAATTCCCACGAGCCACATTCAGCAGTTATTAAAAAAATAATAATAATAAAATAAAATAAATTGACACATCAGTAATGTTATTAAAGGCAATTTCTATGGTTACTTGAATTCATTATAATTACTCTGCCTTCAAGTTACAAATTATTAAATATATATTTTAAATATTCTAATAATTTATCTTATTATTTATAACTTAACTAATTATTCTATAATTATACTAGTCATTAATATTATTCTATAATTACAATTCAGAAAATACATTGTTATTTTCAAAGGAAAATAAATATTATTTACATAGTAACAAATAAGTGATTACAAACTATTAAATAAATTCACTTAATATACCGTGAAAAAATTATGAAGTATAATTTCATTATTTTAATTTTTTTAAAAAACGTTTTTTTGTTACTTTGGATAAGATGAAAAATACTACTTAAATTGTAGAGAATTATTTTAAACTGACTATGAACTGATAAGTATTTACAATTATCGTAAACATTTTCTTATTATTTCGTAAATGTGAAGGTATTATAATTATAATGTCATGAAACAACCATATCAAACCCTCTATCATTAATAATTGGGGTAAATACAGAAAAGAAAAAAAGTCACCCTCCGATCCAGAGGTATTTTCAATTTACCTCCTTAAACTAGAAAACGGTTAATTAACCCTTTAAAGTTTTAATTTTGTTCTAATTTAAGGCTTTTGTTTTTGTCTTTTAAAGAACTAACAGATTTTGGTTTAAAACTTTTAATTAAACTTTTATACTCACAGTGCCTTTAATTGTAGGGAACAAAGGTGGGTTTTTTATAAGTAGAATTGAACAATTTATTTTTTATGAGAAGAAATATTAAATAATTAAATTAAAATTATTAGGTAAAGTCCTACCTTTTTTACTTTGTAAACGAAAAAAAGGTTCGGTTATTTGGAATTAGAAATTAGAGAAACTATTGGGTAAACTGTAAAGTAAACCCAATATATTAAAAAAAAAAAAAAAAAAAGGGTTTTCTAAAATTAACTTTCAAATGCCTTCCAAAAGTACCTTTCTTTCGGTTTCTAGATAAAAAGCCCAAAAGAAAAGGAGAAGAACAAATAAAAGAGCCTGCCGAATGGGCTGTCAAGGGTCCCCGACAGTTCAATGCCGACTGCCTCGACTCCACAGTTGTGACTTGTGGGATGACTAGAGAACAGCTCGTTCTTTCTTGTATGCTTCTGTTTCCTTCGAGGTTTACCATTTGTCATAAAGAGGGAAGATATTCGCATCTCTAGTGTTCCCTTGAGAAAGGAGGAAAACCTCATCAATGAACAGCAACAATTGACCCACACAATCCATGACAGTTACATGTCTTAACCGTCTGTCACGCATGCAACATCATGTGTTCAATTTTTTTTTCCACAAGGTTGCTATCTTCTTTTGCTGTGTTAAAAAAAAATGTTTCAAGCGTTTGAAAATGGATAAAGCTGCCGTTAAACCAATTGCTTCATAAGCCATGATGGCGAAGAACATGGATATTTTCAGATATGGACTAAATTAAATTACAAAAAAGTAAAAGCATAAATTACTTTTTAAAAAAGAGGGACCAGGAAAAAAAATAGATGTTACATGGACGTTAACATGCTCACTAGTATACATTGGGATGATAAGAATGAAGTAATTGTTATATGCATTTGATGATTTTGGGTCCTTGTGAATTTAGGGCTCATGGCTGTTTACTCGGCTATGAAGTTCCAGCATCTCTCGATGGTTTGGGTCCACAGAGAGAGCAGCACGGCAGTCACGGAGGGCAGCCAATACATCACCGGTGTGCTCATGGAAAGCTGCCCGCAAGTGTAGAAGGTGAAGGTCTGCTTTGAATACAATTGCTCTCGATAGTTCAGCAATGGCTTCTTTATCCTTGCGGCTGTCCATTAACACTGCCCAACAAATAGCACAATGCGGCTTCAGTATGAGCTTCGAGCTAAATGATATTTAAGAAAAAAAAAAAAAAAAGCTCTTTTTACGTTTAATGGGCTCAGTTCTGGTTCCCAAATTACATGTGGTCGTCTGTTTTATCAACAGTGAATTTTTTCTCTATGAAGCACCAGGATGAGGTATAGAAGGACGAGTAAGCTTCTCATATGCGTCTCTCATTTTGATCAATGGCATTCAGCCATTCACTCATTCGGAAAAAAAAAAAAAAAAAAAAGGGCCAGAAAGAATCAGACCTGCAGCTCGGTATCTGTACGGGTAAACTCGAAGGGGATCTAACTGCGTAACCATCTCAAGATCTGCTTTCGTCATTTCACGATCACAATATTCTGACCTCTTCTCATAGGCAGATGCATTGTTCTGGGCCTTCTCAATCAGTTTAGTCATTTCTTCATAAGCACCAGTCCTATCGTTTTTGAGAAAATGTACTCGAGCAAGTCCTTGGTGTGCTCTGGTATGCCTGATCTTAAGGGCATTAATGTAACAATCAGCTGCCAAGTCTAATTTTGCAGAGTCGACATAGACACTTCCAAGATTGTTCAGTGCCTGACAAATAAAGTTTCAAGAACTTAAAATTCAGCACAGGCTTGCTTACATGTATTAGTAATTTAACATAATGCCAGAAACAGAACGCAATAATAAATGGTAAGTGATTCATCATTCTAGACAAGAAACTATGTATAAGATTTGGGCCCAATGGGAAAATGAAATAGGTGCTGTACAAAATTTTATAACTAAAATATGACAATCCTGACGCTGAGGCCTCAAAGGTTTACAAATAAACATTTCCCATTTCAGTCGTAGCCAATTATAGCACATTTCGCTCTATCACCTACCAATCGAGAGTAACCAATCATAGCACAATCTGCTTTATCACCAAAAAAGATCTGCTACAATGTTTTTGACACAAGTGGAAGATATTTTATTATTTTTCTTATTGTTTTTCTTTTTATGCATCAGTAAGACATGCCCTAGGTATTGTCACCAGAAAACCTTGACAAAAACTACACTAGGGTAATTGATTGAAGTTACTAATGACCGCTAAGCATCTGATGGGTATTTGCCAGCAATTCCCATTTCAAAGAAAATGTAGGGGACAGGAAAACCATACCTGGCCTTTGCGCAATCTGTCTGAAGGGCACTTAAGAGCTTCTTCAAGCAGGGAAATAACAGTAGAAGAGCAAGATGGATCCAGACTAGAGTCAGCCATTGCATAGGCTTTAAGGAAGAAGGCCTCAAAGGACTTCTTGATGTTGATAGACTCCTCCGCTTTTTGAAGCCCTTCATTGCAATGACCTGTATCATACAAGATCCAACCTTCATAAACTAGACGTTCATGATCAGTGGATGCATGTTGGCGGGCTAATTGTAAACTTTGCATGGCCGCCTCAGGACAGTTCAACCTGATCATGTTCAGAGTGGGAGGTTATTCGCAATCCTAGTGTAACCATAATCTTACCAACCTTCAATATAGAAATTATATACAAGTGAACATTAACCTATAAGGAATCATAAGTCATGTTTTGGAGAAACATAATCTTACCACTGGAAAAAGTGCCTCTTGCTAGGAAAATTGAAGAAACATGTTTTGGAGAAAAGAACAGCAAGTAAAGAAAATAAGCTCAGAAACTAATTCCTTCATTTTTTTAAAAAAAACTCTTATAAACTGATTCTGAATATAGACAGCATAATAAGAGGAAGAGGAAAAGGAAAAGGAAATCATAAGCTATCCTGCTATCAAAATCTTTGGATATTGTTTACTAGGAGCATTCATTCATGGGCTGCATATGCCATAAGGTAGGGAAACACATGCTAGCTAACTCAGCAACAAAGTCTAGACTTTGGAAATTATTTTATGCAGCAATGCCTGTAAAGGATTAAAATTTGAGAGCATACCTAAGAAGAAGCAAAGACTGCCTGAAATATAGAACACCTTTGGCAGCATCAGATTCAAGCATCTGGTATATGACTGAGAGGGATCCTATATCATCGACTGAAGACCACCTATCGTACAATTGCAGCCAACAATCTGCTGTTGTCCAATTCTCAACATGCTCACGCACGAGGGTACGGAGTTGGGATGCTGCCACCCGTCCCTCAAACATCCTATAATCAGGGGAGAGAGTGAGAATTGCCTGAACGTCACAAATCGCAGCTTGATAATTCTCAAGAGCTAGATAGAAACAAAACCGGAGCTCCAAGCATTCTAATGCGAGTTTAAAACCAAGAATTCTGTTGATTTCTGCAAGTGCAGCTTGAACATTCTGTTTCCTCATCAAAGAAGCAGCCCGATACATGTAGGGGTAAGTTAGGGTTGGGTCCAACTTAGTTGCTCTTTCAAGGTCTTCCCACCTCTTATCACCTTCACAATACAAGGACCTCTCCTGGTACATCCATCCAAGCGGAGTACCAGATGAAATCACAGAACTGAGCCTGTCATAAGCCCGAAGCCTATGACCTCTGATGTGACCCAGCCTAGCCAGGCCTGATACAGAATATACATGGCCAGCATTTTGAGCTGCCTCAAAAAGACGTTCAGCTTCATCATACTCTTTCCTCAAGAGCCGTACACATCCCAACTGATGAAAAGCCAACAGCTTCTGTCGGTTAGTTTCTGCTGACTCTACCAACTGATCGAGAAAACCAGCTGTTTTATCAGACCGTGGATCAAGATTCATAGCAACTTCACTTAATAAACAATAAAATGAAAATGAGGCTAGCCCAACCATGATCATTTTCTCTTGTTTATTGGCATGACTAAAAATTTCCACCACCCGATCATCGTTCAAGCAATCAGGTAGATCCTGTAAGAAAACTTGCAAACATGATGCAGCAAGGACAGGAGAGTTCTCTTCGAGAGCACATTCCATGAGCTCCACAGCGTCATCTCTGGAAGATACTAAAGCGGCAAGTTTCCTATCGCATGCATCTTTTAGCCTTTCGCAACAAAACTTATTTGCAAAAATCAATATTTCCAACAAAACATTTGGAGACGCTTCATTCAAACTACCAGTCATACTGAACTTGCTTATTGCCCTAAAACCCAAAGGCGATATGTTGTTTTCAGATAAATCAATGTGTTCACAAAGTGATTCAGAGAAACATCCATTAAGCATGGCATGAAATGGGGCAGAAAGGCTGGCAATATTCTGCCTATCACAAACTATTTCCTCATCTCCAATTTTAAAAGAGACACTTCTTAAAATACGGTTGCCATTCGTCATAGAAACTGTCTCATGGGAACCTGAACTTATATCAACAGCAAGCTCGGAGGAAACATCTATTGGGCCAAACTCTTGTGCGCATTTACCACAAGTAGCAAGCAAGTCCGAAATAAGCTCCTCTCCTTGTCTCTCATACTTTAACCATGCCCCAAATACAAGCTTCTCATGCACGGTGCTGCCCTTCAGCCAAGCTGAGCGGAGGCTTCTTCGCATCAATTTGGCTTCACCAAGGCCCCTAAACAGTTGATGTTGAAATAAATAGAGATTTGACCTCTCTTGCGGAGGACATGATTCGAGTTCTTCGTGAATCTGAGCTAAAACTTCTACATAATCACCGGGTTTAAAGAACGGTTGCACAGGTGGTTCAGGGACCTTGATAAGTGATTCTCTAATTAACCCAACAAAAAAAGGAAATCTCAATCTATTGAAATCAAATATTAAAACTTTTAACAGTTTTTAGTTATAGAAACCACAACAGATGTAAAGAAAAACTTACATGGATGAAGATGATGATGAAGAAGAAGAAGAAGACTGTGAAGAGAATTTGGAAAGCTTCCCTCTTTCAACTTGAAGCCATGACTGTGGATTTAAGGAATTAAGCTGTGATTCTTTACAGCACTCAGAGGGGAAGGAAGTCCTCATGGGGCATAAGATTTTAAACAAGTCCCAGATCTCCACAGTAGTCAGGTTTTATCCTTGCTCTTTCAATTTTTTTCTTTCTCCCCTCTTCCTCCCCAAACCGAAATGAACTAAAATTTGGCAATACAAAGAAAACAAATGCAAAGCCTAAACTGTTGATTGAGATCACACGTCACTACACTTAGCTGATAGATCTTCCAACCCCAGAAAACAACAACTCTCATCTAAAAAACAGTTCACAAAATTACAAACAACAGGCCAACTATCATGTCACTGAAGAAATAAATACAAACCTAAGAAGGGAGCTTTTATGGCAATCAGAATCTTACAGATCCCTATTAGGTTGGCTCAAATTGGCAGACGTGGAAAGCCAATAACTCGTAATCTTCAATTACACAACAAAAATCTTCAGTCCCCTTCAACAACACTTGTATGGAAAATGAAAGAAAGCAGAAAAGACCTCAGACCCACCCACCAACAGCTACCTTGAGATCTCTACCGAAAAAAGCAAAGCAAACCAAAGCCACTTTGTATCCCTTCAAAACAAACCCAAAATGAAAAAACAAGAGGAGGACAATAAAAATAAGAAGGGGAGAGTGACCCAGTTGGGTTTCAGTGACTTTGAATTTGAAGAGGGAAACCAGAGATTGGGAAAAAAAAAAAAAAAGGCTGAGAAGTTGCAGAGTGATCAGAGTGAAGGAATCCAAAGGGAAAAAAAAATCTAAATTCCCACTTTTGATAGCTCTCTTTGTTTGGTTAAAGGGAAAGTTTTTTCCTTTTTCTGCTTCTTTTTTTTTTTCCCCTTTATCTCTCTCAATTTTGTTGTCGTTGGAGACTGGAGAGAAAAAGTAAAGAAATTTTTGTAGCTTGGAAGTACAAAGACTAACGGGAAAAATCGAAATATTAAAAAAAAAAAAAAAAAGGGTAAAATAATTGTATGGAAGTGATAAAATGGTGTTCAAGATTATGAGAATTTGGAATTAATTAACTGAGGGTAAATCGACATCGATGGTAAAATAAAATTGGAATTTTCTTTTTTTTGGTGTGGATCGAGAAAGTCATGCTACTACAAGACATAATCCTTGGCATCTTGTAGTTGGGATTGTCTGGATTACAACAATAATTGTGGGGTCCTTTTGAATTTATTGGGTGATTGAAGCAGAAATGAAGTAAAGGGAGAGAACAAATTCTGTGCGTCACTCACACCGGACACAAAACTATTTTATTAGTACGATAATCTTTTGTTTTTGGTATAATTGTAAGCATACTCTCGTATTTCCTTTTAATAACTTTTCACTATATATTTATATTTTCTCTACATGTTTTTTTTTTGTCACTTTTTGTATGAATATGCCTCGCAATCACTAAAAAAAATATTTTTTAATTTCTAAAAAAAATATTTAACATTAAATTTTTTAAAAAAAATGAAGAAGCCTAAAAAACCCACAAAACATAAAAGCATAAAAAGAAAAACTCAAAAACCTAAAAAAGTAATACTAGTAACTTTAAAAATCTAAAAAATGGGAGAAAAAAGGCATGTCCATAAAATCTCATAAATAAAAATATGTCTATGCAAGGAAATAAGTTTAAAGGATTTTCAATTTTTTTCATTTATTACCGATGTTTTTATATGAGTTATTTTAAATTTTTTTGAGAGGTTTTCTGGTTTTTTAATTCTCTAGTTCTTTTAATTTGTGTTTCCTATGTTATAGATTTTTCAAGTCTTGTTAAATATTTTAGAGTGATTTTTTTTTTAAGTTTTGATTTATTATTATTATTATTTTTTTGGTGTAAGAAGTACTCCCCCCCCCACCCCCCCCCCCCAAAAAAAAAGCTAAATATAAATTTTAATATACAACGAGGAATGTGTGTGAATAATTTTTAAAAAGATATAGTGAAAATATGTCTAGTATAAAAAGATAGATAGGTGTTTTTTTTTTCATAAACCATATTTAGTTACTAAATATTTCTTAACAAATCAAAATGTTATCTGATTAATAAAAAGGATTTTTTTTATATACAAAATTACTGTCTCTGTCACTGTTTCTATTCATGAAGAATTCAGGACCACTATTTCGTCATTTACGGCAAAACTCTTTATTTAATATAGAAAAGCTACCTACTGGGACTGGGAGGTTGTAAAACGTAGGTATGAGTGGTTTACATCGAAGAATCTCCCATTGCAATTAAGAAACAATCAGCACTAGAAGCTCCTCCTAACATACAATCACCACCAGCAAATGGGCGATGTTTTCGCTTCTTAAAAAACTCATTATAAACTATTATATCAAGGCCTCGTTTGTTTGTCCAAAATGTTTTAAAATCTGGATTCCATAGAAAATGAATTTTGGAAAAATATATTATTTTTTTATATTTGAATGTGTAATGAAAAATGAAATGAAAAACATTTTTTGTTATTTAGCTGTGTTATGGAAAATTAGCTAAAACTGACTTATGAGTGTTATAAACTTTTTTTTAAAAAAAAAAGAAAATAAAATTTTATTGGACAGATGTAGCGTATTATAAATTCTTATATTTGCATTTTTTTCATTTTTTGTTTTAACCATTTATACAAGATAATTAGCTAAAAAACTTAAATATAATAAAATAATTAGTCAGTCCTTTTGTTTTATAAAACCTAATATCAAGTCCCTATGTTTTCATATTTGATTGTAGCTTGATTTTTTTATTAGTTTTTCACACAATTAAATTGTTTATTTGCTTAAAGTATATTTTATTTGTAATTAAACTTTTCAATCTTATATGTTACAGAAAAAATTATAGTGCATTTAAAAAAGATAATTTAGATTTTTTTTTTTTTTAAATGATGTGCAGCTAACTTTATCCAAGGGAATAACTAGAGAAAAACACTTTCCTTTCACTATCCTTTATTTTTTAAGTTGATTGGAAAATGGTTTTTTGGACCCCAAACATGGGAAAGCGTGGGAAATGGTTTTCTGGAAACCATTTTTCACGAAACAAACAAGGCCTAAACAACAACAGTGTCCCTCACACTTCTTCTCTCTCATTCTGCTAGAATTTGATTGATTGTTCAATGCCAACTGCCTAACTCCACTTCTGTCTTGTGGCTTTAAGCGTTCACATCTCTTTAAAATGGTAGGATTAAAACCAAAATGATTTGAGGATTAAAAAAAAAGATCGAAATTTTATTTTTCTGAAAGTAAGTGCATAAACTTTTATTATTATGTTCCTGAGACATCTTCGCTACTCGACTGCTGCTTTTTTTTCACATATACTATTTGCAACAGCTTTATGACATATCTGAATAATCAAACCTATGATGCGCATGCTCCAAATGCTATAAAAAACAAAATGCTTTGCATCATATACTTCAATTTCAATATTGGAATTCAAAAAATAGCCACCTAATGGTGGAAGAGACAAAAAAAAAGGTGTCACATATTAAATGGATGCCCTAAAAACAACAAACACACAATCGATTCTAGAGACCGAAAGGGAGAGAGTGAGCCTCATTAGTGAGTGGATTGGTAAGGAAATGATGCGCACAGAAAATTCAAATGCTAATAATATCACCATTGGGTAACTTGAAGGAAATAATTGACCCACGCCATCGATGACAGTCACATATCAAGTGTCATGCACGTATCATCAAGTGTCACAAAGGAAAAAAAGACGAGAATAAACTGGGAAAAGGCTAAATACGAGGGTGCCGAAATGCCATAGAGTGGACTGGTGGGACATCACCTTGGAATTATTCCGGACTGCCACAACGGTTGAAATTAGACCCACCCATCATGGGGGCAGTGCGTGGTGGGTTTAGATTCGTTTGCCTTTGCGATTGAAGAGGGAAGAGGCAGACGCCAGCAACATCCAAAAGTCGCACATCATTTTCACTCACTAGGCCAAATTGTCGCCTATCTACTCACATTTGTTAAACACAACGTCCCTTTCACTTATCCTAATACCCTACCTTCGGGGCCATTTCAAGGGTCCTCTCCAGAACCACTCAGAACCCTACTCCACGATTTTATCAGATGGGCAGACTTGATGTCTAGGTTTTGTGTTGCCTTCATGGCTCAATTCTATAATTTGACCTAATCTGACAACCAGGACCATATGGCAATCTGTAGGTATCAGTTTAAATTTCATGTCATGTATTTTGCCTAATGAGCTCTTTTTTTTTTTTTTTTTTGTGATTATCAAGTCTTGCAGGCTAACGCTTGGACATGGAGGCCAAGCAAAAGCAACAACTAAGGCAACCACACTATCAATTGCCCATTCTTCAACCACATGATCGTTTACCAGACACGGATGCATGCAAGGGGATTGGGAAATGTTGATAGATCTTCACTTCGAATTTGTTTCCTCATTACTAACTTAAAAATGGCCGCAACTACTACAACAAACTATATACCTTATAGTACAAACTCTTCCAAGGGAGCTAAACTCTACTACCTTGATTGATATCAAAATGGGTCATTGGATGGATATGTGATCGAAGCAGTTCCTTGATCAAAAGATTGAACCAGGTGCTGCATCACAGATTCACACTCCACATGGTCAGATTTCTGGGGCATCTGCAATGCCACAATTAGAACTCATCAGTCAAAGAGTTTATGAATTGACCTCAGTGCATTGGTTTCACTTTAGGAAAGCAACACAAATAAAAACAACAATCAATTTTCTATAGAGTAATGCCCATCAATAAAATAGTGCATCCAGGTGCTCACATTCTTCTCTGTTTCTGTCAGTTAACATGTATTTTCAATAACATTCAACAATGTGTTGCATCTTTTCCATTCATCACTTTTAGTAAAGCACCACAAGTTGAATTGCGGTAAACTCTTGTGCAGATCCTGGAATAAAACATATTATTTGATTGAAGTTCCAGTGAGTGACCTAATAATTTAATAGGAACACATGCATGTCATACTTTCATAAAGTTTAGGCAGTGCAGTTTCAAATTAGCAATCAGAACACAGCAGAGCACATTTGCTCCTCAAACACTAAGAGTCAGGGCGGATATTCATTTTCACATGACAATTTTTGTTATGTTTTGTGTTAATTCATTGAAAAAAAACAGATCTTCACTATTCCAAGCACAAGCACCACATATTAACTCAGTTTGGAACTAACATCAAAAGTCAATGCAACAAAATTAATCTCCATCACCTTTGTCGTTAAGGTCAGCTGAGAGGCTGCCATTTTTTGCTAAATTGTCAACAGAGTTGCATCGGTTAGGCGTTTGAGGAGGTCTGGGTTGGGGAGGAGAGCAGGCATCATTTAGGTTCCAATGATCATTTGAGATTTGATCTCCAACCCGATGGTTTAAGTAGATGTCTAAGCTAGCAGAAGACATTGCCACCTTTCTCTTGTTCTTGAACCTTCACCTAACATGGTATGAGGGACAAATAACAAAGAAAAAAATACACTGCCTGTACATTTATTTTGTTGTATTGAAGAGTATATTAACACTTTAAGATACCTGTCTTTCTTCTTCTCAAAATATCTTTGTAAGGATGCTTTTCTGCTTGTTGAGCCTTCTAAAAGATTTGAAGGAAAGGAAAAAAAAAAAGGAAGAATGAGGAAGAGAGAGTGAGACTATCATAGTGAAAGAAAATGGAGCATGTCATGATTATTAAATATTTACAAGTGATTAATTTATCCCTGCTTGTATCCGGTTTGTTCCTCTGGATGGAAAAATGAGAAATTAGAACGAAAATAAAGGACAAAACAAAGGCAAGGTTAGCCATCTATTCATTCTTCAGCTCATTCCCTTCCATTATTTTTAAAGTACCTCCAGTTGTTCAGTCATACTTGAATATAAATTCCAGAAAAGAGATTGACCATGCCCATGAAAAGCATATCAAGTTAGTCAATTCAAAATATGTCTTAAATTTACATAAGCAACCAAGTAGCTGAAACCAAGTTCCATCCATAACTTTCAGAAACAGATTGAATAAATAAAAGAACCTTGCCGAGAAAATGAATAGAACCTACCTTGCTTATAAAACTGCTCAAAGGTCCAAACGGAAGAAATAAGGCCTAGCATGTTTATTTTTGGCATAGAATGCATTAAACAGTGCTGGTCCTTAAACCAAAGAGGCAGAGCAGGTAATGCCTAGCATGTTTATTTCTGGCATAGAATGCATTAAACGGTGCTGGTACTTAAACCAAAGAGGCAGAGCAGGTAATGCCTAGCATGTTTATTTCTGGCATAGAATGCATTAAACGGTGCTGGTACTTAAACCAAAGAGGCAGTGCAGATAACGAATGGAGAATCAACCGCCATTAACTAACATAAAAATTACAAGGGAATCAAAGTTTCAATCACAATTAATTCACATAATGATCTGGAATGGAGTTCTTGGTTCCTTAGATAAGCATGATGAAACATAAATAAGTTCAGAAAGTTATATCACAAAATGTGAGCCGATTTTACTCAAACATATTTGAATCAAGGCAAGACTACGATGAAAAAGATATTTAATGCAGAAATAGAAGAGCAAGAATTTGTGGAAAAAAGGGCATCTTGTCTATTTAGTTATCAAGCAAACAGGATTTTTCATGAGCTGACTAGTATAAGCATTACCTAGGTTGTCTTCGCGAGTTATGTTGCTATCTTCGAGGGGAAGCTGACCGTTATCTGCACCTTTCACTTGACATAAAACCAAGACAACTAGTTAACAAAGTTTGCGCTTTTGGATGAAAATGATAGCCATTTATCCAATAATATCAAAACAAAGCTTTAATTTGAGCGAGCGTGCATGTGGAGCCCTGAAGTGTCCAAGTATGGAAATAAAACTTAACTTGCATAAGGTTTGACTTGCAAAGATAATGGTAATCTATAGTATCCAAAAAATACCTTAATACTACTCAAAAACCAACCTGTTGATAGGGTTGCAAAGTTCGCAACAACAGAATTTGAAGCAGCTTTGACACCTGGAGTTTCTAACTGGCATGGAAAAGACCAAGATGACGGAATCACATCTGAGGAAGCTTCCTGAGGTGGAGCAAATGGGCTTGCAGCAAGATGCATTATTGCTTGTGCCTGCAACCAATCACTTTAGAAGGCCAGTGTACTTTATATACATTGCACAGTATTCAAAAAAAGAAAGAGCTTTCATCACCTTGTCTCTTGGTACATCATCATAGATGTTTACCTTCCCACAGTAAAAAATCGTCATCTGTCCTGCTGATTCTTTTGCCGCGCCTGTAGTTCTGACATATTAAAACAGTTTTTTTCAGTTTGTTGAACTTCAATTACCGGTTTCTACCACAACAAAGAGAGGTGTCATCCAAATAGCCACGTTCCAGATGCAAGACAAACTCATTTTCACTACTTCAGATAGATATCAGTTGTTCATGTTTCCAATAGGCAACAGGTACTTCAGTTACATCGATACAGAAGTGAATAATTCCAAACAAAAAATTCACATGTGAGCATGTGTGAGTAAAATAGGACAACAAGCATTACTTAGCAGTGAATCATAATTCCTAATATGAGAATTTCTTCAAAACACCACAAAAGACAACAGAGAAGATCCTCTTAGTCCTAAACAGCATAACATCTAGATAAAAGCTACATCATTACATCTATCAGCTAGATATAAATACTCCTACCATGTTGACAAAAATTTGTCTACGAATTACATATAGAAGTAATGGCATGAGCAGGCCAGCAGGCTTCGTGAATGAATCACATCCCTAACTATTCCAATCTGACTTCAGAATATTCTCCAACTGACAGCTCAAACTTTCAAAAAAACCTATACAATTAAAGGTTATTTTTAGGATCACCATGTTTAGCATCAACATCTTTATCTCGTGGGAATCACACACATGGTAATCAGCTCCTCTGCTCAAATGGTGGTTTTCAGAACATGCTATGCACAGAACAAGGTACCTTTATCCCAAAAATAAAAAATAAAAAAACTATACTGATGAAGAAGACAATAAATTCCAACAATTTTCAAACTTCAAAACAACTTGAATCATCATGCTTTCAACTATTGTCTAAACACAAACATACAAAACTACATGTTACTACTTGAAAGTAATAAAAATCCCACATATAACCGAAAAGAAACGAGCAGAATTATACAAACATTATAGCACCAGACAAGTCAACTGTTGAAACGCTGTCTTTGACTGCCCATCATGATCTAGAACAATACATGTTAACCAACATAAAAAGCAAGCACACACTATTCACATTTTAGTCAAACATGCCGGCGTTGGCACTATAATCATCATCACTAACTTGACCAACAAAATCAAAACTAAGTTTACCCACAATACGGATTAAAAAAAAATGGTAATGATAATAAGGCTGTCTTATGCATTACTAGCATAAACCAAACACGGAATAACCTTGGAGAAACGGAATCATTCTCCGTGGCAGTGACATGGACCGGAGGCGGAGGATCGGCAGGAACATCGGGATTGGGGGGATCGTGTTGCCGGTACGGAACTAACACCTCTGCAGGCACCGAGATCGGTGTATCAGTACTTGCTCCCCTCACGGAAACAGAGGAATTTGCAGGGACCTACAGATACACATTATATATATTCTAATTTAAAATTAAAATTAAATAAAAAACAAAAGAAGTATAATATAAAGCTGTCCTCAACTTTTAATTTATTTAATAATAATAAAATAATAAAAGAAAAGAGAGGATTTAACGGCAGAGAAACGCACACGAGGACTGTTATCAGGAGGAGGAGGGCCGGGAATGTAGAGTCGTCGCCTTGGAGATTCCGTCTCCGGCGTCGTTTCGAGGAGTGTTTTGAGTGAAATCACTTGCTGTATTGCCTGCGATTTGTTCCACGACGGTCTTCTCATACCTATTTTTTTTTGGACGGTCACCACCACCAACAAGATTAAAACGACAGAAAACGCAAAAATCATGACTCTCTACTATTATATTTAAGCTAGAGAGACCTTTTTCTTTGAGATAACGGCGGCAATCTTCGCGAGTGAGCTGAGAAATGTCATCTTCGGTTAGTTGTTGAAGGGGTTTGTCTAGAGCTGACCGGGAAACTGTCTCCCCCGGCTGCATGGTGTTTGACTTTAAGTCACGTGATCGTTACCGGAGATTGCAGGGATGAAGGATTCAGTGAGAAATTACACTTTTGAGTGGCATTTTGGTGAATATGTTGTACTTTAAGGGGTGAAAAGGTTTCTGGGAACGGGCAGGGGAGCGAGAGAGTGCGAGGAGGTTGAGGAGGGGGGCCGTTTGGTGTCGCGGCGTCTCACTCTCCAGCTTTATTTTTAAAGGGGATTTTAAATTTAATTTTAATTGGATTTGATTTACTAATTATTCGTGTAATTCGATGGTACTGCAACCCCAGGTCGCCACGTAATCCGGTAAGCCTTTTCAACATTGCCCCCACCAATCACATATTTACGGCGGTAAAACGCTCCCCCTTTGGATGCCAAATACTCCAATCTTATTTTATTTACGATGAATTTTAATCCATGATTACCGATACTAATAAATTATAATAAAGCAATTACTTAGCTTAAAAATGATAAGCTCAAATTTTACGAATAATAAATACATACCCAAAATAAGTTCATTCCCACTTTAGAATAAATTTGGTACAAAGATAATAATTTTTTTTAATTTTTAAAATATTTCAAATTTAAAAATTTAAGCTAATTTTTTGTTATTCAATCGAATATATAAAGCTAATATATCTATTTAAACTATTTTTTTATATATTAAACTCGAATTCAAGATTATTTATTTAAATAACTAATCTTTTCATTTCAAACCAATCCTTTAGTTTAGAAAAAAAAATAATTAGAAAAAAATTAATTATTAAAATGACTCATAATTTATTTATTAATAATATCTATTACATTCCAACTTAAAATACACTTTTTATCAATGATGATATAAAGAGATTATAATAATTATTTTAAACAAATAATAGACATAACATTTTTTTACCGAATCTAGCACCACTCTAATTATTAAAAGGATACTAATTACTCGTGTAAATTTTACCCTATAGAAATACAAGATAAAATTTGTCTCCAGAAAATATTTTTTTGAAGTTTTGTTTGAGAAATGGTAAAGGCGACTTTATGGTTTTCGGAGGCTTCCAAGTGAGATCGTTATTTTTTCTTTTAATTTCTTATATGTACTGGGATTTGGAATTTTGGATTGATATATATGTGCCAGAAAGAATTTCAATTGGTGCTTATTTTCAAGGAAGATTTATTTTGAAAATTGTAATATTATTTCATAATATTGAAGGTTTATCAATGTGCCAAGTTATTGAGAATTTTTCCGCTTAAATGTATATTTTCAAAATTTTAATAGTATTGTATAAAAAATTAAAAGGCAACCCAGAAAGAAAATAAAAGGCCAAAATGGGAAGCAAAGTACAACCTTGAACTAAGCGATAACAATACAAACTTAATTGGTAAGTGAATATAGCGGGTCAGGGTTTTGCTTTGAGCACCTGGATTTGGTTCTTGATTTGGAGAAGGGTCACTTCCAGTTGATTGATTTGTTGAAGGTTTGCCTCCAGCTCCTTGATTTGGAGGAGCTTTGTCTCCTGGAGGTTGATTTGTGCCGTCACTCTTGGGAGAGGAAATATCCTTTTCAGCCATTTATCTGCGCTGTGGCACCGTTGAAAATGTAGCCCGCGCAAGATCAATGTACGATGGAAACTGTGCTATGGCCAGAAAACTCACGGCAGGCGGAGATCCATACACCGGAAAAGCTGCGTAGTTAAGTTCGTCACTAAGCACAAAGAAATGCCACGCACAAAAACATTACCAATATGGCAGCTATGGACCAAAACAAGGATATTGTTAGGCCAAGCAAAAGCTTTTTTGACAAATCTTCCCAAAATCCTTGGCTTCGTACCTAGAAGTCAGTATTGCCAGAAACATGAAGGCGGAAGTACGTGACAAAGAAGCAGAGAGGCATCAAATACTTTCAAGAGGACTGGAGAGCCACTGTCGTCCTTGTTGCCCCCAGGGACGGTGGTGACGTAGCGAAGGCGACAGTGGCAATGAGTGCTGCCACCACGGAGCAGGATTCGGACATGTTAGTTAGCCACTCGCTTCCACTTTTAACAAGTTCTTGGTGTGAGTTGTTGAATATTTCCTTCGGGCTCGCGCTTCTGTAGTTAGGGCGAGCAAAGAAGTTTTCTGGGTGGAATACTAGCATATATACTGCAAGCAGAGGGTACAAACTAGAGAATCAATGCTACTTAATATGGTAGTTTGATTGGTTAGTGCATTAATAGATCATACTGTAGCTAGCGATTGGTGTGTGAAATTTACATGGATTCACAGAATTGCTTAAGTTTGTATAAAAGAAAGTTATTGGTTCAATTCACGTACGAGAGTGTTTTCTTATATGCATATGCTTATACCGTTTGATTTCTCACTGCATTCGTAAAGCGGCTCCTGGAATGCGCCAAGGCTTATATTCCCCAACAATGGAAGCTGCAAGGTGCCTTGCGCTATTTCCCTCGTCATCTACTTGGCGAATGATCCTGTCTAGTGTCTCGTTTTTCTTCCTTCCCTTCAGCATAAGCTGATAAACATGTGGTTGCCTGTTTCCAATGCTAATAGCACCACGTTCTTCTTAATTATTCGGGTTTATATCGCGAATCGCCACACGAAATTGATCTAGGATTTTCTCCATGATTTCAGGGATACCTTTCCCAGCCGCCATTAATACGGGTCTCTCTGGCTTTTTCATTTTAGCTGCTTGCTCCTTCCCTGCCAATGATATCAGCGATCATGCAAGTTGTATTTTTGATATCACAATGAAAGTTAATTAGCATTAGTAGCAGTTAAGTAATAGCAAGATTCAAAACAATATGGAGGGGTGTTTAGGAAAAAGAGGGAAAATATATAGAGAAAATAGTACGTTTAAATGATAATTTCATATATACAATTATTCTGAAAAAAAAAACTATTTTTTAATAGATATGTAATGGACTAATGGCATGGAGGAGGAGGGGGGGGATTGTCCAGGAAAAGGAGGGAAAATGTCTAGAGAAAAGGAGAAAAATTAATGGGAAGTCTTATACAACTATAAAAAATTATTAAGTCTTATAGTTGAGTTTTGGTTGATCTAAAAAATCTAAATATGGTGGTGGATGATTCATTTTTAATATTATATATTATATATTACTTATTGATTTAAATCTTGCGTTGGATTATAATATAAAAAATGGTAAATGGATCATTTATTAAAAAACTTATAAATGATTTACTATTAATTTTATATATTATGTATTTATTTTTTTATTGATATGTGGTGTAGATTTTTTAACAAATACTATTATGAATTTAGTGAAAAATAAAAAAGAACAACTACCCCTTATTTGTATGTCGATTCTTGAATATTATCCCGATTCAACATTATCCCATTTAAAAGTTAATAATCATTCATTTTTATCTACGCGGATTCATATATATATGTATGTATGTATGTATCATGAAGGATAAATTAACCTGATAGGCCTTCAATGTCTTCAACGATTTGCTGCATTGCATTCAAATCATAAGTTTATTCTACCGATTTAAGAAGCTTCTACTCTATTATTTATGATTTTAACTGGTATTTAAATATACATATAATTAAAAAACATGAGTGAGCTACTTTTTATGAATTAGTATTAGGTATATTATAGAAATTTTACCATGTTGTTACCTTGGGGTATGGTTTGGTTATTAGAAATATATAAAACATTCAAAATGAGAATGCAGAAATTAAAATAAAAATTAATGAATCGAAATGATATTTATATTCTCATATCATATTTAAAATACTAGCTAATAAGAAATTAGAATAAAATTTGAATTTTTTAATATCCGATTTTTAATATGAACAACAATAATGATTAAAAAAATAATTTCATTAATTATAATGATAACAAAAATAATAAAAGTGATTGAATTAGTAGTGGTGGTTATGATGAAATATGAGGAGATTAAGATAAAATGGTAATAATAACGAGTATAATAATAATAATAATATATTTTAAAAAATCTCATATCATTACTATAGGAGATGGCCGTGGATGAATAGTGATGGTGGTTGTATAATAAAAATGATAGTGGTAATGCTGAAAGAGGAATAATGATAGAATAATAATAATTTTTTTATTATTACCGTCAAGTAAAGATAATTGTGGTGGTAGTGATAAAAATAATTAATACATAATAAATTAAAATAGCATTTTATTATTTTGAAGAAAAAAAATTCATTCTCATTTCTTATTTTTTACATAAAAATGAAACTACGTATAATTTTGATTTATATTTATATTTTTTATTATCATTTTCATTTCATTTTCTTCTATCAAACAATTATATAAAAAAAAGAATAGGATTTTTACTTCTATTCCTATCATCTTAATAATCAAACGGCATATGATTGTTTAAAAAGTAGGGTAATATCCAATAGTACATATTAGTAGAGAGTAAATTATAGCGCTGATATTATATCGTGTAAAATAATCTATCAATAGTTTGAGTTTATGCTTTTAGCAAATTTTTTAGTCTGACCCCACACTCAAAGGCCACAACACATAGCAAGTTGCTTGCTTCACAGCCTTCGCCACCGTACTTGGACACATTAACACGTATATTACGAACGGAGAAACCCGGTTCACGGGCTTCAAACTTCAACTTCTCTTTGAACACACTAACACATATTAGTTGCTGCTTAATTTTAATGGAATCATCAGAAAAGCTAGACCCGCAGCATGGGGTTTCGTCAACTATTCCCAGTATTCTCGAACTCGTACAACGAAGTCTTATCAAGAAGTGGGTCCAGTCCCTGAACAGACCATGCATGAGTGCTTCTCTTTCTTCAGTTGTATCTTTCTTATCTGCATTGATCCTTGACAAAATGAAAATTAAAAACATGATTTGGTACAAGCGTACACGCACAAACACAGTACACATTTCCTTTCATGAAAATGATTATACGGAGAGAATCATACCTAATCCAAGAATTACTAACGTACTTCTACACAAGCTTCAACAATGCAAAGATGGTGCCGTAATTTGAAGAATCAATCCGCTTCCTCGAGCACTGTTCGTTTCCTTTCCTGTATGTACGTTATTAATTCTCCAACTTGACCATATATCAAACATATTGGAGAAATCAGTGCATGGGAGTATTGATTTAAGCTTTTACATCACTCTAGATGAATAAATTCTTTCATATACACGACATGAGATTGTCTTCTAATCTTCGGAGATGTTCTCCAGAGATGACAACATGAAGGATGGAATCCCCATTCTTCTCTCTATAATATGATTTGCTGTTATCGGGTAGAGCGTAATTGTGGAGACAAAGAAAAGCACATATCTGTTTTACCCAGGAGAGCAACCAAGAACATTGGGTTCTCTTTGTCCGTGTCACGTTCGCCTACTAGATAATCCTTGGCTTCTTTCTTGTCTGATGAAGTCTGATCCTTCTCGGCTTCTTTCTCCTTCAATTTCTGATCCTTCTCAACTTCTTAATTTGATGGATTATGATCATTCTGGACTAGCGAATTAACCCTGTTCGGCTGTTCCCCGGCCCACGACGTGACATTCCCCACAAAAGCTGCCAGACAGAGAGGTGTATTTCTCCGTTCATTTTGAACCCTTAGAGCCTTCGTGGCTTCTTCCGAGGACATTAGATCTACCAGGTGCCCTAATGTTTCATCTTTGCCATCAATAACTGCCAAGTGTAATAATGTGTCACTTGAACTGGTGATTTTTGGTACTGCCTTAGTGCTTTTCTTGTATATATTTCAACTAACCGGTTGGTTGCCGCTACTGTACGGATCTGATAGGAAAAAAATCATTTTAAATTTTTTTAATTATAATTTTATTTAATTAATTTTTTCTAATGTTTTTTTATATAACTTTTTTCTTTAAAAAAAAACATAAATCGTTCTTCTTTTTTAATTTATTTTAACTAAAATATTAATTAAGAATTTAAAAAAACTTTAAAAATATATTTTTCATCATATTATGCTACAAAATATAAAATTATAGTTAATGGATAGACTTTTATAAAAACTAACAAATGAAAAAAAATTCTTATTTAATGTTGATGAGAAGATTAATTTTTTAAATTATATACACAATGCTGCAGGTAGATAGAATAAAATCATTTTAAAATTTTTTCATTAATTCTTATTTAATTATTACTATTTCTTTGTATTTTTTGTAAAATTTCTACTTAGAAAAAACATGATTTATTCTTCTTTGTTTTGGGATTCTTAAATAAAAATTTATAATAATTTAAACCTAAAATATTAATTAAGAATTCAAAGATAAATACTTTAAAAATATATTGTTTTATAAGAATATATAAAAATAAAAAATAAAGTTACAATTAATGTATAGACTTGCATAAAAATTAACTAATGAAAAAATAAATTTTATTTTATTTAATATTGATGAAAGATTATTTCTTTTAAAAGCATATGCATTTGATCTATATATATTTATTTACAAAATAATCAATAAAATTAGCATAAAAAATAGTATTTGAATAATCGATTGGTTCCTTTAAAAAATTATTTTAATTATTCTATTTCAAATAAATAGGTTCTATAATGTTAAAAAAATATTCTTAGTAACTAATTTGTATTATGTTAGAAGATGTACAGTTAATTTTTAATAAAAACAATGATTCAATAGTTTTTTTTATACGTCTTGACCGTACTTAGTGAACTGAAATAAATTATTTAAAATTACACTTTTAACCTTATAGAATAAAATATATGCAACTATTATTTAAAAATTTTAAGAATTCATGATGTATACTACATCAATTTATTTTTTAGAAAAGAAAAAATGATCATGTTTTAAGATTTTATTCTAAAATTATAAAATAGAGTAAATTAAATTATATTTATCAATAAATAAAATTATATATATAAATATTAATTGGATGAGAATTTTCATAAAAAATGATAAATTCAAAGAATGAAATTTAAATAATAAAAGCAATATAAGTTGAAGTATATGTTAATTTTAAAACATAAAAAGATAACACACACACACACTACGTGAAAAAAACAAATGAAAGCGAAGTATTGAAAAACAATGTTACAACATGAGAGATGGAAAATAAATAAAAAAATGTTAAATTTGGATATTAAGGCCCAAAGACATATAAAAATTACTTAAATTACCATCAAGTGAATAAGAATTTTATGCATATAAACGGTAAGTGAATAAGAATTTTAAGCATATGAACAGTTTGAATTCTCGCACTACGCTGCAAAGCAAACCAAACATATTTATTTCCGTTTGATAATATGTGTTATGTTACCGCTTAACTAAAGTACATTAAATTAAATATAAAAGATAAACTTTTATTTAATTTTATAATTTTTAATCAAAATTTGTATCTATACATTTTTTTTAATAACTTTTGAAGTAAAAAAAAAATATGATTTTTTTCTCATGCATTTATTCCTAAATAAAAACCCATAATAAATAAATTTTAATATAAATTCTTTTAAAAAAAAGTCTTACTATTTTTTTTTATAACATTACATTGAAGAAATAAAGCAACAATTAATATAAAAACTTGTATGAAAATTAACAAATGAAGCTTTTTACCGATAGAAGATTATTTTTTAAATATGTACATTTGACTTATATATATTTATTTACAAAATAATGAATAATATTAGTATATAGAATTGTATTTGAATTATTAAGCGAAATTGTACTTGAATTATTAAGCGGTTATTCTAAAATATTATTTCAGTTATTTTATTTGAAAACATTAATTTTAAAATATATAAAAAATAATAGCAAATAGTTGGTGTTGTGTGTGTAGATGTATAGTTCATTTCTAATAAAATCAATGACTCTAATATTATTATTTTTTTATATATCATGACCACACTTAATGGATAAGAATGTATAGCATAAAAAAGAATTAAATAATTAAGTTATAAAATATATATTGAAGTTAATAGAATACAATACTATAAAATTGATTTCGATAAAATTTGATTATATAAAGAATAAGAAAATATAATACATATATTCTATTTTTAAAATTTGATTATATAAGAATCATGCAAATCAAAACTGATATAAAACAAAATTATTCGAATCCATTCATAGAGAAAATAAATCATATTTATTACTAAATAAAATTATATAAAAAACAAGAATAAAAATTAACTTCATGAAAATTTTTATAATAAATCAAAAAGATCAATTTTAAATAATAAAAGTAGTATATATTTATTCTAAAATATAAAAATATATCATATATATTATATGATTGTCGGTTTGTGTGGAAAGAAGCAATGATTGATTTTTAAAACTTATAACACCCAATTAAAAAATAAAAAATAAAAAAAAGAACATAAATTGATGGAAAAAAGAAAAGGAAAAAAAAACAAAGAAAAAAAAAGAAAAGGCATGTAATGCATGAGCTAGGGATTAAAATTTTTATTTTAAAATTTTAAGGACCAAAAAAAATAATTTAAAAAAAATAAGAGTGAATAGTACATTATGAGGATAACATCCAATTAAATAATAATAAAAAAAAGAACATAAATTGATGAAAAAAAAAAGCAAAGGAAAAACAAAGAAAAGAAAATGCATGTAACGCATCGGTTAGGGATTAAAATTTTATGAACCAAAAAAAAAATTTTAAAAGGATGATGAACAATATATTGTGAGGGAGTGAACGAGTGTTGTCACCTTGTTCAAAAACCTCATCTCGTTTGAGTTTATTAGTAAAGTAATAATCACTTCATTCCATCACCTCTCATAGTCAATCAAAACAAGTTCGAGCTGGTGATTATTCCTCCTCTTGCTCTTGATAAATATCCATATGGATCTTTATCGCTCTAATTATTGATCAAGTTTTTAGAACTATATATAAGACGTTGTCTTCTGTTTTTTCTTGCCACAACCAACAATATTGCAAAAATTGAGTTCATACTAATTCTTGAAAGTGAAAAAAAAAAAAAAAGAGTTGAAAGATCATGAAAGATGAGGATTTAAAAAAAAATAATGAATAATTATCAGAAAAACTCTCAAAAAAATCTTCAAACAAAAAAACCATCAATTTATTTTTAAATCTCTCAAATCCAAAATAATATTTTTTTTACAAAACCTCAATCGTTAACCTCCAACTTAACATAAGTTAGCTATTAGAGTTTTGGTAAAGTGTGTGTGTATATATATATATATATATATATATATTAGATTTGAGAGATTTAAAAAATAAATCGATGATTTTTTTAGATAAAAGATTTTTAGTGATTATATAATAATAAACTCATTTTATAGTTTTTAATGATTTTATGATTTTTTGTTTTTGGTCATGATCAAGTTTAGGTTCTTTTTTATTACGGTTAAAAGAAAAATAAAAAGGTTTTTTAGGTTCTTTGATTGTTGACACACCGACCTGTCGATTGCTATTTTTTTCTTATACTAAAAAATTTTCTACGTGGGAGTTTTAATTTCTTATATCGGCTATTTTTTTCATCGACTTGTGAGATTACTTTTACTATCTAATAACTATAACAACTAATGCAATTTAACTAATTAATGAAACAAAACTCTTGTTATTCTATTGTAATTTAATTCAAGAATTATCATAAAAATAAAACGCAAGAATATGTATAGTTATGAACATTAATAATCTCTTAAATCCTATTATATTGATAAAAAAAAAAAACATAAGTACACTAGTTTTTATTAATCAAAACTCAATATTTTTTATCAAGCAATCAATTTAAACTATGGAATGAATTTATAATATATTTTGGTATATTAATTAAATAGAATATGGTCATCCACAATACACATATATATCTTGAAAGATAATAGTTTCATTTAAGCTAGGAATAATTACCATAAAACCCTCTAAAAAATCTTCTATCTAAAAAATCTATTAATTTATTTTTAAACCTCTCAAATACAAAACAATATTTTTCTTATCAAAATACTTTTTAAAACATCTAAAACCCAAAACTATATTGTTTTGGTAAGAAAAATATTGTTTTGGCTTTGGGAGATTTGAAAATAAATAGGTGGATTCTTGGATATAAGTTCTTTTTAAAAGGTTTTTTTGGTAACTATCGCAAAAATAAACTTGATTGACTTGGTTATGTGACAATAACAACGTTTTTTCTTCTTCTTCTTCTTCTTCTTCTTCTTTTTTTTTTTTTTTTATAAGTAAAATAGATTAATTAAAACCAACAAGTTGTTGGCCTAGTGGCTAGTGATAAGCATGTCCATGCCAAAGCAAATTTTCTTCTAATGTGTAGGATTTGAATTTTGGACTCGCACTTATTGAAACAGTAACAATTTTATCGTTTTGGCGAGTGAACAAGATTAATCTTGTTTTTAATGTGAAATGAAGATCTCTAGATAAAACAAAAAAATAAATTGATTAAAACACGAAAGCAAATTTTTTTAACCAAAGATTTTGAATTCAAAATCATGTCATTGTTATTTATTTATGAAACTCTATTTAACGAACAAAAAAAATTTAGTTTATGTATATAAATATATAATTATGGAGAATTTTCTTTATTATGATAATGCCTCTTAAGATGCTATATTATTTTTTTATTAATTTAATTATATTTTATTTAAAATATTGAAATTAGTTTAGCAGTGAGATATAATTTATAACTCATAAAAAAAGATGTTTTAATTATTTATTGTTATATTTTATTTTATTATACACTATTTATTTATTTATTTATTATTATTATTATTATTTATTTTATTTTTGTTAACCTACACGCAATGGACAGTTGTCTAGTATAAATGAAAGCTTTTCATCCATCAACCAAACGAAAAAAAAAAAAAAAAAAACTTTCATTCATTCACTAGTTACAAATCCAAATAGGAAAAGACCATTTTCTTCCCTTCCATTTTGCTCCCTCGAAATGTTTCCAAACACTGGCTAAAACTTGTGGAAATTATTTTGGGCAGGTCTGTTTATAATTGACTTGGGATTGGGTTGGCGTGGGCTTCTTTCTTATTTGGGCTTCCAATATTTGGACCAATTTCCACCAAAATGGGTTTGACCTTTTGGACCGGCATGCTTTTCTAAGGTTGCCGCGTGGCTTTTTGCCTTCGTGAGGTCTCTTTTCATACAAAACAATTATTGGGCTGCTTGTCCCTTTTTACTGGACCAATCTTTATATCAGTTTTCTGGACTCAAGCTGTTGAACCATTTGGACTCTGATATCATATTGGAATTAATTGGACCAGCTCGCCAACATTGTTTGGTTGTAAAATTTTTAGCAGTCAAGTCAAAGATCAAGTGTCAACTACGTTACAAGGCATTTTAACAACGAATAATTTTTTTCATCGCTAATTAAAAAAAAGATAGCTTAATTTAAAAAATAAACAGTGACGAAAACTTGTCTTCAACGACGCACTCAATTCCATCAAAAAAATCGAAAAATTATATGATTTAAATTATATTTGCATGTTTGATCCGTTGTTTCTCTTATGCTCATATATTTGCATGTAACGGAGGAATTCGACTACTGATTAATGTCGGTCCCAACTCTTTGATGTTAAAATCTTTGCATGTGAATAGAAGAATTTCTATTGTATTCCTTCTACATGTGCTTTTCGTGCTTCATATTAGCAATATGCCAAACTCGAAATCAAACTAGATTTGGACCTACGGATTTATAGGTTAATAACCGTCGTAAGTTTCTATATCATACATGTTTGATCAAATCAATTATTTAACATGAAAAATGCTATAATTAACTTCTTTATCCCCTTAACTAAATCATTTTAAATTTTTTATTCATATTCGTTGATAACGTTAGTTTAACTAAACAATAGCTAGTTTATTTATTTCTATTAGTTTATAGAAGTATTGAACTTAATATATGTTACACGTATTTTTTAATTAATATAATTTATATTAACATATTTTATAAATAAGTTTTTAGTACGACAGTAACGAGTTTTTTGTATTTGTAAAAAATCACAAATTTAAATATTTTTTTAAAAAAAAATTGACTTTAAAAAAATCTATCATAAAAGAAAGGTAAAATAACTCTGCTAGCTTCTAAATGATAATTTTAATATTCTAATGATTAATTAATGATATGGGCTGCAAGTGTAACCATTGCATAACTCCAAATAATTCATTTTACCACGATTACAACCGTATTTATATCTACCGCCGAAACTATAGTTTAAAACCATTCATAAGATCAAATCAATACCAAAGTGAGTTTACGTCATTGTTATGGCTGAATGTGACCATGCAAGAGAATCTCGTCCAGATCATGTCCTTCCATCCACAGTACTGAAAATGTTCACATTATTTGCCCATGAAATTTCCAAAGGATGGATGCAATCGATTAAAATTCATGAACACGCGGCGCCTTCTTCAGAAAGACAATTCCTCCCAAATCTCCAAACACATCACCATCTTACAAGTCATGGATATCTCTGACAGGAGGTGGCTGTTGTAGAGGATGGGAACATCAAAATTTAAATTGGGATAATTACATTATAACTACATCAACTTTCTATCTTTTTTTAATTAAATATATAATTTTTAATTTTTTTTGTTTGAGTATATTTATTTTTTAAAAAAATTCAATCAAATGATTTGATCAATTTTTTTTTTTGTTAATTGATAATGTATCTATTATTCTCAAAATATCAAATTATAATTTTTCTCTTTTCTCAATATAATATATAAATTTTATTTTTTAAAAAAATTGAGTAAATCAATTTTTTAAAATTTCTATCTCTAACATCCTGCTAATTTATCCTTCATTCTCACAAAATTTGATTTCTCTAATTATATGTCATCGTCTCAACAGATTGGGTGGTGCTGGTCTTCTCCATCGCTTTATCTTCCTTGATTTAATAATTAGACCGTGCAATAGCCGTATGAACTGGATTTAAATATTTTTTTGAATTTTCTGAAATAAGAAGAAGCTTGATCGCTAGATTCTAATTAAGTAACGTGATAGAAGCAGTTGTTCTCTTACATTAAACAATAAATTAAAAGTGTTAACTTCATGAGTCTAGTGAGTCATGAGCGTCGTGATTTCATGATGTCATTACTCGTTAGCCCTTGTATTTTTATGGTCTGTACATAAACTATTTTTACAAATGTTGCACTCTCAAGTACAATGAAATGCAGCTGAGTTAATTTGTGGATTAAAATATCTAAGGATTTCTCTAACACGTGCCTTAAAATATATGCATTCTTTAATATAAATAGATTGATTTTTTTTATTATTATCAAGTGACATTCTAATTCATAATTCAATATTATTATTTATGAAAATAAAAACATTTTATTTATATCAATATTCGATAAAAATACATGTTAGAAAAACCAAATATTTAAAATTAAATAATTATACTAATTAGACCAATAGACATTTGACATGACATGTTAGAATTAATTAGGACTATTAACAGATTGTATTCGGATCGAATCATAATAGACACGATTATTTAGTAAATTGAGTTAGATCGAATTTATTAATTCAGCACGGATTTTGAAAATATAAAACTGAATTCCGAATTCCATCGGATTTATCATTTGAGTTTTTTAGAAAATTTATGTTTGCTATATTTCATATATTGCTTGGATATATATAAAATATATTTCAATTACTATATGTAGAATAAAATATATTAAGATAATATTTTATTTATCTATTTTGTAAACAAAATTCAAAATGTCACACGATTCAAATACATAAAATCAAATCATCTTAATAAAAATTATTTTGAACTAGGTAGGAAGTATGATAAAACTAAAATAAATAAATAATAAATAATTTTTATTTTTTGTCCATGCGATAGCAAAAATAAAGTAATGGTAAATATAATAACATCAATCTTGGAAAGGTATGTAAGTCGGTTTATATATATATTTTTTCACGAAATTGAATCAATAAAATAACAAGAAATTTATATGTAATTTTTTGAAAATACAATTATCATTATAGAAGAACATACGTTATTTGAATTTTATAATAAATAAACTCAAAATTTCAACATAGTTTCATATTTATATATTTTTCATAATTTACTTTTTAATATTTTAAAAATATTATATTTATTATGAAAATATTATCTTTAGTTTCAGATTTGATTATTGTCAAATTAGATCAATATAGATTAAAATTTGATCTATCTAATAATCGAATTAATAGATTTAGATTATATTCGGGCTCGGATCAAAAAATTGTTTATCAAATCTATTTAAATATATCGAATTTGGATTAATTAAGATCCAATCCTTTTGCAACCCTAGTATCAATAAAGAAAACACAAAAGCTATATATATATATATATATATATATATATATATATATATATATATATATATATATATATACATACATATACATATCAATTTTTGATATATTTTCAATTGAGACATTATTTTTTTTTAACCACGCTAATTTTTTTGAAAAACCAATCAAGTATTTATATCTAATTTTTGTCCATTACTCTGTTATCTCATAATGTATCATTTGTTCCATACTACTTAATTATAATTTTATCTTTTTATTTTTTGAACGAACTTTGCCCTTCAAATGATTTTACTATTTCCAAAATTTTAAATATAAAGAGAATTTTTATTTTTCTTATACAAAAATTATAAAATAACAAAATAATTTAGGAGGTAACTTCTTTCCAAGAATGAAAGAAAAAAAATCATATTTTAATAGTCTAAAAAAAAGAGTCATGTCATCAAATAACAAAGTAATTGAAAGAAATTGGATGAAAAATATTTGATTTTCTATTTTGAAAAAATGGTATACTTAAACAATAAAAATTTAAAATTTATGTATTCGATTAAAAAGAAAGTTACAAGTTCATATGAAAGTTTTTACATTATATACCTTAAACCGCTAGTAATGTTTTTAAAGAAAACCTTCATTGGTTATAAATTTCTATTTTTATGTATTTTTGACATCTAAACTGAAATGATTAATTGACTAAGGTGAAGAGAAAATTAACTGATTTCCTATTTAACATATAGTATTAAGTGTGAATTTTTATATTATTTTCATTACAATATAATTCTAGGGATAAGTTTTTTTTTCCTGATAACCTTACAAAGAAAAAGCTCAAAGAAATAGAGAGAGATTGAAATTTTTTAAAGAGAAGGAAAAATAACTATTAATCTATAAAAGTTGTTGCGGAAAATCGAATAAAATGAATTATTACAAAAAAAAAAAAAAAAAAAAGAGAGTCCATCTCTGTGAGCACAAGGCGACCGCAGAAAATGGGCCTAGAATCCTAGGCCCGTGTATACGAAACTTATGATGGAGCGGATCCAGCACTGCTTACTCCTTGTTGGATCGCTGTATGGACTACCCTTTAACCTCGTATTTCTTGCAAGCCAAACCCGCCCATTATTGCATTGAGACTCTCAATTCGCTGAAACAAAACGTCCGCAAGGAGGGGTTTTTTTTTTTTTTTTTTTTTTCCGGCTTATGAGCTTCCTAACGTGCACAGTGAAAGTTAAAAAAAAAAAAACATTTAATAAAAATTTACAAGCTTTCTCCAAGTGAAAACAGCCATACCAAAAACATCAAGAGTGATGAGAAAATGAAAATCAGAAAAAAATTATAAAAAAATATAACTGAAAAATAATCACAAAAATATATTTGCATGTTTGATCCGTTGTTTCTCTTATGCTCATATATTTGCATGTAACGGAGGAATTCGACTACTGATTAATGTCGGTCCCAACTCTTTGATGTTAAAGTCTTTGCATGTGAATAGAAGAATTTCTATTATATTCCTTCTACATGTGCTTTTCGTGCTTCATATTAGCAATATGCCAAACTCGAAATCAAACTAGATTTGGACCTACGGATTTATAGGTTAATAACCGTCGTAAGTTTCTATATCATACATGTTTGATCAAATCAATTATTTAACATGAAAAATGCTATAATTAACTTCTTTATCCCCTTAACTAAATCATTTTAAATTTTTTATTCATATTCGTTGATAACGTTAGTTTAACTAAACAATGCTAGTTTATTTATTTCTATTAGTTTATAGAAGTATTGAACTTAATATATGTTACACGTATTTTTTAATTAATATAATTTGTATTAACATATTTTATAAATAAGTTTTTAGTACGACAGTAATGAGTTTTTTATATTTGTAAAAAATCACAAATTTAAATATATATTTTTTAAAAAAATTGACTTTAAAAAAAATCTATCATAAAAGAAAGGTAAAATAACTCTGCTAACTTCTAAATAATAATTTTAATATTCTAATGATTAGTTATTGATATGGGCTGCAAGTGTAACCATTGCATAACTCCAAATAATTCATTTCGCCACAATTACAACCGTACTTATATCTACCATTAGGAATGGCAAAATGACCGGATCCGAGGTCGCCCGTCTCGTAATTTTTTTGGACGGGGATGAGATTTGCCCACCCCGTCCCATTTTGCCCCGTCAACGGTGACTTATAGTAAGTCACTTGACGGTTTACACTTACTCGGTGAAATGAAAAATACAAATTGTGTGTGTGTGTTGTGTTTATTGTTTATATATTATTTTAATAGTTTTTATATTAAATTCTATAAAATAATTTTAGGTTTTTAATAAGTTTTTATGTGATTTGTTTATTATTTTCAGTTTATCAATTTTTAATATGTTTTAATGTATTGTGAGTGTTTGATCCGATTTATGTTTGAATTAGGTTCAAGGAACAAAGGATTGAGAATGTCGGTATGTCACGGCCATGACTCACCAAAAGTAAAGGAGAGTCACGGCCGTGACTCTCCAAAGTGAAGAAAACCTCACGGCCGTGATACAACAAGGAGAAGAAAGCTCATGGCCGTGAGTTTCAAAAGGAAAAAAAAGCCCACGATAATGAGCTTCAAAAGGAAGAAAAACCCACGCTCGTGAGCTTAAAAAGGGAAGAAAAGCTCACGACTATGAGCAAATTTTTAGGGATTAAATTTTTTTGGACGAGGATGAGATTTACCCACCCCGCCCCATTTTGCCCCGTCAACGGTAACTTATAGTAAGTCACACGATAATTTACACTTACTCGGTAAAATAGAAAATACAAATTATATATGCTCATTATAAAACCTGTCAAAACGAACAAAATGAAGTAGGACGGGATGGACACAAATAGTAAAACGAGGTTCCGTTTGCCTAACGAGGATCCCCGTTATCGTTTGAGGCGAGAATAGGATGACAAATTCTACCATGTTCTTGACACGGGGCGGTGATGGGGAATTTTTTAAGGGAGCGGCCCGCCCCATTGCCATCCCTGTCTACCACCAAAACTATATTTTAAAACCATTCATAGGATCAAATCAATACCGACGTTAGTTTACGTCATTGTTATGGCTGAATGTTACCATGCAGGAGAATCTCGTCCAGATCATGCATGTCCTTCCATCCACAGCACTGAAAATGTTCATGTTACTTGCCCATGAAATTTCCAATGCATGGATGCAATCGATTAAAATTCATGAACACGCGGCGCCTTCTTTATAAAGACAATTCCTCCCAAATCTCCGAAAACAGATCACCATCTTCTGGAACAATTCATGGATATCTCCGACAGGAGGTGGCTATTGTAGAGGCTGGGAACATCAAAATTAAATTGGGATAATTACATTATAACTACATTAACTTTCTACCTTTCCTTAATTAATTATATAAATTTTATTTTGTTAATTTTAGTATATTTATTTTTTTCAAAAAAGTTAATAAAATGACTTCGTCAATTTTTTTGTTAGCTGACGATAATCTATTATTCTTAAAATATCAAATTATAATTTTTCTCTTTTCTCAATATAATATATAAATTTTAATTTTTTTAAATAAATCGCATCAATTTTTTTAATTTCTATCTCTAGCATCCGCTAATTTATCCTTCATTCTCACAAAAAAATTGATTTCTCTAGTTGCATGTCATCGTCTCAACAGATTGGGTGGTGCTGATCTTCTCCATCGCTCTATCTTCCTTGATTTGATAATTAGATTGTGCAATAGCCGTATGAACTGGATTTAATTATTTTTTTGAATTTTCTGAAATAAGAAGAAGCTTGATCGCTAGATTCTAACTAACGTGACAGAAGTAGTTGTTCTCTTTCGTTAAACAATAAATTAAAAGTGGTTAACTTCACGAGTCTAGTGAGTCGCGAGAGTCATGATTTCATGATGTCATTACTCGTTAGCCCTAGTATTTTTAGAGTTTTTACATAAACTATTTTTACAAATATTGCATACTCTCAAATACAATGAAATGCAGCTGAGTTAATTTGTGGATTAAAATATCTAAGGATGTATATAACACGCGCCTTAAAAAATATACATTATTTAATATAAATAAATTGATTCATTTTTATGATTGAGTGAAATTCTAATTCATAATTTAATATTATTATTTATGAAAATAATTTATTTATTTATTTATATCAGTATTAGATAAAAATACTTGTTAGAAAAACCTAATATCTAAAATTAAATAATTATACTAATTAAACTAATAGGCATTTGACATGACATGTTAGAATTAATTAGGACTCTTAACGTATCGAATTCGAATTGAATCATAATACATCCGATTACTTAGTAAATTGGGCCATATTGAATCAATTAATTCAGATCATATTTTGAAAATATGAAATTGAATTTCGAGTTCCACCGGATTTATCATTTGAGTTTTTTAGAAAATTCATGTTTACTATATTTCATATATTGCTTGAATATAAGATATATTTCAATCGTTATATACATAATAAAATACATTAAGATAATATTTTATTTACTATCTTGTAAACAAAATTCAAAATGTCACACAATTCAAATGCACAAAATCAAATCATCTTAATAAAAATTATTTTAAACTGTGTGGGAAGTATGATAAAACTTAAATAAATAAATAATAAATAATTTTTATTTTTTGTCCACATGGTAGCAAAAATAAAGTGATGGTAAATATAATAACACCAACTCTTGGAAAGGTATATAAATCAATTTATATTTTTTTCACATAAATTGAATCAATAAAATAACAAGAAATTTATATGTGATTTTTTTGAAACTACAATTGTCATTATAGAAGAATATACATTATTTGAAATTTATAATAAATAAACTCAAAATTTCAACATACTTTCATATTTATATATTTTTCATATTTTAATTTTTAATATTTTAAAAATATTATATTTATTATGAAAATATTATTTTTAGTTTCGGATTAGATTATTATCAAATAAGATCAATATAGATCAAAATTTGATCTATTTAATAATCGGATTAATAGATTTAGATTATATTTAGACTCGGATCGAAAAAATTATTTACCAAATCTATTTAAACACTTCGAATTCGAATTAATTAAGATCCAATAATCCCTTTACAACCATAGTATTAATAAAGAAAACACAAAAACAATTGGATTATAAACACACACACACATCAATGTTCAATATATTTTCAATTGAGATGTGATTTTTTTTTAACTACGTTATTTTTTTTAAACAAACAATCAAGTATTTATATCTAATTTTTATCTATCACTCCGTTATCTCATAATGTATCATTTGTTCCATACCACTCAATTATAATTTTATCTTTTTATTTTTTGAACGAACTTTGCCCTTCAAATTATTTTACTATTTCTAAATTTTTAAATATAAAGGGAATTTTTATTTTTTTATAAAAAAATTATAAAATAACAAAATAATTTAGGACGTAAACTTCTTTCCAAGAATGAAAGAAAAAAAATCATATTTTAACAGTATAAAAAAATCATGTCATCAAATGATGAAGCAATTGAAAGAAATTGGATGAAAAATATTTGATTTTCTATTTTGAAAAAAATGATAGCTTAAACTAAAAAAATTAAAATTTACTTAATCGATTAAAAAAAGTTACAGAGTTGATATGAAAGTTTTTACATTACATACCTTAAAACCTTTAGTAATGTTTCAAATAAAACCTTCATTGGTTATAAATTTGTATTTTTATGTATTTTTGACATCTAATTTGATATGATTAATTGATTAAGGTGAAGAGAAAATTAACTGATTTCCTATTTAACATACAGTATTAAGTGTGCATTTTTATATTATTTTCATCACAATATAATTCTAGGGATAAGTTTTTTTCCTGATAATCTTACTAAGAAAAAGCTCAAAGACATAGAGAGAGACTGAAATTTTTTAAAGAGAAGGAAAAAGAAAAGAAATAACTATTAATTTATAAAAGCTGTTGCGGAAAATCGAGTAAAATGAATTATTACAATAAAAAGTTAAAAAAAAAAAGAAAAAAGAAAAAAAGAGTCCATCTCTGTGAGCACAAGGCGACCCGAGCAAATGGGCCTATAATCGTAGGCCCGTGTGTACGAAACTGATGATGGAGCGGATCCAGCACTGCTTACTCCTTGTTGGATCGCTGTATGGACTACCCTTTAACCTCGTATTTCTTGCAAACCAAACCAGCCCATTATTGCATTTTTTTTTAATTATCTATTTATATTCCGGCTTATGAGCTTCCTAACGTGCACGGTGAAAGTTAAAATAATAATAATAATAATAAAAATTCAGAAGCTTTCTCTAAGTGAAAACAGGCATACCAAAAACATCAAGAGTGATGAGAAAATGAAAATCAGAAAAAAATTATAAAAAAATATAACTGAAAAAGCAAAAGGCGTTCATATGTTCGTAACCGAAAAGAAAAGAAAAGAAAAGAAAGGCCGAAATGAGAAGAAAAGCATTTCCATCTAGGCCAAGATGAGAAGCGAAGTACACCCTTAAACTAAATTCTAACAATATTTGTTTGATTGCCTGGATTTGTTTCTTGATTTGAAGAAGGTTCGTCTCCAGTTGATTGAGTTGTTGAAGGTTTGCCTCCAGTTCCTTGATCTGGAGGAGAGTTGTCACCTTGATGCTGATTCGGTCCGTCAGGTAATATGCTTTTCAGCAGCAACTACCTCATAGCTGCGCTGTGGCACCGTCGCCATTGTAGCCCTCACAAGATCAATGTACAACGGAAACTGTGCTATAGCAAAAAAACTCACCGGCAGGCAAGTCACTCCATACACCGGAATAGCTGCGTACTTGAGTTCATCACTAAGCACAAAGAAATGCCCCGCGCAAAAACATACCAATATGGCAGCTATGGACACAAACAACGATGTTAAGCCAATTAAAACCTTGTTTGGCAGATCTTTTCTAAAATCCTTGGGTTGGTACCTAGAAGTTAGTATTGCAAGAAACATGACCACGGAAGTGACCGAGAAGCAGAGAGCCACGAGAGATGAGATAGCAAATACTTTGAATTCAGGCCGGTTTTTGAGGACTGGAGAGCCACTGTCCTCCTTGTTTCCACCAGGGACGGCAGCTGATGTAGCGAAGGCGACAGTGGCAATGAGCGCTGCCACCACAGAGCAGGATTCAGAGGTGCTTGCTAGCCACTCGCCTCCACTTTTAACAAGTTCTTGGTGCGAGATAGTGAATATTTCCTTTGAGGTACGGCCTTCAGAATTGTGGCGAGGAAAGAAGTTGCCCGGCATGGAATACTTAACATACTACAAGATGCAAATTAATTAGAGGATGACTACAAACACACATATACTGCTTTTGTGATTAGCACAGTAATGTAGATGACGTGATTGATTTGATTTAATTTAATTTAGATTGATTAACATAAGTTATGAAGTTATCACAAAAGAAATTAAGTGGTCTAATTTGATTAGTGTGTCAACTTCTTCATCATACATACCTTATACCATTTGATTTCCCACTGCATTTGTAAAGCGGCGCCAGGAATGCGCCAAGGCTTATATTCTCCAACCGTGGCAGCCGCGAGATGCCTTGCGCTGTTTCCCTTGTCATCCACTTGCCGAAAGATCCTATCTTTTGTCTTGTTTTGCTTCGCTAGGTTCAGTAAAAGCTCATAAACTTGTGGTTGCCTGTTTTCAACTGCCAATAGCACTACATTCTTCTTCTCTGAGTTCGTGTCCTGAATTGCAACAGGAAATTGGTCTAGGATTTTCTGCACAATTTCAGTGATACCATTCTTTGCCGCCAACAATATGGATGTCTCTCTCTTTTCCTTTGTTGGTATTTTAGAAGTTGCTTCTTGAATTTCTTTGGTGATTTCCTGATTATTTTCTGCATCGAACGCATACGAGGACAGACGTCGCCTCGGGGTCTTTCCATTGTTCTCGTACTTGTACGATAAAACCTTAGAAAGAATTTGGTCCAAGACCTGAACAGACCATATGTGCTTCTCTTTCTTCAGTTTTATCCTTTTTACCTCCGTTGTTCCTTGGAAAAATTAAAAGTTAAAACATGATTGATTAGTAAAGTGTCTGATCACAAACTTATGCACAAAATTAAACCCAAATTACTGTATATATATAACACTAATATTTGCATTTATGAAGTGATTATATATATATATATATCACTACGGAGAGAACCATACATACCTGATCCAATAATGACTAAAATTGTCTTCCACACCAATTTCAATAATTCAAAGGCAGTACCATAATTTGGAGGAACCAATCCGTTTCCTGGAGCTGATTCCTTTTTTGCACATGTAGTTGGCAGTCGGTGATCTCGTGGCTTCACTCTTCCTGTACCTACAAAATTTGTTTAACTACAGCATTCTAGAGCACATCGATCGCAAATACTGAGTAAAAAATTTAGGTAATGTAGATAAATTCCTCCTCGCCTAAACCATATTAACTTGGACCAAAAATGAAAGAAAAATACAACTATTTTAATCCTTCTTTAAGAAGTGACTTAAGTTTTTAGGTAGACTTATTCATTGATATGATATCTTTCTTAATAAAGTGATTAGGAGTTCGAATTCATTTAAACCATAAATGACATGACATTTAAGAGACGTGAAGTTGCAATAAGCGTAAAACCATAAATTATACATACCTACAAAACCAATAAAGAAGTTGTTCACCAACGAAATGAGGCTAACACAGGTCTCGTAGTTCTTTGGATAATCATATCCATGATTTTTCCCGTCTTGGGATGGCAGATCTGTGAAACAATTTGATCCTTCGTCTTTGTACTTCTCAAGATTTTCCGCCTCCAGTTTCTCAACAAATGTACCTTATAGAACAGCATGGTAAGAGGCTTTCATCTTTTCCCTTCTTTCATTTTTCTTTTTATTTAATATTTGAGTGAACTTGCTAATTAAGAACTTTTTCTACACACAAAGATTTTGGACGTTGAGTGTGATTATTATCTCTTATAATCAATGTGCAATCAATAAGAATTTCTTTCTTTCTCTTTTCTTTTCTGCTGTGTCAACACAAGAATATTTACTAAAGGATCAATGTATAAGACGAGTATTGGTAATGATTTTAGGATTATCTTTGAAAATATATAACTCTTGATTCACACACACATATATTATTAGCTGTTGAAAATTTACATTCAGAAAACCAGTGGTTTGAGTTTGAAATTAATCAGCGGTTTCAGTTCTACTGAGTTGCAAAATGAATGAGAAAATTGGAAGGCACTCATATCCTCTTATATATATATATATATATATATATATATATATATCCAGTTCTAATTGATAGATTCTCCTGATATACCCAGAAAAGAATATTAAGCGACTTCATTAAAGTAAAATGCACAAACTTCATTTAATTTGTGATCATCAATATATATAATAAAGATGAAATTTGAATATCAAATATATACGTACAATTGTATATGATCCGGTGGTAAAGAGGAAGGTGGGCGCCGCTTCTAAACGCTGTAGGCCTACTCGCTAAACAATGGAGTGGAGACAATCCTACCTCGTTTACAGAGTTGACGAGCTCTGGATACAGATGAATTATTTGGAATGCTAGGTCTGCGCATCAAGAACACCAATTTTAAATATTCAAGATTCCGATATGGATCGCAAAAATATATATATATATATATATATATATATATATATATTTCCGATGACTATTCTCACCAAAATATTCTCCATAGATGGCGACATGAAGAACGGTATCACCGTTCTTCCTTCTGTAGTACGAAGAGCCTTGATCATCTAGAAGACAACAGTGAAGGAAAAGAAAGGCATCTTTTTTACCCAGGAGAGCTGCCAAGAACAATGGGGTCTCATTGTCATTGTTACGTTCGCCTACTGGGAAATAATTTTTCATCTCCTTCTCGACTTCTTTTTTCCCTGATGGATTCTGATCGTTATCGACTTCCTTCTTTTCTGATTGATTTTGATTGTTCTCGACTTCCCTTTTCTTCTCGACTCGTGGATAAACTTTACGAGCAATGCAATAATACAACCTCCTGACATTCCCCACTATAGCAGCCAGATGGAGAGGTGTATTTCCCCGTTCATTTTTTACTCGTAGAGCCTTTTTGGCTTCTTCCAAGGACATTAGATTTACCAGTTGCTGCACCGTGTCTTCTCTGCCATCAATAACTGCAATGTGTAATGCTGTGTCACCTGAACTGGTGATTTTTGTAATGTGAGCTGCTGCTTTTCTTGTATAGATTTCAATCACTTTGTTCCAATCACCTTTCATAGCAAATCGAAACAAACCCGACCTGGTGACCTCCTCCTCCCTCTCTTGATAAATATCCATCTGCATCTCTCCTTCTCCATCGCTCGTTGTCTTAAAGTTTTTAGGACGGCCAGACGATATCATCTGATTTTCCTGCCACAATCGTCAGTACTAGCATAAACTGAGTCCCATGCTATTTTCATGAAGGTCAAAAAAATAAAAAGACCGTGAAAGACCGGGTTGAAATATATTTATTATGGCAATGTAAATGGGTAATTAAGGGGTGAAGATTTTTTAGATAAATGGGTAATTATAGAGTATTATATGAATAAAAATAATATCAGTTTTTGAACTGCAAGCAATTAATTAATCTGCACTAGCCTAAGTGTTAATTGTATCCTTATACTGAATCAATTTGTTTGACATTTGCTTTGCTTGCAACGTTAAATAAATTGCGTAATCAAGTGACATTTGTACTATGACTTTATTGACTATGTTAGTTTCTTTTTTTTTTTAATCACATAAACTATTTATTGAAATTATAAACAAAATTAAAAATGACAGGTAGTTTAAAAGCGGAGGGATATTAATTTTTTTCTTCAACTTTTTCTATAATTTCAATAAATGTTTTTTTGTAATAAAAATAAAAATAAAAATAACTAATGGGATCAATGAGATTAAAGAACGCATATCATTTGATTATGCAATTTATTTAATCTAATTAATTAAAAAAATTGATTCAATACAAAAATACAATTCACATTTAAATTGATATAAACACATTAATTAATTGTTTATAGTATAAAGAACATATAAATCGTTAACTCATATAAAATATTTAACCTCTACACTGTTTGTGGATTCTTGTTATTGCCAAAACAAAATAACTAAAATAACTAACCTCTAATGGTTTGGGTTCTCTAGAGCACTTTACAATGATGCTCGCTTTTTGCATCTTTCTAATCCCGTCAACCTGAAACAGTACAATGAAGCTTTGAAGTTCCATACCACAGGGTTTGGGATCATTCTAATTACGAGTTTGAACCAATCTACTGTTGAGAAAAAAATTGTTATTCTCATAAATAAATAGAGTAGAATTTTGCAACTATCATACAAGGTGAGCCTGTGTCCGGACAACTTTCATATAAATTTTCTTTTCTTTCTTTGTTTTTTTTTTCAATTGAGTGTAAAAAATTCATGTAAAGTTGTCTCTCTCTCTCTGTTTTTTTTTTTTTCAGTGTAATGTAGAAAAAATTCATATCAAGTATTATTTTTAATTTTTTTTTTTGAAGTTGTTTTGTCTTTAACTCTTGTTTTCTGCTACAATCAAATTATTTTGCCTTTAATTTTATTAAAAAGGATGTTAACAAATTATTGAGATTTTTTAGTGTCATTACTTCTAAAAACTAAAGTTTATTACCCTCTTACTAAATTAGTATGTTATTGAAAATATAATAAAACTTGATACTTTTGAATGGGAATACTTCATTAATATAACATGAACCAAAAAAAAAAAAAAAAAAAAACTAAAATCACATTAATGTTTTGTCAAAATTATAAAATAAACAATAAGTACATAGGTAAGAGGGGTCTAGTAAGATGTAAAAGAAATTACATTTTAAATAAGCAATTAACATATTACTAAACATATTTGATTGTATAAGAAGTTTTCGAAATACAAGACATAATATCACGAGGCATAACAACTAGTAAATGTGATGAATCTCTTTGAAAGGTCTTTTAATTGACACCAACAATATTTAAATTAAGAAAAATGATTTCCAAATTAATAATAATCTACACATTAAAAAAAAAGGAAAAAAATTATTTACAAGCAAATAAATGAATAAATAATATAACATCTCAATACAAACATATGGGCAGTTATGAGTACTAAATTATGGATGCTAATTAGAAAATCAAATGGTTGATCAAATAGGAAAAATACTATTGAAAAATCAATTTGTATGAAAAATTTTAAATAAGGTAATGCAGGATCCTAAATACCTCGTCTTCATCGGAGTCTTTGGGGCTTGGGTATAAAGTCTTCAATATCTCCCAAGCATCTTGAGATGTTGCCACTAATTCCATCATCTGTGGCTCGCTAACTACCTCTTCAATGTACCGCTCGACCGTTTTATCCTTCATTTTCACAAAATTAATTTGTTCAACTTTTCTATCATTTTCTTTTTCCTAATTTAAAAATTAGACTGTGCAGTAGGAAGAAACTCTATTTTACCGTTAATGTGAACTAGATTTTACTAGATCTTGAATTTTTTGAAATAAGAAGAAACTTGACCCATTAGATTCTAAGAAACATGCATGGATGAAGTAGGCCTTATGTTTCGTTAAAAACAAATAAATACTAGAAGTTGTTGTCTTCCTGCCAAGTCCTGTAAGAGTTATGATTTATTGCTCGTTTGCCCTTGTATTTTAGAGTTTCTACATAAACTATTTTCACAAATATCATATACGTATGTACTCTCAAAGAGCATGAAATGCGGTTGAGTTATTTTACCTACCTAAATATCTAAAATTAAATAGTTACACTAATAGACACCTAACGTGACATTTTAGCATCAATTAGGGGAAAAAAATATTAGAGTTTTTTTTTCACGCGGTACATTTTTATTTCACCTATAGCTTTCAACCAAGATTAAACCACTTTTTGATTCGGTTGAAAAAAACTACACTAACTTATTGGAACTAAAAAAGATTTTTTATGAGAATTTTAATTAGTTCCTTAAAATTAGATTAAACCTAAATATTCCCCTTAATTATCAGACTAGCCTCCTGGATTGCCATTAAACACGATCGAGGTAATACATATGTTTGGAAATGCAGTTCTAAACAGCAGGAAAGAACTGAAAGAGACAAAGTGGAGAGTGAGGAGTAGTACTGTTGGAGTAATTACCTGACGGGAAGATTGTATTCTAATTTTCTTAAAAGCATCCCAGGCCTTCTCAGAAGTTAACACTTCCGTCATGATTCTCTCGCTAACTGCTTGTTGAATAAACCGGAAGGCCTCCGCATCTCTCTTTTGATCAGTTTCACGATATTTGTTTTTCATATCATCAGGCCAAGTTGCGAGTTCGGTGGCATCTTTGGGTCGCTCATACCCATTTTCCACTATATCCCACAGGCCAACTTTATCTGATCTTAAATTTTCTTCCATTGTCTTGCTCCAGCTGCTATAGTATTTCCCTTCGAAAATAGGTAGTTTCAACACCTCCTGATCAAAGGTTGAGTTTGAAGCCGATGGATCGGACATAATTTATTTGCTAATCTAGGTGTGTGTTTTTTAGTGAAAATGCAGACGGATTGGTTTGTGGTTTGACGCTAGCTAGTAGGCCAGCGAAGTGAATTCGAGCAAAGCATGCAATTTTGCTGGAAATGTTTTTCGACTTGAGGATAGAGACCAGAGGAAGCTATTTATAGATGAATAGAGGAAGCTTGTTCTCTAAATTAACAAAATATTTTCACAGACTATACAACGTTATATGAGTAAAACATTAACTCAAGAACCTCATTAATTGACACAACGTTAATTATCCTTATCATGCTTGATTAATGAATTAATTACTACGCAGATTATAGCAACCACTTTATTAGTATTATTGTTATAATTTTTTTATTTTTTTACATAGTTAGTAAAAAGTTAGTTTTAATATTTTTTTTTGTTTGTAACTTATTTTATTTTCCAACAATATCAAACAAAAAATTACCGTAACTAATCAAATGGCTGGATCTGTTTTGACAGAAGAAAGGAAAAAAGCAGGCGGGACCTCGTTATATACTTGGATGAGGGTTACAAGTTTCCTAAGTTCCTCTCGTGGATCACGTTTGCACTTCACGGTTAATTTAATTTCAATCAGCAGTAGAATTCAAGCTTTTAGCTTTTTCAAAATGAATAAATGAGATGTGCTCGCTTTAAAAGAGAGGAAGGGATAATTTTGCTTTTCTGAAAAAACAGAGCAAATAAGATGGCTTTTGCCGTTTCGCATCACTGATCCTGTTTTTAATTAATCTATCAATTCGTCATGTTGTTCTTTTCTTTTCTTTTTTCTTTTTCCTTAGGAGAAATTTAAAACGGACATTATAGATCAAATAAAAAATATTCTTAAAAATATTCTCATCTAAAGTTTAAATTTGAACTTGGTGTGTACGTAGACACATGTTTATATGCTACTCGTACTTTTTTTCGAAATCAATTTGTGTTTTTTTAATTATTTTTCATTGCTTAAATATTTCTTAGTGTTGAAAGCTAGTTTGAAAAACATAATAAATGTCCAAATTATTTTTAAAAAAATTCACAAATTTATAATATTTCTACTGGCCATTTCATTATAATATTTGAACGTCAACCAATTTTCTTATATTAGATATATTTTTCCAATAACAATATCTTTTCCTCCAAAAAAAAAGTATGAATTTATGAGATAATGATTTCTTGACATTTTATCTACAAATTTATTAAATTATTTAAATAATAACATAGTATTTTTGTTGAAATTTGAAAATATATGCAATTTTATTTTTACTAAATCATCAATCATGATGCTAGTTTTTCTGTTTGGAGAAGATTCTTAATTAAAATTTTCCTATGAATAATGAGCCTTACAAGCTACAAACATGATATATGATTTCTATTAATTTGTTATTAATAGAATTTGACAATTTTAAAAATAACTTAATGCTCAATAATACATTTTTTGATTTTTTTATTTTTTGAAAATTGTTTTGATAAACCTTCCAGATTAATTGATCCAATTTGCTAGTACAAAAGGCCGGAAAAAGATAGAAAAAGGTATAATTAGTTGAATTTATATGGATGCAAGAATAGCTCATAACTAATTATCGCAAATCCTTTAATAAAATGATTCTGGCAAATTTAATTAGAGCATAGAGATAAATAGATGATATAAATGCCAAAAAAAAAAAAAGGTTAAAAATTAAACTGGGGTTAGCTTGAACTTTGTAGCATACATTTTTTTTTTTTTTTTTGAGAGTTTGACTCTGCAATTTCCTTTTCAAATTGGACTTTAATAAATAAGTAATGATTTATTTATTTTTTTCCACAATTTAATTAAGACATCGGTTGTTTTTCTGAATAGACTTTAGTAGATATGTAATGATTTATTTTTTTTATATGTGGACCATTTAAAAAAACAAATTAATGAAGAGCATAATATTAATTAATACTGTTAAAGAACAAGTTGTTTTGTGATAAAGTTCTTTGTCCTTCAAATTTACAGATGCCCCCATTTTTTTGTGCTTAATTCTTAAAGTCTGATTTAAAAGCCTCATATTTCTTTGTGCTTAATTCATGCAATATGATTTAAATGGTTGTAAGTTCATATTTTTTTGCATTCTTTGAAAAAATAGAAATGATAAAATTTAAATTTATAATCACTTGATTACGATATTTTAATACTATATTACAGAACCATCTAGATCTAAAAAGTTAAATGATTAAATAAAAGCTTTAGAATATAATTTTAATGATTCTAACAAATATAATAATTAAATACAATTTCTTTTTAATCCTCACAAAAATTTTAACTGGTTCTACTATTTATACATGATATATGATACAAAAAGATATTGAAGTAAGAAGATTATTCATCCAACACGAAACACTGTATTTTCACGCACTATCGAAGGATATATACCCCACAATCCTATAAATGAAAACTTTCACTTTCTTGTCGTCCCCCCTCTGATTTTCTTTCGTATGTTCCTCCAAATTATCCTTTGTAACGATAAAATTTGATTGTTGATAATTGTTGGGCAACTTTATTCTTATTACACCTCTCAAAAGAGAAAAAGTAGAGATAAACTAATTGATCTATGGGTTTAGAATACTCTAGCAATCTCTCCCTTTTTTTTTCCTTATCGTTTCCATGTCATATAAAGGTATATTGGAGTAGTTTTACATAGCAAAAGTAAGTTTTTTGTCTAGTCGAATTTTAAGTTTGTCATCATACTGTAATTGATACGTGCATTCACAAAAATTATTTGCTTACAATATTCTTTAAAATTCAAATATTGAATGATAACATGAAGAGTAAATCCATACTAATCAAATCACCAATTAGTCCTAATAATCTCATTCCACATTGTTGTGGGTATGATCATAAAGATTTTATTAATATAATTACTTAACTAGAATATGTTTTTTTTTAAAAAAAATCTTTAACGATTGCAATATTCTGTAAAAAATATAAAGAATTATTGAAAATCAATAAAAAATATAATCAAATAATTAATAAACGCCTCTTTTATTTATGCGGATGTCATATAAATTTTAAAACTATCATATTTGTTTTATCATCTTGAAATTTTTTATATTATATACATTAAAACGATTAGTTAAAGGAAAGCCTCATTGATTTTAATTTTGAATCTCTTTGTATTTTCGAGGTCATTTTTGTATGATTAACTGAGGTGAAGAGAAAATTCACTGGTTTCCTATTTAACAATTAGAATTAAGTGTGCACCTTTATATTTATTTTCATTTTGACATAATTTCAGGATTTTTTTTTAAAAAAATATTTTTAAAAATCACAAAGAAATAGAGATAGTATGTTTAAAGGGAAGAGAAAAAAGAGACAGAATAATTATTTTTAAAAAATTGTTGCAGAAAGTTGAATAAAATAAATTATTATAATAAAAAGGCCAAAAAGGAGTCGATCCATGCGTGCACAAGGCCATCCCGTCGCATGGTCCCAGGCCCGTGTACACCAAACGAAAGATGGAGTTTTCGCTTCAACGGATCTAGCACTACTTATTTCTTGTTGGATCCATGTATGGACTACCCTTTAACCTCGTATTCCTTGCACACCAAACCAGCCCATTATCGAATCTAGATTCTCAATTCGTCGAAAGAAAATGTCCACAAGAAGGGTTTTTTTTCTCTTTATATATCCACAGGGTGTTGTTAAATACGTCACTAAATTTTATTATTTTCAGCGTTGTTTTTTTAAAATTATCAATATATCTTTCTTATTAATATTTTTTTTACTATATCATAGTCATATATATTTCATAACAAATATTTAAAATACTTCAAAATTAAATATGTATGAAAGCAAACATAAAAAAAGGGGAAAACAAATATATTTATGGACATTTTAAACATTTGATATAAAATATATTTAATTATGATATAGTAATAAACAATGATGGGAGAATATATTGATAGTTAAAAAAATAAATGGTGAAAATAACAAATTTAGCATTATCCATTTATATTCCAACTTAATAAGTTTTTTTTTAAGGCTTATTGAGTTTTTTTTTTTTCCAAGCTCAAATTTATCTTTATTCGATCAAGCGCAAAAAATGAGTATATCTATTTAAAGAATTTTTTGTATATATAAGAAATTGAAATCAAAATTATTTATTTAAACAACTAAATCCTTTCTTTTCAAATCAACTCTTTTCCGTAGGGTTATTGAGTTTTTTAATTAATGTGTAGTGAAAGAGGAAAAAAAGCCTTGTAATTTAAGTTCAAACGAAACAAAAAGGTCAAATACTGGGAAGTAAAATTACAAGCTTTGTCCAACTGCAAACAGGCATCCCATGTCCGTCATAAAACATCACTTGCCAAATAACAAAAAACGTCAATATGACTGATGAGAGACAGATGAAAATCAGAATAATTATTAAAAATTATAACCGAAATAGAAAATAACAGTCATATATTAGAGCCGAAAAAGAGGAAAGAAAAGAAAAGGCCGAAATGAGAAGCAAAGAAAGCATTTCTAGCTAGGCAACCGGCATGTAGCTACGCTGTGGCACCTTCTTAAAGGTAGCCCACACAAGATCAAAATACAAGGGAAACTGTGCCATAGCAAAGAAAGTCACTGGCAGGCAAGTCCCTGCATATACTGGATATGCTGAATACTTGAGTTCATCTCTAAGCACAAAGAAATGTCCCGCACAAAAAGATATCAATACAGAAGCTATGGATATAAACAGTGATGTTAGTCCAACCAAAAGCATCCTCGGCAAATCTTGGCCAAAATCGCTCTCTTGGTATCGAGAAGTTAGTATTGCAAGAAACATTACCACGGCCGTGACTGAGAAAGAGAGAGCAACGAGGGATGATATGGCAAACACTTTGAATGCGGGTTGATATTCAAGGACTGGACTTCCACTTCCCTCGTTAACACCTCCTGGGACGGTGGATGATGTTGCGAAGGCTACCGTCGCAATTAGTGCAGCTACCACAGAGCATGATTCAGACGTGTTTGTTAGCCATTCCCCACCACTTTTCACAAGGTCTGTGTGCGTTCGAGTGAATATGTCCTTTGGGGTCTTCCCTTCCTCGTTGTAACGAACAAAGAAGTGGGGTGACATCGAGTTCTTGACAAACTGCATTTTTATCAATTAAACTAGCTAAAATCCTTGAAAATGTTCAAGTGAGGCTATCTGTATAAATAAATGTGCAGTTGCACGTCATACCTCGTACCACTTGATTTCCCATTGCATCTGTAAAGCAGCACCTGGAATGCGCCAAGGTTTATAGTCTCCTAGTGTGGCAGCAAGGTGTAATGCACTGTTTCCCTTGTTGTCTACTTGACGGAAGATGCTTTCTTTCATGATAGCTCTCTCCAGCGAGAGCAAGAACTTGTATACATGTGGTTGCCTGTTCTCTACAGCCAATAGAACTATGTTCTTCTTATCTGCATTCACGTCGTGTATTGCCACAGGAAATTTTTCTATTATTTTCTCCACCATTTCCACAACACCATTCTTTGCCGCAATCAATATGGGCGTCTCCCTCATTTCTATTTTTTGTTTCATCTTTCCCGTTTCAGAAGTTTTATCCTTCACCCCTGCCAATGATAAAAGTTGCAATTTATGTATGGACAAAATAAAGTGAATATTATCAATTTCATAAAGATTTGAATTTGGGAGGTCAATTTGAAAGCAGGAGCATAGATTTAATGGAATAGGAGAGAGCTAAACTGCACAAACCTCAAGCCTCGGAATGAACAGATCCTAATTTAACATTTTAAAGCTAGTCTACCTATATGGAGAAAAAGCCCCAATTGCACATTACCTTCGCCATCCTTGTTTTTGCTATCCTCTCCAGTGCTTTGGTTCTTTTGGTTTGTTTGGTCATCCCTTGTCATTACCTGGTGGTTTTCATGTAGTTCCATGTGATTCGAGTATGTAACACTACCACCAACTCCAAAAGCGTAAGGTTGGCTTTCATCAACTTCACTTGGCAGGGGACTACTTCCATCATGCTCATACTCATACATGATGGTTTGTTGAATAAGTTCGTTCATGATCTGAACAGACCACTTATGTTTCTTCTTCTCCTCCTCTAACTTTGTTATCGCCGATGATCCTTGCGACATTAAAAATCACAATCAAGGCATTATTATATATCAAGTCACGTGCACATGAATTGAGAAACAAGATGTCAATGAAGGGAAAGAAGCATACCTAATCCAAGAATGACTAGCATTGCCTTGGACATAAGCTTGAAAAACTCAAAGCAGGTATGATAATTAGAAGGCACTAATCGGTGTCCTCGAGCTCTAGTAGCTGATTGCGTTCCTGTACATTAGATGATTAGTTCTAGTGAACTAAGAGATCGATGCATGTTGTATGCACCAAGACAATTATAGAATTGGGGTTTTAATTCTTTACCAACCCACCTTGTTGATTCTCAGTATCTCCTGTCTGGGGTTTTCTATCTTTATAAAGCTTCATTACTGAAAAAAAACAAAGGTTTGATTACAGCATGTAATAGCACATATTGCAAATAATTTAAAATCTAAATAAACAGAAACCGACACTGGTGTTCTTACTAGTTTGCCCTTGGGCATGCTAATTAATATTTCTTAACTACTGTTCAAAGATTTAATGCGTTCTCTGGCAATACTCTGAAAATGCATATCACTCCTAAAATTACATTTTCATATAATTAGAATGATCTACTGATTTTTTCAATAAACTTGACATTTTCATCGAGCATTATAAAGTGGAGGAAGTGATGCACTTCCTAGCAACTTCAAGGCACCGTATCGACTTAAAATCAAATTCGCACCATATCATATAATGGATAGATCTAGAGTTAAGAGAGAAAGATCAAATTAATGATAAAGAGAATTACAATGCATTGAGTAAAAATTAATTAGATGAATCTTTATATTTCATGATCTTCCGCTACCGATTCAAGAATGTCAGTAAGCCGTATTACAATACATTAAGTAAAAATAAAAAATAAAAAAAGGATGCACTTTGCATACCCACTTGAACGGCTTTCTTCAGAAGCGAGAAGAAATTACAGCATGTTTGGTAGTTCTTTGGATAACGGTTATGGTTAACGTCCTGGGATGCTTGAATATTTAAGGGCTGACGTTGTACAACATTTGATATCGATTCCTCGACCTTAAGCTCTTCAACAAAAGTACCTGTTAAATTAGAGAAGAGCATAGCCAAAAATGAATCGCCCAAAAAGAGACAAGGTATATATCGTTTTGTGTGAACTCTTTTGGATTTAACATTTGTCAAAAGAAAAGGTATTTTTTATTTGTATTCTTAAGAATTTAATAAGAACAGCATCACAAGATTGAAGATTTTTTAAACTACTTAATTAATCTATCACATTTGAGGTAAAAATGAAAATGGATATGAGGCCTCACAGTTATATATGATCTTCTTGTAGCCTCCAAGGTGGCTACCACTTCTAAAGGCAGTAGGTTTGCCTGCTAAGAGATGAAGAGGGGATATTCCTCGGTCGTCCACACAGTTAACAAGCTCCTCATACAAATGAATAATCTGAAACGATAAATCTGTAGAACAACAATCAAACTGCTTTAGTGCAAGTTACAATGTTGGCATTACTTTCTTCAATCTTCTAAATAATTAATCTTGAAAAGCAAGTTATGTGTTAGAATTGATCTGGCTCACCAAAATAATCTCCAGAGATGGCAACATGAAGAATAGTTTCACCATCCTTTCTCCTATAATATAAACGGCCTTCATCATGGCCACAAATGTTATAGAGACAAAGGAAAGCATCTTTTTTACCATGCAGAGCAGCCAAGAAGAATGGGGTCTCATTGTCATTGTTACGGACACCCACCAAAGATCGTTCTTGACTAGCAATGCAACTGCACATCTTGGCATTCCCCATCGAAGCTGCAAGATGGAGAGGGGTATTGCCTCGCTTATTAGCAACTTTTAAACCGTTCCGCCTGACTTCATTGGGCTGTTTGGAAATTATATCTACAAGCTTTTGTACTACATATTCTGGGCCGCCATTGACTGCTATGTGCAATGCCGTGTCTCCTGACTTGGTGATTCTTGCTTCGTAAGCTGCGGTGTTATCCCTGTAGATTGCGACTACTTCATCCCATTGACCTCCCATGGCAAATTTAAACAAGTTTTTCATGCTATCTGCGGCGGAACTCGTTATTCCAATGGGAGAAGCTATTTCTCGTGTTCCTCTTTCTTCTTGCTACAAACCTACGAGGGAGCAACAACTAGCAATTAGTATTCACTAAATGCCCATATCATTTTATTATGAAATAAAGGTGCTGTGCAACTGCTATACAACTTTAGAAGAAAAAGCAACAGCATGATTCGATAGTGATTAAAAGAACAAAGGAAAGAAACTAATCTTCCTAAGGTGGGTCCCATAAAACTTGGATCTCAAGTATAATAAATTCTTTCTGCATATAATCGCGAATCTTCTTCCAGGTTTTCGAACTTGAATCTTAAGTTTTACGTTTTACTACGGTAAAAAACAGATACATGAACTCCCTTTACAAAAGAGAGAAGTATAATTTTGCCTTTTCCTTTTCAGAAAAGGGTCATATAAATGACTTTTACCGTCGACAACTAAAGCCAAAGGTGGGCAATCCTGCCTGTCCATTCCTTTCTTTCTTTACAGTTGTGTTCTGCAACCAACTTCCCTTCACCAAGACTAAATCCCTCAGAGTCCGTATTAAACAAAGCATCCACACTCTGCATTTGTACGTTGCCGAATTTTAATTGTCCTTCTTTTGATCGGCGTAGATTTTTTGTTCCAGCCAATTCTTTATTTACTGTAGGAATTTAATTTCTTTTTTATGATTCTCATTACAACTAGGATAGCCACACATTATAAAAATATTAAAAGCTGTACAGCGGAAATGATACTATACACCCTCCCACAAAACCATTTAATAGCAAATTTTATCCTTATTTTATTAGGATTTAATAATTTTAGATTTTTGTTATCAAATTACATATTTTAAACTCTAAGTTATTGATTTTTGAAAAAAATTGATCAAATTTTTTTAATTATCGTTGTATATAATGGTCAACTCGGGTGACCATTATTTAGAATGGTAAAATTAAGTTGTTTTGTTTTTTCCTTGTTAATTATGTTTTTTTCTAAAAAAATATTTTTAATCCCCTAATTTGAACTTTAAAAAAAATTAGAAAAAATTATAAAATTTTATAGAAATTTTTTTTTATATATAATTTATAATTTATAAAATTAGGAGGGTCAATCCTTAATAATGCTTATTTTAATTTATAAAATATATTTTTAAAGGGCTAAAATTGTGTATTGTTAATTATATTTTTTACAACATTTTTTTTATAAAATGTTTATAATATACAATCAGCATTAAAATATTTATAATATAAATTATAATATTTTTTAAATTAAAATGAATGTAATTAAGGGTTGACCTCCTTAATTTTATAAATTATAAGATGTTTATAATATTTTATAAAAAAAGTTCAAAATTAAAGGGGTTAAAAATATTTATAAATATATATATATATATATATATATATTATAAGAAATTTTTTTTAAAAAAAATTCAAGATCAAGGGGGTTAAAATATTTTTAAATTATATTTAAAAAATATATAATTAACAATGGAATGCCAAAACGATGTTGTTTTGATATTCCAAATAACGGTCAACCACATATAATGATAATTAGATAAATTGGATCAATTTTTCTCAAAAATCAATAGTTTAAAATTCAAATTACATAATTTGATACTAAAAATCTGAAATTGTTAAATCAAAATAGAATGAAAGTAAACTTTGTCATTAAACCCCCACAAAACCCCATTCACTAACACTCAATATAGTTATTTATGGGTATGTTTGTAATTTTGAGGTTATTTATGGGTATTTACAAAACAGACTTGATGCATTTTACTCTTCGATCCCTAATTTTTCCATTCCTTTTAATTCAATCCTCAACTTTATTCACATCGCATTTTGAACCCTAAATGTAGAGATTGAGAGTAGAGAGAAATGAAGGAAGAAAACGAGGGAGAGAGAAAATGATGATAAGTCTCATTTTGGCTACAAAAAATCATCGATCTTAATTTTAATGTGTTCATTTTTACATGAAAAATTTATTTATGGTGATTTCAAACCATGAAAAAACTAGAAAAATGAGATAAGATTCCTCAAATGTATTTGGATTCTTCAATTTGATTTAATTTTTTGTATTTAGGTGCATTAGAATGTTCCGAATGGGTAAATTGAGGTTGTTACAATAATTTTGACGTGTTTATTGGACAGAAAAACTTCCAAAATTGGATTTAGAATGTGGGAAATTAGTCGGTTCCGACAATCATTGGCTTGCCTCCTCCATTTTTCAAATATAGGCTAGTCCGAGCGGGTCCAGCCCATGCATACTCAGGTCCAATATACTTTTTTTTTCTTTTATGCTTTTGTTTTAACTTTTTTTTTTTAATTTTAAAATTTTTTATTATGCAATTTTGTGCTATGATTACAAAAAATTTAAAAAATATTTTATTATTTTTTGAGTTACCCATACACCGTATAAAAAAAATATTTGTAATATATTTTTCAACTTTTACACTAAACATATATTTCAAGTTATATTATTCTTTTTTCATAAAAAAAAAGAATTTATATCAATTTATTATTTAAAATTTATTTATTTGAATTTTAATTTCTTAAAAAAATCATTAAATTACATTTTTCTTTAGCCTTTTTTTTTGGGAAATTTTATTTGTTAAAAATATTATTGATTTTTCTATATGTCAAGATTTTGGAATAAAAATTTTTCACACGTGATCAATTTCTTTTAAAAAAAAATAAAAAAAATATAATTTATATGATATATTCTTTTAATTTTAAATGAAAGTAGCATAGTTTTAAATATATATTTAATTCAAAAGATAAAAATACATTGCAAATAATTTGTCTCAAATTTTTGAAAAAATTTAATTTAAAAAAGAGTAATTAATAGTTTCAAGTAAGAAATTGAAAAAAAGAAAAGAAAAGAAGGTGTTTGGTCTATATGCGAGGCTAGTGCATGAGGTATGGCTTAGAAACAAAAATATATTAAAAAAAAATGCACATATTTTATTTATTTTTTCTTTATATGATTGAAAAAAATTATCAAAATTGATTGTAGTTTATTTTAACTTCAACTGTAATTGGTTAGCAAAATTAAAAACAGGTTTCGCAAGCTGCCCCGAGACCTTTTGGCAGCAGCAGCTAAAATACAGTACAACAATACCAAAGAGGTGCTAAATCAATTAAGTGCCCGTATCATTGCAGCCTGCATCTTATGGAACAAACTTAAAATGACACACAGTGACATGGACTGGGACTGGTTTCCCACCTCGTCTGCATGGTCCATCATGGGCCTTTTATTTTCCTTCACTTTTCTTTCCTTTGTCATTGCTTTCTTACTAACCAAAACACACAAAAGAAATTAAAACCCAAATTTCTTTACCTTCACTTTGTCAACACCCCAAAAAAAAAAAAAAAAGAAGAAGAAGAAGAAGAAGAAGAAGAAACCGGCTCCCACAAATCCCATTGGTAATAAATATGTAAATAAAAAGAAGAGCATAGCCAAATAATTTAGGTAACAAATCAACATTGAATTTTACAAGAAAAATCGAATTTTGCTTGCTCCTTAAATACTTCATCTTTTTTAAAGAAACGAAAATCTAGATTTTAAAAGCTAGAATGTATAGTTATAAAGAATTCAGTAACAAATTAAAATAAAATGATAGCAAAGTTACCCGAATTTTGGTGAATTATTATATCTGGTCCAACTGATGCTCCTTGCTCGTCTTTCTTAAACGTATTTTTTCTGCTACTAAGATTGCAATTTATCACATAGAAGTTGCAATAATCAAAATATGTAAAAAAAAAAAAAAGGTTTTATCTAAGTATTTTTATTTCACATTAAACATAAGACTAATCATATTCGAAATGAAAACTATAAAGTTTAACTTTTGTCAACAAATACGATTTCAATATTCGAACCATGTATATTAACAAAAAATTTAACTGAAATCGGTTTTTTTATTATTGAGCCAACAATTTGTTGGTATTAAAATATATAAATTAGTTGAAAAAGAACTCTCTAGTGCATTGGATAATAAGAAATGCTTTTTCTTTTTTCTTTTTCTTTAAATGAAGAATGGAAAATTGAGTAAATAGTTGTTATGTTTTTTTTTTTTAACTAAAGTGCATAATTTTGTGTTATCATTGATTGATCTTAGGATTTTACCTCACTAATAATCCCAACCAACTCAGACCTCTTTAGTTAAAAAATTACTTGTATGTGATTTAGATAATGTTTTATAAAACTAAAAATTAAATGCTGAATTTATTAAGTACTGAATTTTAAGTGTTGAAGTTTTGAATATATTGCTGACAAACTATTAGATATTTACTGAAAATTAAGTACTGAATATAATAAGATTGTTTGATAAGTACTCGTTGCTTGGACGTATTAAGACTCGTATACATGATAATTTTAACCTTACAATTATAACATGATATTTTTTAATATAAATAAAAATATATACATAGATGCGTTTATATGTATAAATAAATAAATAAATAAAAATTCAAAAAAAATGATTATTAATAAAAAAATTAAACATGATTTAAGACATCATTAATTGTCATATCATGCACAAAGAAATAAAGCCCACATAAATCATCCATACTGGTTTTAGGTTTCGCCAATACAGGGAGATGTACAGGGGGAAAAAAATGAAATTGAGGTACAAATCAAACCTATACCGATCAATTAATCTCCAACGCAGTACAATTTTGCTCTTTAGTTTTTAATAACTAGGAACCAATAACCTTCTCTTTTTGTAAAGAAATTGTTTAAGCACTTCCTTGGGAGATCAACAATTTATATAGCATCGTTTCATTACCACCCAAGCATACTACTACTACAAGCTCCAACATGACGTTAAAACACAAGAGATCTTAAGGTTTTTGTGCTACGCAAGTGGGAATAGACAAAGGGCAGTAAATTATCCTACTAAACACTTACAGCAGCACAAAACACTCAGAAACTCCGAAAGTCCCACTACCACTTGTCAATGACATATCATAAACCCCTCAGCAAATCTCCAATTTTGATGTTTGGATATTTTTAGTCTATTTGTCAATCGTTTCAAGGACAATGGGTTTGATATAACTATATACTGATTCGAGAAAGAAACTGTAGAAAATCTTAGAAAGTAGAGAGATGGAGAGAATGAAATAGAAAAAAGCAGTTTTTGACGATTTATTAGACCTTAGCGTCTCGGATTTCTAATAGCTTATTGACAATGAAAAGATGAAAGCACCGATAATGGAGAAGGTCTTATATGTTTAGGTAATAGAGATGGTTTCTCAATTAATTTGTACAAGTAAGGTTATAAGAATATATGAGAACTATATAGTTACATTGAAAAAGTTTTAAAAATCTTTCAATTAAGCATGTTAATGAAAAAATTTTTAAGTTAAAAACTTTAAAGGAGCTAATTAAGTAGATTTTGACTGAATTTAAATTTTAAATATGAGATTATTTAAATTATCAAATAAATTTTTTATATTAAGCACTACAATTTAATTTTTTAAGCTACTTAAATAGGTTATCAAAATTTTTATGTTAAATACTACAATTTAATTTTTTAATCTATTTAAATAGGTTATCAAATTTTTTATGTTAAGTACTACAACTTAAGTAACGTAAATAAGATAATAATAAAATATCGTTAGCAATAGATATGTTATTTTTTTATCAACCAAAATTACTCTTTTTTTCATGTGAAATAAATAAAGAATTTGTACAGTTTTCATTTATTTGTATTAATAGGAGATACAGAGCTTATATTAAAAATAGTTTTTCATTGGAATATTATCATAATTAGTATTATACAAATGCAGAGTTTGTGATGGGTATGAAGAGATATTCACAAAAAAAGATAATGATAAAATTCTGATAAGATTATTGCGTTTTTTTCCGATATAATAGTGGTAAATTTATTTATTTTCTCTTTTGTAATAGGAAAGTTTTTTTTTTAAGCTTTTTTCTTTTTTTCTTTTAGAAAATGTTACATGTCATTAGAGAGAAACTTCAAAAAAAGAAAAAAATTGCAAATAATATCCCATGTCATGTAAGAGAAAGTATAATACAAACAACTACGTATCAATACAAAAGCAGATATCCTTCATTTTCTTTATATACGTAAGACTGCAAGAGCATGGATTTGATGAGTTTTGGCATTGCCATTGATAATTACTGGCTAATATAGTTTGTGTCTCCCTGAAAAGTCTCTCCCGTAATAATGTTGCCCTGCTTTGGCATTGTTGTCAAGTGCTAACGAAAATTAGCTCATCAAAGAAAAACCTATCTCTTCCGTTACTGTATGAACGAGTCCTGTCTGGGCGTCCGCGTCGGGAATCAGGATACCCCGCTCTCTCTGGGATGCACGATAATCATTATAATCTCAGGCTTCAAACTTCGATGCCGTGGTGGTCGACAATTCCATGATCTTATTTCGGGCTATAATCATCCGTTGCCAGTGGGCTCAAGAGCAGCTCGGCTGGCTGCACTATTACCCAACCCAATTGATCCACGGGGAATTATTGAGTAAATTATAAATTAGTCATTTATTTTCAAGAAAGGAATTAATTATTTTTTTAAAAAAATAATTTTTTAATCATGTTTAATATAATATTACTTTATTTAAAAAATGTCATGTTTTCTCGTTAATTCTTACATATTTTTTACTTATGTTTTTTATTTCTCAATTAAAAAAAAGAATAAAGTTACAGAAAATTTAAAATATAGAAATTAAATAATTAATTTTTAAAATAAAAAAATTAATAAATTTATTTTTTGAAACTACAGGACTAATTTATAATTTACTCGGGAATTATTGGGTACTTTGGATTTTTTTTTTCAAAAAAAAAGCTATAATAGTAATAATTTAATGTCATTCACATAAGAAATTTTTTAAAAGAGATTGACGGAAGAGATTGATTGATAAATAATGAAATTCTACGAAGTTGCCTAAAACAAAAGAACCTCATGGAGGTATTTATTTCGATTTAGTAGAACAGAAGTTACAATAGTAGGTCCGAGGACTACAAACAAAGAGGCCTCCAGCACTCTGTCTTTTGATAGAACCTTTGCGGAAAGAGGAGAATTATTCAACCAATTAATAAATAGCCACAATAGTTGATCAATAGGCTACTCAAACGCAAAGGCAGGGATTGTCATAGCCGATAAACTTGAACATGATGTCCCTTTACTTTTGTTCTGGACTGGATCAAGTGTTGCGGGAGCTAAATAAGGATTTAGCAGGATTTTGTTGTAGTCCGTGTAGTTACCTTTGAAAAAAGCCTCTAAAAAGGCCACAATAACGCCACCTGCAGTTCTTCTCAAGAGATCCCTGCTAGCCCACCATTTACTCTGCTTGCACAACAAACGTGCTGCACTCCCAATGGGACCTATATCGTCATCTAAAAAGTCCATGTGACCATAGTCCGTAGGGACAAAATGGCTACATGGAGGTTTGCACTCATTGAAAAACTCGGTGTGGCTAACCCCATCTGGAGCGCATGCCAGCGGCGGGAAGGGCAATACTGGCTTATTACCTAATCCAGAACCAATTACGGCCACCGGAATCGGTAAATCAAAAGAGCACGATTCGTGATTGAGTATTTTGGGCTGAATTTGAATTTGTTTCGAAATCCCCGCAACGGGGTCTACTCCTATCAGTGCCGAAAAGTTGACGTCTGGGGAAACATCGGCATGTCCAAGCGCAAGAGCAAATGCAATGAATCCACCTCTACTGTGGCCTGCAAGAGCAAGGTTGTGTAGGTCCCCTTCAATATTTTCAGGTAGTACACACTGGAGACATAAGGGTAACCAATTTGCCACTTTTGCTGCCAAGTCAAGCTCGCGTTGTCCGCTAGGTGGCATCAATTGGTATAACTACGGATAAAAAATCCAATGTTATGCCAATCTTCTTCTTCTTTTTTTCTTTTTTTGGATAAAAATCGAGATTGGATTAATATTAAAGAAATAGCTAGCTTTGCAGCTGACAGAATTACAATGTTGTGATCAAGAAAAAAGGTTAAAACCAAACTATGAAAAGCATTGTTTCTATATAGACTATTTTTTAACTAAAAAATCTGCCTCTGCATTTTATTTTTGGAAAATATGATTAAATGAAACAAGTCAATCTTTGTATTCATTAATATTTCTTCAACATCAAAACAAAATACATGGAACAATATGTATCCATATTATCCTGCCAATTTATTAAAAGCCATGCATTTAACTCATGAAAAAATAATTAATTAATACTTATATTTAGATTTATTAAGAAAGGACACTGAAAAAGGGGTACCTGCGGTGCGACCACTATATATCCATGAGAGGATATGAATTTGAGAACATCAGTGTACCAGGAGTTCTGGAAGGCGGTGCCATGGTGAAACAAGATGACAGGATATGTGCCATCTTCCTTTGGCCTAACAATTAACAAGGGCTTAGGAGGTGAACAAGTAAAGCGCGATCCTATATGAGAAGTTATTGGGTGAAATTTTCCTGTTTCAAAAACACTTACTTTTGTCAAAACAGACGTATCAGATTCAGACAGTATTGTTGGCGAAGCAGACCTAGATTCCGGCAGCGTTGCCAAAAACGTTACCAGAAGTATTGTCCATGGTGTTACCATTTTGTCTCTCATAAAGAGGTGGTGAGAAGGTAGACCGAGCTCTACCTATTATATAAGGTGAAGTTTAACCTTTTCATCCTTCGCGGAGATTAACGTTGTACGTCGTACTTATATTTGGAAATATTTTACCTCCATTTATTTGTTAGGATAAACGTGTCATTTTATTAAGACAACAACAATGAAGGCAATTTAATTTCTGCTCCTCCTGTCCGTCTTCTCCACGCACACACACACTCTCTCAATATCTTCCAGTACTCCTAATTTAAAATTATCCGAGTTGGTTAATTTTCAAATGTGACTGGCTATGAATTAGATGTCTGTAAAAAAATTATTAAAAAGAATTTACGGATGTTATTTGGTTTGAAAGAATAAAAAATGTGCAAATTTATTATTATTATTATTGTTAATATTTAAAGAAAATAACGTATTTTTAGATCATTTTTCGAAACCTATTATTATTTAGATACTAGCTTTAGTTAGCTAAAAGAGTTTCCAATATTATAGATTAGAGTTAATATTAAAAGTCCCAGGCCCAAAATTCTTGTTCGTTTCATGAATAACAAAGAAACAGATAAAATATTTGAATTCACAATTTGAAGACAAGAACAAACATATGTAGTGTTGGATTTTCTTGTTGTTCATCAGTTTTACGAAATGTGTGTCGTTTTGAAATTGTTGAATGAACCGCTCTTGTGGCAACACGTAGAATAAATAAAGCTAGAAAAAAATGGAGGGATATGGACGGAGAGTGTGATAGATACAACTGAGAGAGTACGATAGATACAACTTATGTATAAGCATGTTATATAGTGTTAGCTAGCATAGGTGACACTCAGTTAATTTATGAAAATTCACATTTAACTATGACTGATTTTTTTTTTTACTTAGGTTTTTTTGGTCATTTTTTTTCTTTCTATTATAAATAGCCATCACTTTTGCGTTTAATTACTTTTATTACTGTTCAAGCGATTTGTAAAAATTCACATTTGTTCTTCACTGACTCTCTTTTTTATTTTTCTTTTACCCTTTTTTCAGTCATTTCTCTCTCTTTTATGATAAAGTATTTAATGCTCCTATAATTGTAATTTTTTTCTCTCCCTATTTTGCTAAGAGGAGGGGAGCTTTAAGAGTAAATTATAAATTAGTCCCTCTTTCATAGGGAAACCGATTAATTAGTCAATTGATTTTAAAAACTAATTTTTTTCATTCTTGCTATTTTTTAATTTTTTTGACTTTTTTTTTAAGAAATAAAAAAATAGATAAAAATATGAAAAATATTGATGAGAAAAAAAACATTTTTAAAAATAAAAAAATAAATTAATATAGCTAAAAAGATTAAATAGTTATTTTTTGTAATAAAAAGGATTTATTTATTTATTTTTCAAAACAAAAAGGACTAATTTATAATTTATCTATCACTATATTTATATCTACTGCATGAAATAAATATATCTATAGCTATTAATAATTTTATATTTCACGTTGAAAATGAAACTAACCTGGAATTACATTGAAAGAAATAGCTTGAGAGAGAACAGGTTTGCAGATTTATTAAGTAAATTATTTGTTTGCCTTTCAAAATTCCTACAGTAAGCTACATGGATTGAGTTAATTAACTCTTTTTCTAAGGTAAAGCTTAGAGTAAATAATAAGTTTCGGTGTAATCCACAGGCTCTTGTGATCAATTGGACAGGTTAATGCAACCAGTTGCTGTGCTCCTGAGCTCACTAGATGGTGTGGATTAAATTGAAACTTTCAATCCTACCATTAAGCTTGTGACAATTGGCATTTTTTTTTTTTTTATTGTTGTTTCTAATGGCATTTATAAAGGTTTTTTTAGCTCAACAATAAGAGTATTTTCGAGTCAATTTTTATATATTTTAAAATTAATTATTCTTTGAACGTTAAAGAGCACTCTCCAACATATAATTTTAGATATTCTGATAATAAATTATCAATAATATCGATCATAAGAATCAAAACTTTTTTATCAATAAGTTAATGTTTTAGGCTTTCAACGATATATTAGATTGACATTCATGATATTATTAAATTATTAGTGTTTTTTATTAAAGATTTGTTTACGGAGCAATTACCTCATTTTTTATTCTTACATACTCCAATCATGTGTATAAATTGCACAAATTTTTATACGAGTTGAAAATGACGTCCCGTTTTCAATACTTTTCAATTTTTCCTACATTTTGGGTTTGTAGAATCCAAAACTAATACCTTTTTTTTTTTTAATCTACATAACACTGAGGTCTTAATTTAAGGTCTGGGAAATGCCTAGAATTCTAAAATTTTTACTGAATGGCTGAATTTTTTTAACGCTCTAATACAATATAGAGTTAAATGATTGACATTGAATTTTTTTAAAAAAAGCTTATGATGGTAGATGATCCTTCCTCAATTTTGTATATTAATTATTTTTAATTTAATTATTAAATGTGAGATATGTTCTCTAATAAAACATAATATTATTGAAATAAGAAATAAATTATTTATTATTATTATTATTTTAATTATTAAAAGTAAACTATAAAAGGTATACAATGTAGAAATTTTAGAAGATACCATAAATATTTATTGATGATTCAATAAAATCCATAAGCTACACTCAATTTTATATATTACTCGTTTTTAATTTAATTATTCAATATGAGATATGTTCTCTAACAAAACAGAATATTATTGAAATAAGAAATAAATTATTTGTTATTATTATTTTAATTATTAAAAGTAAACTGTAAAAGGTATACAATGTAGAAATTTTAGAAGACACCATAAATATTTATTGATTCAATAAAATCCATAAGCTACACTTTTAATAGAGTTTTTTCTTCAAATAAGATATTTTTAAATCTTTATTACTAAAAGAAGGTATTTTAAAATTTATTTATCAAAATAGGTATTTATTGATACGTAGACACAAACATTATCAAGTGGTCCCATTTTATTTTTTTACATCTAGCCTTAAGTGAAAATCATCATTAATTTCTCATGGATGCAAAGCTTTAAATAATCTCTGTATCTAGTAGAACCAAAGCTGACCTAAAAAAAAGAAGAAGAAGAAATCAATAACTCCACTTTCCTTACTTCCTAAAGAAAACAATCATAAACGAGGCCTCAGGTCATATTCACAACATTACGAATCCCAACTTCCATCTTCCTATCTGATGTATTTCTTTATTCTTTATTCTTTTTCCCTTATGTCACTATAATCCATAAAGTATGTGGAAATAGTTTAATTGGTTTGGAACACATGCTGCTTGATTAAGTCCCATCCATTCTATCACTACGGTCCTGATTAATTAATTATTATTTTTATAGATATGAAGTAGTTTTTTTAGCAGAGATAATTAAGAGAGACAAAGGATGAGTATACGTAATCTAAAGTTATTAAAAATTAAACTTACAGCTTTTTGTTTAAATGGTTAAGTTACAATTCTCTTTTCTAGATTGATTTCATTCTCAAAATTAAACAAAAATTCTTTATTTGGGAAATGGGTCTTGTCTCAGAATTTGTTTTCTTTCGGATAGGTACTCAAAGCCTTCCTAGAATTTCTTTTTTTCTTCTTCTTTTTCTTCTTTTTGTGCTATACCACTATGTGTGATTTTTTGAGATGATGAGAAACACATGATGAGCTGGAAAAGACAGCTTTTTTTATTGAGATGCTTGGTCTTTTTCAAAAAGCATTAAATTGGTTACAACTGGTTATAAGAATAAAAAAGATGCTTAACATTGAAGAAGAAGACAAACTTGGCCATATTTGATTCTGTGCAGGCCGGTACTACAGCATGCTTGGGGGACCATGATCTTTCAATTTTGGTCCTAAATTCTAAAAATTTAACTGATAACAATGTATTTAGGCACTCAAAAGTATCATATTTGCTCTCCAGTCTTTTTAATTTGTCTCATTTTCAAGTTTGTCCTTTTCCAGTGGCTTAGCAGAGAGGGAAAGTTTTGAAAGGCCTACAACATAACCCAGTGTGAATTAGTCCAGTAAAATAAAACATGAATAGAACCCAAGTTCATGCTTATTTTATTGGGCAACTTTGGGTTTCGTTTCGTGTTTTATTTTATTGGGCTGGAATGTATTGAGCTTTACTTGTCAATTAACATTCCTGGATTTAATTTTATGAAGCCCAGATCCAATAGCTTAACCCAACGCAAGAGTCAAACACTGAAACAAAGTTGAATACATCACCCTAATCAAAATATAGAGTCAGAAGGCCCAATATTTTCCCCCTTCCTGTCTTCCCCAGGCCCATGTTTACCCGTGATTAAGGTATTTTTTTTATGAGGTATTTTCCTCGTCCAAGAAAAATAATAATTCATTTACTAGTAGCAAGGACATTCTTCCCAACATGCAATAGCTAGCTTGGCAAGCAACAAATCTATTACTGCTCACCATCGCCTGAATATATATATATATATCATACCCTACGATCCAACCTCGACATACAATTCCTACGATTAAGAAAAATTAATACACAATGCGACCGTACAGAAGCAACCATTACAATTTGCAAATACTCCACAGGCCAAAACTATATCTTAAGCTATTGAAACGGAAAATTTCATGAGAGGGAGAACCATACATGTTCATGCATTCAAATTAAAAAAGAAATTTTTTAAAATTTCAAACAGTGCGTTGAGTAGTGTCATGTACGTAACATCAACAAAGCTGTCTTGAAAGCACATATTCTTGATATTTGTGCAATTAATTACATTAAAGACTCCATTCCCAAGCGTTATTTAACGACGGACGTCAAACAAAGGATGGGTTATTCTGTTTTTCTTCCTTATAAATAAATTCATAGTATTCGTCAAATATTTCATAAATATAATTATATATAAACATTTATTTTTAAAGTACATAAAATTATATGTTGGGAAATGTTCGTCAGCAATGTCCAATGAAAAATTAATCTTAAAGTATGACAAAAATAATCTGAAAATATTTTATGGTTGAAAAAAAAATTTAGTAGTAACTATTGTCATTTCTTTACAATATCACAGTGAATGAAAAGGAAACAAAACATAATTCTACTTTTTATTATAAGCAAGAGTTGGTGTAAAATTATTTCTACTTTATACTTTTTTTTAAAAAAAAAAACAGAGAGAGAAAAAAGTAAGACCTTAATCTATAAGCAACATATTCTCACCTCACTAGGGAGACACGGACAGCAGAAACAAGAAGCCCGAAAACTCTAGACGCAATCCACGTGTCAAGAACATTCAACGTGCATCCAACCGTCATTCCACTCAAAGTCCGCGACGTATCTTGAAGTTTCTCATCTCACCGAAACGGCTCTTTTTATCGCACCTTCTCACTTCTCCCACTCGCAACTCAACTCTCCACGTCATTTCCTTGACCAAAAGAAATCGAAAACAACTCCATTCTTCCTTCACTTTCTCGCCATCCAAACACGCTGCTACTAGGAAAAAAAAGTTTTGAAGATGTGGGGACAGCCGTACAGGAAGACTGACTTGGAGGCCGGAGCGAGGCCGTTGTATCCAATGATGCTTGAAAGCCCGCAGCTCCGGTGGGCCTTCATTAGGAAAGTGTATTCAATCTTGGCCTTTCAATTACTTGCGACAATCGCGGTGGCGGCAGTAGTGGTCTCTGTCCGTCCGATTGCCGTCTTCTTTTCCACCACTGGGGCCGGTTTGGCTGTTTATATACTGCTTATCTTCGTACCCTTTATTAGTAAGTTTATGAAATCATGTTTTAAGTTTTTTCTTTTATTACTCTTTAGTGGTTTATTTTGTTTTAATTATGGATAATTTTGTACAGCTTTGTTGCCTTTGTATTACTATCACCAGAAGCATCCAGTGAATTACTTGCTGCTTGGGATTTTTACCATCTCTCTCGCTTTTGTCGTTGGATTAACTTGTGCTTTTACTGAAGGTAAATCGGATTTGATTTAATTTAATTTAATTTTGTGTCTTGATCAGTTTAATTGAGTCTTAGAACAGCATTATTATTGGTTGAAATTGAATGCCTTGGATTTTTTTTTCTTTTCTTTTTTTCCTTCAGAAAATGATAATTCCTGGCTTTTTTGTCTAAAATTTGAGTGTTTCTCAAGCGTCATGGTACTATTGCAACTCTTTATGGGGCATTCAATACGGGAACAATTTTAATTTGTAGGACATCCATGTCAGAAGTAAATAAGTTAGCAAAATAGGGCAACAGGTTAGCTAGTAATTTCTCGAGTTGCATCTTTCTTTCTTATTGGAACTAAATGTTGCAGCTATTTGCAGTCTATTTGGTTGGTTTAGCAGATGTTCAGATGAATCGGGAAATACATTTATTAGCATTTTGTTTTCGTCTAGATGTCTTTCTTTTTTCTGGTTTTTTTTTTCCAACTTATATTTTCGTTTCTTCCGGACATGACTAAGATAGTGAAATTCATCTGGCAACAGGCAAGGTGATTCTGGAGTCTGTGATTCTAACAAGTGTTGTGGTCGTGAGTCTTACTCTCTACACATTCTGGGCAGCTAGTAGAGGCCATGATTTCAACTTCCTTGGCCCCTTTTTGTTTGGTGCAGTCATGGTTCTTATGGTATTTGCTCTGATCCAGGTATGTTTATTCTTCAGCTTCCTGTGTTCCTTTATTTGAATCTTGCTATAGCTTTCCCGTTGGTATTTGAATTTTCTGTTATGAATTTTCATGGATTTTCTGAGAACTTTTGTTTCCGGCTGCAGATTCTATTTCCATTGGGTAGAATCTCTGTGATGATTTATGGGTGCTTGGCCTCAATCATATTCTGCGGATATATCATATATGATACTGACAACCTGATCAAAAGGCACACTTATGATGAATACATTTGGGCTTCAGTGAGTTTGTATCTGGACATCATTAATCTCTTCCTAGCGCTGCTAACCGTCTTCAGAGCCGCAGATAACTAAGATCATTGTCCCTTTTTTGTATCTAAGATCAATTGTCTGTTTTTGTTAATCATATTTTTAAGGCAGCAAAAGCAATTGTACTTCACACTTTCCCTTTTGTCTCCTTTGTTTTAAGGGCAGAGTGAATGACGAAAGAGATCTGTTTGTCAATCTTAAAGATTTTTTTGGGTTTTGCATCAGAGAGGTTCACCTCTACCCAATTCCTTATTTTTCGCTGAAGGGTTACAAAGTTCTGCATTTCATGTTTGTTTGCTTTTCCCTGAAAAGATAATTGAAGTTCCATTTATAGGACTTAAATTGATAGCACGTCGTCTTAGTCTGGGATGCACTCGTGTTAACTTTCTCGGCTTCCTGTCAGGATTATAACAAGAGACTTGGTGATATTAACTAGCTGCTACCTGTTCTAAGAGGAAGATGAACTGTGCTAATAAATAGGTTAATTGGTTGGATGGTGTTTTGTACTAGATGTTTACTGGTATTCTAATTTTGACTTGGAATGGTCTTACAATTCTAGTATCATAATTCATAATTATTTGTGATGCTGATTTAATAAATGAAAGACGCTTGTGATTTTTTTTTGTCGATGAACTTTATGTAATGAAATCATTTAATCATTCTACCTCTTGAAGGTCTCTTCCTTCATTTCTCTGTTTCCTTTTCCTCACATTCTTTGCTTCCACCACAACCACCACCTCTCTCCTTCCCTCCACGTCCGCCACTTTCACCACCGCATTCGGCGTCTCTTACACTGCACCATTGCTGCCCTCCCCTTTCTAAACACCCTTTCTTCCTGCAGGTCACATCCTCTCGGCTTTCTCCTCTCTCGACATCCACTCTCTCTGCTTTCCAAACTCCGACCCTAATCTAATTTGTTCTTTTGCTTCAACTACGCATCTCTTTTCCTCTCCATTCAATTTTTTGGACTGTAAATTGACGGGCTAGGTCAAGGAGACGGTGAAAAATGTAATAAACCTGATGAGCTAGGTCAAAGAGGTAGTGAAAAGTGAAAAATCTGATAAATCTGGCGAGCTAGGTCAAAGAGATGGTGAAAAATTCAATTTTAAATCTAACGAGCTAAGGGGGATACGGTTTTGCTTCACTCTCAATTTCAGTGGGCAGACTCCTTTTGTGCTTTCCTTGGAGAAGGTAGAATCCATAAGAAGATTGACATTGGCCATGGGGTTGACATCAGTTCTGGGATGCTGTCAAAGAAAGAAGGGATTTGATTTCCTTTCCTATTCTAAAAAGAAGATTAGATCAAAACCTTTATTTCATTTGATTTCCTTCTCTAAAAATCTTTGCCATTTTATTTCAGTAGTTTCTCTCTTTATTTGACATTCTATATATGGTAATAATCAACTTAGAAAGAAATTAAATTTGGAGAGAAACTAATGATTCATTTTGCAAGGCAAGAAAGCCGATTTTTAATACCAAGACATGATTAAGCAAATCAAGATAAATGATCAAATTCAAAACATAATGAAGTAAAATCAAATATTAACCGAGCATTGATAAACCTATTTTGATTTCACTGTATATTGAGGAAAGGAGGGAAAAAAATAATAGAGATAAAAAAAATGTCTGGCAATTTAATTTAGGTAAGGTTTTGTTTTTCTCATTTTAAAATTTCATCAACGAAATTGATCGACTTACTACAAACAAAAAATTAATTATGATATTCAAATTGAAATATAAAAATAAAATTGGGATATTAATCCACGTTTGGCCCATATTAACTATCCAACAGTTAGCCTAATAAATATATGTTTTTCTCTTGGGACAAGGAACTTAGGCTCTCAATCTGTAGATATAGGTCAAATAAATTCGGGGGAGGTTAGTCAACCAACGATCACCAGAGATGACTGCTGTGATGTATTCATGAACTGCTGACCGAGTTGATGGATTGCCAAAGTACATATAATTCGGGAAAATACAAGCTCGACAAGGAAAAGCAAACGTACACCCGCGGGAAACCATCTAAAGGAAGGAATGGAAAAAGCTATGCTTGAAAGGAGAACCCTTCCTCAAGTATATTCCTTGCTTTATTTTTCTGATTCATAGCCCACTTGCCTTGAGACTTTGCACTGTCCGCATCTTTAGCTTGTTTTCATTTTGGCACTTTTTTGTTTCCATTTTTTTACTGTCAAAACAACCTTCTAACTTAAAGCACAAAAATCGACAAAGTTTGACAATGTGGAAGGGAGATTTAGAGGACGGAGCATATCCAGCTGTACTGGACGGTCCAAGGTACCAATGGATCTTCATTCGTAAAGTTTATACCATCATTGCCATACAACTTCTAGTTACAGTTGCGGTAGCAGCCGCAGTTGTCTCGGTCCATTCCATCTCAAGCTTCATCGTGCACACTAAGGCTGGATTGGCTGTATACATAGCTATCATTATTGTTCCTTTTATTGGTACGTTTGCATATTCGGAGTCATCAATTTCATCTTTACCTAGCTAGTTCTGTTTTTGCTCGACGGATTGATCTAATGTGTTGTTTTAATCTCTCTCAAATAAACGAATGCAGTCTTGTGTCCATTGTATTATTGTTACCGGCTTCGTCCACTGAATTATCTTCTCCTCGGAATTTTTACCACTGCTCTTGGATTTCTGGTTGGACTTACATGTGCTTTTACCAGTGGTAAGATATACGAGCCTCTCAAGTCTTGGTGTTCTGCATTTGAATAACGATGAGAGTCAATTTTGTATGATTAAATTTTCAGTTGTTTGATCTGTGTACCATTAACTGGTACTACTACAGGCGAAGTATTCCATTTTAAACATATTAGGAAGCAGTTTCAATCACGTAGATGCCTTTGATTCAGCTTATTCACTATAGGTTACTGTCATGGTTGATTGGCAAATGTTATTAATTGTATGATCGTATTACTGATAACGTGTTATGTGATTCGATACCAGGGAAGGTGATTTTGCAATCTGCCACTATAACTTTTGCAGTTGTGGTTAGTCTTACTTTGTACACTTTCTGGGCGGCAAGGAGAGGTCACGATTTCGGCTTCCTTGGACCCTTCTTATCTGCTTCCCTGATTGCTATTCTACTGTTTGCTCTGATTCAGGTGTATACATTCATCATCTTTTACTGCTTTATTGAACTCAACGAGGATGTTTTTCTAACTGTTTTATGCTTTTGTTCTTAAAATGCAGATTTTCTTTCCCTTGGGTAGGGTTTCTGTAATGATCTTTGGGTGCTTGGCATCGATCATATTCTGTGGATACATAATATATGACACGGACAATCTGATCAAACGTTATGCTTATGATGAGTATATTTGGGCTGCAGTTTCGTTGTATCTGGATGTCATCAATCTTTTCCTTAGTATTCTAACTGTCTGCAGTGTGCAAGATAGATAAGAACCTCATTTATCCGTTCTGTTTCCCCATGTATTTGAACCTTGAATTGAATTTCTTTGGAACTGCACACTGAAATTCTGTTGCTGCAGTAATCTATAGTTTGATTAAATATGACATTCGTTCAACTGCTTTTTGGTATTTTTTGTTTTCGCAATGCAGAAAAGGTGATTTAATTTTCGTTTCTGACCCATCGAATGTCAATAGCATCCATAAATTAATTTTCACACCAATGACATATTCCAACTTCACAAGAATTCATGTGTAATGTTGCAGTAGAGCTTTCCTGTACCAATTCCAGTAACATTTGCACCAGAAGGAATGAAAATCGCCCAGCAAAATTAAATGAAAGAAACTTGGCAAACCACAATTTTCAGTTAAATAACACCACTAATTGAAGTCAACTTCTTCTTCAACATGCTTTTTACTACAATAGTTCTGCTTCGTTGCTTCGGTCAAACCAAAGATGAGAGCATTTGCATGATCTTTTTTTCTCAAGTTTCACTTTTAGTTCCCAAAGGAAACCTCTTTTCTTTAATGCCTACTTTCACACCTGCAGTTATATTTCTGGGAGGGATAAAATCAGCAACAGTTCCGCTATGTTCAGAAGCCTAGCTTATTAGTCAGGAAAACATACTCGTTGCCTTTAGTTGTAGTGGAACTCTAAATTTGAATTCTGTTCTTTCTTTGGGATACAGTAGAGAGAAGCCTTGAAACACCTTGAGTCCAGATATCATGTTCCCTCTGGTTCTTGCACTCGAACTCCACCATGCCTCTTGCTTCTGTTTTCAGTCCAAAGTATCGGCGATGATCTCCACCCTCAAACAGGTGTCTCCCTGGCCATGCTGGCATATCCTTGCAAACCTCCAACACCACATCTGCATCTCACAAGAGATATCAGTACGAGTATTAGGATTACAATTTGTGCTTCTATGCAATCAGCAGAACTGGTAATGGCATACTCTTTTTCTTTTTAGTGATAGTCCCTGCAACATGTCTGCTCTTCATCTTTAGCATCACCTACAATGAGAAAATAGGTGGAAATTGGAAACTAACTAATAAAGATTTTTAAACAAAAAACTTCGATGAGAAACCTCACCTGCCCTGTCCTGTGCATGTAAACAGAGACAATTTTCCAGTGCAGATCGCCTGCAATGACATTAATGTCAACTGTTATATTTTGTTTTCTCCAGCAAAGGAAAGAAATATAGCAGGAGTAGATGACTTAATATTCGGTTTTGAAGTGATAAAACTAGCCAGATTAAAAAAATGTTGATGATAAAATTTACCTTGGCGGGTGCGTTTGAGAAGCTCACTGCCCTTGGCAAGGAATTCTACACAACAGGCACCCAAAAATTCTCTCCATTGACAATCTTACCGCTGTAGCTTCGGCTATGATGTCCATTAGTTCCCGCACCACAGATTCCAATGCCTCTCTCAATAGGTATTACCGTTGAGACGTTCAGAACATCCTTTAACGCTCTTGCCTTCAAAGTTGCTGCTCCACGTAGAGCTGCACAGGGAAACCAACCATCTTTGAATACCTAATTTCATCCAGAAGTGCTTTTAGATTAAGGGACTGTAGCAGCTGTGACAGTATTTGATGGCCATAAGGTTCGTAAACTTCTGTAATAAACATCATTGATACTCTCAAAATTTTATACATTTGCAGGCCAAAGTGACTTCTATAGGATGATCATCAAGTAAGTCTAAACAACTAAAAATAGATTATCCAACTGACCAATTAAACCAATTAAGTAGAACTTGGTGGGCTATCTTAATTTTGTACCAACAAAACGTGCACTAGAAATAGACACAGTTTGCAGGGATATTTGGAACAATTTCTCACAGACGTAAAAAAGAAATCCATTACCAGTAGCTGCAGCAGCTGTAAGGGTGGTGATATCATCATGTGAATGAACATTCACAGCAGAGCTCACTACTGAAGCAAGATGGTCACGCTCAGCGCCCATAGCCTCAGCAGCCTCCACACACTGCGCAGCCACCAATGTAGCCGCAGATGCCACAGCCATGTCAGTCTTGGCCAATTGCTCATTCCTTCCTGATGCTGAAGAAGAAGCTGTGGCTGCTGCTATGGCTGCAATGGCAGAAGCCACTGCAGCGACTGAAACAGTTGCATGGAGCTGCGCATTCTGGGCTCTAGTTTCTTCTTTCTTTTTCTCTTTTCTGTCTTTCAACCACCTCCCAACTGTCTTGGCTCCACTCGGAGGGGCACCACTGCCAGGTCCAGCACTGGCACGGCCGCCATTGAATAGGGGGTTTAAGGTGTTGTGCGAACGAAAATACTGCATGGAGAATGCAACAGTGTCATCAGCAACACATGCCCATGTACCACTAGAGAGGTTATAAGTCATGCTTAAAACACACTGATTTCTGTTCATTTCCTTCAGAAAGAAATGAAATACAGTAAACTTGCTTATATATCTATCTGAAAGGGTAATTCTTTAGGGCAAATGGTGAGAGATTGGAAGGATCAGATCACAGATAGATAATGCTCTTTTTTTTTTCTTTTTTTTTTTTTGCCAGTTTCCTTCAAACAGAAAAAATGTCACTTTGGTCACAAAATTCACGTCACTTCGTACATTATAATCACCAATGAGAAAGGAGTGGAATTTAATATGTCGTGAAGAATAGTAAAAAATATTGAATTGCTTACGTAGTTTGGAATAAAAAAACAAAAAGAAGACTAAACTTTGCAGCATGCCGAAGTCACAGTTTGCTTCAAACAGGCAAAACAAGCAAAATGACTTGGGAAACATGACAAGTTCATTTTCAACTTAATCAGCTTTCTGACCCCACTCCTTCAATCAACCTGCCTAGTTTTTACAAAGGCACCATTTTTGTTGATGGGAAATTTTGGAAGTTTGCATATCACGCCTTTTTGACTGTACTTCCCATATTTGGTTTTTTTTTTTAAAAAAAAAATTGTATGAAATGCAACCCAGTCAAAAAGACAAGGTGAAATTTTTTCAAAAAGTATAGAATCATGTCCTGATTGTGTTCATATTCATATGCAAGGGTAAAGAATAATAAATAAATAAATAATTCATTCTTATTTGAATACTTGACACCATCACATCTCTAAATTCTTTGATACATATCATAAAACACATTCGAGAATTCGTGAAAAATATAAATAAATGAAGGACCCGAAATTCAAACTTCAAAGTAAAGTAAAGCAACAAACTAATTGATGAAATGGAAACATGTTGAAAAAATAATTAATCATGTATAGTTAAAAAAGTGATTAAGAAAATACTAACTACAATTAATGGTTAAGAAAAAAAAAAAAAGATCAGTAGAGTATGCACACTCAAATGTGGGAATGGATACAGCAGAGAGTCGTGCTCATGACTGCTATTGAGTAACAGCTCACCTCAGGTTGCAGCCTTTTTCATTTTTTTTTCTTTTTCTTTTCTCTTTAAGATTATCAGGAAAGACCATAAATTCAACCTAAGTAGATGAGACATCTCAAAAAGATATTAAGGGAAAAAAAGGGTCATTGGAACAAGACAAAGACAAAGCATCTCTCTGTATCTTCTGTAACCCTGTCAACTAAAGTGCTGGGACACAAAAAAGATATTTAGGCCTTATAGGTAGTAGAGAGTCAGAGAAAGCTGTGAAGTTGGTCTACTTCTTTTCAATACCTCCTTCTCTCCCTACCCAACTAAAACTTGGATAAAATAGAATTAATGGATTATCTTTAAGGGAAAAAACATGGATACAAAACCTTAATAATGTCTTCAAAATCATCAGAAGGCGAAATTGGGGGGCTGTCTGATTCTGTCAAGTTCAAAGGTCCACTACTGTGAGAGAGCCTCCCCGAAGCCAATGGTGACACTTCCTACAACGTCAAAGTTACTTAAATGTAAAATCATAAACATCAAGAAATTATCAGAAGAACATGAAAAAAAGGGGTTTCTCGTCTTAAATTTTGAAGCCTAATATCATTTAGACTTACTGATTGTGACATGATACGTTCGAGCACAAGCTGGGAAGTAGCAGAAGAAGCAAAAGAAAACTGATAATTAGCAGACGGATTAGCATGCACAATCTCCTCCGTCATCTCACCAGTGACATCTTCAGGTATAGAAGAAGCAGTGGTACAAGTAGAGCTACTAGCAGACTTGTTAGAAGCCATGCAAGAGAGAGATTTTGAGACTTCAAGAGCGGAGACACTCCATGACCTTGACAAGAACTCCATTGGCAGTTTTGGGCTCTCTGGCAGCGGAATATTACTGCAGACTGGGCTGTAATCTGGCCTCCGAAGGTTGATCAGAGGGATCTCTTCCATAACGACTGTTGAGTCAAGAAGAGAGTTTTTGGGTTTGAACTAGCAGCTAATTTTAAGCAGCAAAGGTGGTAGGGGCTGAGGAGTCAAGTCACTTTATAGGACCAGAGGGAGGGAGCTATGGTTTATGCCTCTATGGTTGCTTTTTGTAAGTTTATGGTAAGGTCTGGTCCACGGTAAATAAAGTTTTTCACGTGGCATTATCATTGGAGCCAACTTTTGGAACTTATGTCAGTCCTCCATGATTAGTTTAGCTAACAAGTGCTTAACACTGATTGTAATAATTTAGTACTAAAATTTGCTTAGTAACACTAATTATTTCAATGCACTTTTCAACAAATAAGTAGTAATTGTTTGGTACCACGGTTCAAAGTGATTTTCATCTAAAAAAGTTCAAAATTGATTTTTTTAAATATGTTTTTCTATAATTTTAATATTTTTACATGAAAACCATCTAAAAATATTTAAAAAAACATCAAATCCAAACACATGCTAAAAAACACACGAAACCAATGCCAAAAGGGAATGAATGGGCTATTGCTTTTTAAATAGTGGTACAATCAAAAATGCATCTGGGTACGTGGTTTATTTGTACAGGTTCTATTAAAAATTCTAAGATGGGGACACCACAAGTTCTGAAAGGGCAGTAGGTTGCTCCTGGGGTGGGTGTCCTTAAGGTCTAGGCAACATCCCAGGCCGACAAGCTAGAGGTCCAAACAAATTTAGGTGCACAGTTTTGCCTCTGTTGCTATAGACACAAAGCTGCCCTGCTCACTGAAGAGAAGAGGGACTTATGCTAAAATGCGCGTGCCCATTTACGTCATCATCTCTCTTTTGATCTCATCTTCTTCAAATACCTGTATGTACATGGTCCTTTTTCTTTTTGTTAACTTGTAATTTTTCTGATCAAAATCGAAAGTTCAAAATCAGAAAGAAGAAGAAAACCGGCTCTCTCTTTTGTAAAAGTCTCTACCGATTCTTGCTTAATGGCAGCCACTAAATAAAGAGACGCACTTTATTCCTTTTGCCACATTCACTCTAGGATCGATCATACAGCCACCCTATCCACCTTTAGCTTTTCCATTGCATTTCACATGTAATTTCAAAGGTTAATCAAGCTTTTTAATACATTTTAAAAGCCCATTTATTCAAAACGTCTAATTCTTTGTTATTTTACATGAAATGAAATTTCCAACCCCACCCCTTATTTTTTCCCTTTTTTTTCTTTTGCGATGGGTGCTGCTAGTAAGTTTCTTGTACGAAAAAAAGAAGCGTCCAGCACTATGGCCCAATGTTAGTATTTCTTTACCCAAAAAATTAGGGAACCATGACCATAACAAAGAAGTTGCCATTTCAATGGTAGAAAGTAGAAACATGGCTAACAAGATCGCCGCTCCCTTTTGACATTGCAACGGCTACGGGCTAAGTAATGGAACAGGCAACGACGCACTAAGACAATGCCTTCCTAATGCATGAAGCCAAAAGTAGGGTTGAGGGCCTGGATATTATGAAATGACTAGAACACATCCTACTGGTCAAACAATCAAGTACCAGAAACAGAAACAAGGTAATAAACAGAAGAACATGCTCGCATTTGTTAGTCCCACTTCCTTCTGCACATACAGAATTATTTCCTTCTACACATACTGCAGGTAAAAAAATCCATGACTGAGAGCATTGACGGATGCAACTAGAATCAAAGGTGTCATGCCTAATGTCCTGCAAGTTTTTATTTTTATCCGAAGGTCTTATCCAATATAGAGATTTTTCACACAAAGTATAAGGTGTTTGTAATTATCCTTAATTTAATAATAATAACATAAGAGTTTGTAGAGGCTTGAGCGCACCCCTGGTGGCTATAACGGCATTGATATCTACTATTTCGGAATTCAGTTGCTGTTCTCTTAATTGACCCAGCTAGACATCAAGGGCAAGACAGCCACCTGCATCTTGACTTCGTCAGCCTAAATGACTTATGGAGAAGTTCTGATTGGCATTTTAAAGATCATCCCTTCGTAGCAAATGAGAAGTAACCTTGGGACTGTCCCTCTGCAGACCATTCAAGACGAATTGCTTTCTATTTCTTGCAGCCAGCGTCTGCAGAGTCTGTCCCTATATTCATTCCTCAATAGAACATGGCTTTGAACTCCTCTAGGCCCAAGAAGTACTGTATAAATCCAACAATCAACTGTTCAAAGTAATGGGAGCACCAGCAGCTTAAAGTTGCAGGCTCGCAGCAATTATTCCAAAAAATAGGCCCACTAACATAAACCAACAGCAACCAGCTAACCAAGCACAAAGGCCGGTCGTAATTCCTTACATTCTATGGTATCAAGACCCTCACAAAGACCAAACCACCGCATATATATAGCTGCACAAGAACAAGGTTTAGGTTAATGGCAGATCTTAATCCGACAGTAGGCATCAAAATTTCCTACTACTTGAGTCGAATTTAAATAACTATAATTAAACAAAACATAGCATGAACTAAAGATAGCAAAGGCAGCTCTTATTAGTCACGATAAGGCAACTCACATTCAGAAGCTAGAACATGCTAAGCAATAGTGAGTTACCAACTACATTAGATTGGATTCAAGAAACTATTTTCTCACAAAATATTTCTATATATCCATCTCTTCCTCATCTGAAAACATCAAGCAAGGAGATAACAAATATCAGAACCCAAAATTGAAATATATAGCATACAGAAAGGCTACGAGCTAATTGTTTGATTGTAAACCACTGCCACCATAGTATTGCTTGGTAGTTTCACGAGAGAATTCTGCAAATGTCATCCCATCCTTTAACCGCAACGAAAGTGGGGGAACAATTTTATGAATTTCTCGAGAAAATTTATTCAAGTCATGCTCAGTTTGGCCGTTTCCCTCATTAGAAGAGTGACCACCTAACATGCATTGTTGAATATCATAATCTGAAATTGAGAGAGTTTTGCTCCATGCAGGTTGCAAAAACACAACAAAAGTTTCTCTGCTTAAATTTTCCAATTTTGTTGGTCTGCGCACACAATGAAGGGTCGAGCAAAGCTTCCCTCTCGATAAGATATCAGCTGATTCCCCGACCTGAATTATAAAACTTTCTGAGGAAGTTTTCACCATGAGGACATCATTTTTATTGGCATCAAAGATTTGCAAATATGAAAGCCCATTTGGATATGGGCAGTCTTGATCACAAGATATTGGAAATTGATCCACTGCGGTATTTTCTGATAAATGGGAGGGCATAAAAAACATAGGTGCTGTCAAAACAGTGAAGATACCATAATCATAATGCCACTGCTGCCATAGGTTTCCCTGATTTCCCCATGATCCAACTTCATTACCATTTGCAACCAAGTTAGAGCCTTCTGATTGTGTTTGCTCACTTCTTAAGAACAGCTCCGGGTTTTTCTTAACATAAGCCTGCTTTCTGGTGGATCCCTTCCTTGTCCCACTTGCTTTTATAAGTAAGTTGTCTAGGACTGAATGATAATGTATAAGGCGTCCTTTTGCTGTCCCTGATTCCAGTAAGCTATGTTCCAACTCTTGGCCACCAACAGCCATATCACATATTTGTGCAACACGAAGTCCCAGCTCCATCATGCAATATCCTAGCTCTCTAAAGGTATCGGCAAGATTCTCAAATTCGTTTTCCTGCGATTCTGTTACTTCATCATCATCCAGATCAGCCGGTTCTAAATTCGAACTACAATGACTTCCATTATTGGATTTACCTAGAGCGGATTCCAGAGCTTGTGCATATTTGAGTTGCATTGCAAACGAGGACACATTTCTATTTGGATTCTTCAAAGGAACATCACTCCCCAAGTTGTGCTCCTGCATATCATTGAAAAAAGAAAAGCATGAAAGATCAACACTTGCAGGCAAGAGCGCTTGCTGTGCTCTGACCCATCATTTTAGTACGAAAAGGGGTAAAAAAAATAGGCCAGATTCACTTGCATCCGCCATCTAATCACCGAAATATACACAAGAGAAAAACACTTTTAGTTCTATGTTTTCTCGCTTAAAAAACTAGTAATTAAAGAAAACTGCAGAATACTTCAAACGAATTAAAGCATTAATTGCAGTCATTTTCCTTCCTTTGACAATAACAATACTGCTAAGCTATATCCGACGCCATAAATTAGGCTAAGATGGTTTCATCAACCCAGTCACCCGAAACATAGGCACTCTTAAAAATAGAACTATAAGAGAAAAACTGCAGTTCGCTAATTTTAAGACACAAACTGACCTTGAGGATGTGTTTGCGGCGATCGTGGTCGAGAAGAGCAAGCTTGCGAGCTAGAGGGAGGAGCCTTTGTCGAAGAATGGAAGCTTTAGGGACACCAGTGATGGAAAGGAGTCCTGGGCCAGTTGGGCCTAGGTTTTCCATGATGGTTTTCTTTATTGTTTCAACTCTTTCTACCTCTTCTGGTAATGGAGAAGTTGATGACAAGAGCAGCAAATCAGAGTAGTGGAGCTCATACAAATCTAACACTCCCGCTTCTTCCATGTCTCTCTCGGTCTCTGTCTCGGTCTCTGTCTCGTATCCTCGGACTCGATCACAGAACCAGCACAGTTGTAGTATTTTGAACAGTGTTGGGCTCTGGTTTGGGCCCAATTAGGCTATGTTTGGGCTACCGGAGGAGAATGTTTTAACATCAATCCTGTGTTTGTTTTTTATTTCAAAAAACCTTACAACCGATTGTTAAAATGTCTCAAAACCAAATAATTTTTTTTTGAATAATTATGATAGGAAATTTGCTGTGATTATTTCAAAGCATTATAGTTATATTTTTAAAAAAATTTACAAAATAATAAGATGGCGCTTCTGTGTAATAAATATAAATATTTATTGATTCTCAATCATTTACAAAAACCGTCTTTCCAATTTAAATAGTAATTTTTTTTCTTCTCTATGGCAAAAATACATTTTTTTATTCAGATTATACTTAATTACTTGTAACTATTTTAATTATGAAGCAGTTAGTTAAATTATTATAAGAGAATTATTTTTACCATTCATTTAATTAATTTATTTAATAGTTTGTAATTTGAAGATAGAGTTCTCATAGCAAGCCCCATCATGACACTGGTTGGTTTGGTTTTGTTTTTTCTTTTTTCTTTTTAAATAAAAAATCCAAAACAAACAAGGTGTTTCTTTTCCTGACAAAAACGAAAAAAAGGATAGCCCACAAATGATACCACGCACAGACCAAACACAGCTACTTCTCAAAGCTCTTGGGAATTTGAAATTCTGAATTACCCAATCACCATATTAAAAAAAAAAAAAAAAAAATTTGATAGTCATCTAGAAACCTCGCTTTCATTTCCACCAGAAGCCCCTGCTTGTTACCACGTGTTCACCACGCTGGCTCAAATCATAGCAAGGCAACGAGTCATTTGGATGCCTGCTGCAAAAACTTCCCTCTCTTCATCGTTTTCGCAAACTTTCAAGCTCAAAAACAGCGTCTCCCATGAGAGATCAATACGCTCCATATTATTAGTATGTAGCGCCTTCAAGTGTGAAGGCCGAAGACCAATTTTCTTTGGGAAAACAAAGTTATATGCACATGTGACGACGACAACAACAATGTGGTATTTATGTTTCTTGCTGGACTGCAGTTTCTTTGAAGCTCTTCGCCAACCAAATGGCAGTCTCCCTGGGAGAAACCTTCTCAGGCCCAAATGGCTTCAACAACACCCCAAGCTCAGCAAACCGTTCCTGTTGCAAAAGTCGTGCACTAAACTCAAGCAATCCTTCCAAAGCTTCAGCACGTTGTTGGTATGACGAGGTGTCGAACCGATGCAGTTGTCTCGAGTCACAGGAATGACGGCTCGAAATGCCACCTGATGGATTATGTTCCGAGCATTCACTTCCAATTTGCTGGCCGACGTCAGTTATACGCTGCTTAGAAACAGCTCTCTCCATAACCTGGACTGTACACTTGTCCTTTGTGATTGAGCAGTCAACACTGCCTGGTGATGTAGAAGAGCATTGTGCTGAGGTTGATGATGTTCTACGGATGGGAATCAAAGGATCTTCAGAAGAGGCTAATGGAAATTCTGCAATCTTGTCAATTCGTGGAGCATTCACAGAAACATTTGGAGAATCCATGCTGTGAAGAAGACCAGGATTGGCGTTATAAGGGGTTTCTGGGGCTGCCGCTCTCATTGGGAATGGAAGAGATGCTCTGCGCGTAGTATGGGAAGATTTGCTCAGTGCGCGTGATACTGGAAACTGCAAATATGAACATACCCTTAAATTAGCCCAATTAAACATATTTATTTCAATTTAATAATACATATTATGTTGCCGATCTACTAATATATATTAAATTAAAAATAAAAGATAAAATTCTACTTAATTTCATAATTTTTAATCAAATTTTATATTACATTCGTTCTTTTTTATGTTTTTCATAAATTTTATTATTAAAAAAAACACGATTCGTTTTTTGTTATTCATTCATTCTTAAATAAAAAACTAAAATAATATAAATATAAGATTTAATATAAAAATTTTAAAAAATATCTTAATATTTTTTCATAAGACTACATCGAAGAAATATATCAACAATCAATATAAAAAATTTGCATAAAAATTAACTAATGAGTCTTTTAAAACTTTTTGAAATATGCATATTTGATATATAGACAAACACGCACAAAAAATAATCAATAATATTAAGTATAAATATATGTATTTGAATTATTAAGCGATTCTTTTTAAAATATTATTTTATTTAAAATAAATTAAATTTAGAATATAAAAAATAATTAATAGTAAATAATTAGTGTTATATGTGTAAATACATAATTAGTTTTTAATAAAATCAATTATCTCAATACTTTTTTGTCTGCATCATTAGCACACTCTATACAAAATAAAAAATATGTTTAAAAACACTTGAGTTATAAGAAATGTATTGAAATTGATAAAATGCAATAAAAATCATTTCTTTAAAAAAAAAAACTGATTATATAAAAAATAAGATAAAGAAACATGTTAATTCTATTATTTATTAAAAATATATATATTGAAAATTCATACATAGAGAAAGATAAATCATATTTATGAACAAATAAATTTTTATAAAAAATAAAAAATTTAACTTGATGAGAATTTTTATAATAAACGACAAATTTAAAAGATTAATTTTAATTAAAAAAATATAATTCGATATATGTGTATTCTAAAATTTAAAAACATAAGAGGCCAAAAAATATATTTTGAAAAAATGTGAGGCGAAAATGGATTAAGTTAAAAACATGAAGTGTCAAAATATTTTTAAAAACATGAGGATTTAAAAATATATTTTAAAAACATGAGGATTTAAAAATATATTTTAAAAACATAAGGGATCAAAAAGAAATGAAGTGTAAAATTTGAAAATGAACCAAAAAAAACTAAGAGAAAATTACGAAAATACCATTATATGTAATTACAAAACTACCATCCTATGAACAGTGATATGAGGCAAATGAACAGTAATTTACTGTTTATTTGTACCGGATCTTTTAGTGTTTTACTTAATCATGCTTCCACTTTTTAACTCATCAGAAGTCATAAGTTGTCCGTGAAACACGTGCCAGAGTCGGCGTTCCTAAGCAGGGCAGCTGAACTCCCTACAAAACACAGCTAACTAGGCCTGTACAACCCTCTAGGTCATAACAATATGCTCCTAAAACATATCAGTGATCTAGCATCAGAGATTAGGCGCACAACCTCTGCATACTTGAACCTAAATAATCTAAAAAAGCTGTCAGATTTCCCAGGTTACATACAGCAGTGAAAAAAATGAGTAAATAAATATCCTGTTTGAACAGATGAAATATATATACTTAAAACTCACCGAATCACGCTTTGAATAAGTATATGATATCTTGGATGGCGTTGACTCTCTTCTAGGAGTAGCAGAAACTTTTGAGGGCATAAATCTTGGGGTCTTGGCAGCTGTTAAGAACTCTGAAGCCCTATTACCAAAAACTTCATGGACAACACCAACAGTTAACTCTGTAAACCTTCGGTTCAAATAACTAGGGGATTCCTGAGCTCTTTGAGAAGAATGGGGAGAGTCTTGTTCAGTTCCCGATATACTAGGATTCAAAGCCCTGTCATTGCCGAATGATCGCCTCTTTTCTCTGGAAGTAGAACTGGGAACAGCTTCTGAGTCCACAAACCTACCATTCTTCATGAAGTTGGAATCAGACCATTCAACAGGGAAAGTATTCCGTCTCAGGCTATTCAACTTTACATGAATCTTGAAGAGATAAGGTTGAAGATGCGGATGACCAAGCAACTCTGCAGCCTGGCACATTTAAGATCTAGTTTTCATCAAGGGGCATATATACTATAAACAAATTTGAAGCACATTTATTTCTCAAAACTATACTCTGCCCACCAAAGTAATGCAGCTATTCACCTTGGAAATTATACCCACATGTAACATGATGAGACATGTACCTAGGAATGTGTTTCAGTTAGGAATAATGACCTGCACAACCAACTGCTTGCTTTCCAGTCCAATATAGTTTTGTCATACAGTGCGAAATTTCCCCAATCAGTATGCAAGGTATAAATAAATAGGTTTTGCAATCGACAAGCCCAACTCAAGTACTATACCCCCTGAAACTTAAATATCACAAGCAGGTTCCAACATTAAACTAACACTCCAGCACCAACAGCTAACTTCCAAACACAGATTTCTTAACAGAAGGGAGCAGGGATCAGAGAATGCAACTTTACAGCCCAGATATCCATCTACAACAGTCTGAAGACCCTTGAACAGAAGTGAACTAAATTATCAGCCCTAAACCTATTGCCACTTTTATTTTTGGCATGTTGGACAAACTTTGTTCCTAATATCAAACAAATCAGGCTTGTACTTCTAGATTAATTATGCATAGGAAAAATAATTTTGGAGGACCACAGAATGATGAATGCTTTCATACAGTTATGTTTGAATTCGGTTTCAGCAAACCTATATGAAGATGCTCATTAAAACCAAACAGAAATCAGAGGCAGAGAGGAGAAAACATACACTTGGTCGAAGTTCTGGATTTTTCCGCAGCATGCTTTTAACAAGCCCTCGGCTGAAATGAAAGAAAAAGATCAGGGGAAACACTGAAACCATAATTCAATAAACAATTATAAGACTTGCTAAAAACTTTCTATCAAGGTGCATCAGAAAGCAAAGTAGTAGAAGTGAAACAATATCCATATCTGCCATTGTCAACTCATGAAGTGATAGGTGGACTCACAATGGAGCAGAGTACATGGTGGGAAGAGGAGCCACTATAGACTTATTTATTTTGTTAATCAGTGCTTGTATATCCTGCTCAGGAAAGAAGTGAAAAGGGTGATTCTATAAAGATCTGCATCAGGTATGTAATGAAAAGCACGATGAAATGGAATTTTTCAAGTTGTTTAAGCAGCATCCTGAACAAATTCATATTGTTTCAACAAACAGCAAATCAATAACTCACAAAAGCTTTAAATGCAGGCTTGTGAGCTGCCATCTCATATATGCAGCAGCCTGGAAAGCAAATTAAGTTAGATATATATATATATATATATATATATATATATATAATCATAAAAGAAATCAATCTGTAACGTTCAAATAATTTTAAACAAGAAATGAGTAGCTAACCTAAAGACCAAATATCTGACTTGGAACCGTAGGGTAAATCAGCAAGAAGCTCAGGGCACATGTAACTGGGAGTTCCCACAACCTGCTTAAGACAAGAATTATCATGATTGTGGAATCAGGGAGATGACTAAACATTAGAATAAAGCTCATAAGTAAACATAGTACTCACAGAAGAAGCAAGGTCATCTGAAGTTAGCATCTTAGCAAGACCAAAATCACCTGCAACCAACATGTGTCCATAAGCAGTTTGTATTGATTACAAAAACAAATTTTGGAAACCAAAGTGTAAGGGACTCTAGAATAAAGAAACTCAGACAATTAGGAATGACTGTAAAGCTAGTAGAATTAGTTACCTAGACGAATGTCTTGATCTTTTGTCAAAAATATATTTGAACACTGGGGTAATTTGGAACACCATTGGAGAAAAATAATATGTGAGCTGTCATACATAAAATATCAACTAATTATTTAGTATTTGCAGCAAAAAGTGCGACTGACTTTCACATCACGATGAAGAATGTGGTTGGCATGCAAGTAATCAAGAGCCATCAGGAGTTGCACTAGCCATTTGCAAAGTTTCTGCATGATATTAGTCATTAGTCAAAGGCAGAACATATACATGTTAAAAGGTCAAGTTTAGCTAGTATTTAACACTGAATTGAACAGCAGAGTGAGTCAAAAGTGGCTGTGATGCAAGAATAACAACCTCTTCAGGAAAATGAACACCACTGGCCTTTTTTATAGCTTCTGCCCTGTAGAAAAACAAGACAACAAATCAAGTCACATTCAGATGAGAAACAGACATTTCTTGAAAACTGTATTAAGAATCAAACTTACATGTCTCCACCCTCACAGTATCCTATAATAATGCACACATAGCAGCCCTGGAAGCGAAGAGACCAATTGTTAGTTGCAGAACAATAAAGCACCATATAAGTTCTCAAAAGATGCAAAGGACTACCAGATAATCACATAGAGTCGAAAAGGGGGAAAAACAAAAAAGAACTTTCAAGTTTTAACACTCTACAAGTTCATGACATGAGTAAAAGGTAACACCCATTACTCAATGGCATGATACCTGATTATAGAAACACAGCTCACAAAGACCTGCATACCTTTTCTACCCAGGAATCTTTGTACTCCACGATAAATGGATTTCTTGCTTTGGAAATAAGTTCCATCTACAGTAAAAAAAAAAAAACACAATATCATGTTAAATTTTGAAGATATAACTTTCGGCCAAAAATTAACAGCTCTGTATTAATCAAAATTATGGAGCACTGGAAATGAAGAAAAAGAAAAAGGAACAATTTCCTGCAGTATATCATATGAAACAATTAATTCTCCAGGAATAAACAACAATGAAAAACCATTGCTAGGTCTAAGAACAAACACGGGTGTGCAGCTTTGGTCACTCAAATTGTATTAAGAATCTCTTCCAACTCCAATAATGCCACCTATTTCAATCTTTATCTTTCATCCAAAATACAACTGATGTGCATGTATTAGACCTTGAACAGAAAGGGATGATGATTCAGTTCAGTTCTAAAAATTGATCAGAATTTAAATGCACCAACCTCCTGGTGAGCAGACCTGCGAGTTCTATCAGTTTGACGAGCAAGACGAATCTTCTTCAGCACATATCTAGAAGGAAGGGGGAAATATCACCACACAAAAAAAGAAAAAGGGAAAAAAAGAGTTGAAAATAATGAAGAACAATCCTTTCATATCCCCAGCATAAGATTTAATTAAGAACAGCAAGAAACAAATTAAAAGCAATCAAAATTTCAAACGGTAAGCAAGACAAACAAACACACAGATGCTGATATACATATAAGATTAAGCGTGCTCACTTCTTCTTTTCATGTTTATGCCTCACAAGAAGAGCTGAACCAAAGGAACCTTTCCCAATCTGCTCCAGAATTTCATACTGCTCCATGGTAAGTTCTATGCACCCCACCCCCCTTCAGAGTCTTGCAAAAGATCTTAAGCTTCTCCCACTGCCAAGCACCAACAAATCACAAAAAAAATATAAGCTGCAGTCAACGACACCCATAAAACAGAAAAGGTATATAGCAGAATAAATTACAGCAGCAAGTATCTATAAAACTATCTACAACTAAGCAGAGAGCAAATTGAGAAGCACAAAATGCCCCACACAAGGCGTCACATACTTGAAGAGCAAATAATAAGGTCACGGCAGCAAGTAATGCTTCAATAATCATAGGTATTGCAATTGGGGTTAGAGTGTTATCTAGGGTTTTAGTTTGGTAAATGCATACAAAATCCAAGACCACATAGATAGTAAAACCCTACTACAGCTACCTACTGGCCTAAGGAAATGTAAATGCAAACACTCCACTAACACAAAAAATAGTCTTTTATAAATTACCAGGAAAAATACACCATCCTATGCATGCTTATAGTTCACCAAACCATGACACAAACGAACACACACCAGTTCAGCTTCTAATGACCCGAAAGAGATTAATGATAGAGAAGAACTTCATTACATGCAGCAACTAAAAAACCAAACAGCTACCACGAAAAAAAGCTGCAAAATGGCTGAGGAATTTGTAATGATTTTTGCAATTAGACATCCAAATAGGGCAATAATCCACCGACAAGCTTATAAGGAAATACATTTAGCAGATAATGAAATGCAAACAGGAATTAATTATTTAAGAAATCGAACTGTTAAGCGAAAAGACTACCAACCTAACTCAAAAAATAATTACAAAAGCACCACGCACTTTCCTCGCGAATTAGCAAGCGGAAGAAAAGAAAGAAGGAACAACCAAAAAGGTAGGTACCTGAAATTAGACAATTAATTACCACTAGAATCAATCTACTTATTGCCTTAAAATAAAATTTTGAATTTATGAGTACATATTTGCTGACTGCAAAGGAATATCTAGATAGTGAGAAAAGAGACCTTTACCTACTTAAAATATTATTTCATGTCTGTTTATTTTATTTTATTTTGTAATTTAGAGAGAGAGAGAGAGAGAGCGGCAAGAGAATTAGAGAACAAGCAAAAGGAGGGGAAAGAGAGAGAGAATTTTAAAAATTCAAAATGGGTGAGAGAGAGAGAGAGAGAGAGAGAGAGGGGAGGGAGGGGTTAAGAGGTCAAATGGCGTTGTCATTTCACTGTTTTATTTTTTGGGATTCCTTTCTTTATTGGGATTTGGGACGGCCTGAAGCTGAAACTGAAAGCAGTGCACGTCTCTGTCAACCTGTCGCTTTATCAGTCCAAATCAAAAGGCCCATTTCCTTTTATTGTATTGATCAATTCGAGCCTTGTTGCAAAGAAGGCCTATTTGAGCCTGGCCTGTTTGTTATACAATATCGGGCTTTCAAAAAGGCCCAAATGTTCTCTTTTAAGTCTCAACTTCCTTCCCTTTTTTTTTTCCCCTTATAAGAACTAACTTTGCTAATTTTATTGTACTAGTATCAATCATATTGATGTTCCAATCAGTGATCAGCTGTAATTTAATTGAGATGTCATGTCGTTCTCTTTCCTTTGAAGCCAGAGAAAAGAAAAAAACACACGCACCTAAATCAACTCACGATAAAAATTTTATTCAGAAGTTGAAAACCGGCAAAAATGTGATCTTTCACAATAATAGATATATATATATATATTTTTTTAGACCGGACACAACAATGGATACCTTTAAAACACCACCAAGATGCCCATGTTTTTCTTCTTTAGGGAATGGCAAATTGGCGATAGTCCAATTTTCCTTTCTTTGAGGCCGCAACGACAAGTCATGGAAGAAGGCAAACCATATCTGTCTTCAATCTTTCCCATCAACATCATACGACAAACTAGAGGATCCAACTCTATACAATCTACTGTCTAGATAGGAAAGCATCAGTCACTTCTACAATGAGGATGGCCGTCCCTGTGGTCCAGAAAGGAAAATAGTGGAGAGCATGGCCTACAGCCTCCTCTCTATGCAGGCCCAAAACTATGAAAATGGGTTAGGTAGGTCGGTGATGTATGGGCTGCTACGTATAGGATTGAAGTACTAAGCTTTAACAAATTTCATTTCCTCAAAAGCAAAACTATAATCATTATGGAACATTTTTCAAACGAAAATTTTAATTCATGAATCTTGTAAATACATGGCATGCTTCTTCTTGTTTTTTTTCCCCCATTGAATGTAATCAACTTACTTAACCCTATCTTTTTAGCAGAAGATTTAATTAATTACAAGTTATATCATGGAAGGTAGTCTAAATTCTATCATAAGTTCTCTTAGATTAAGATTTGTAGGATTCGAATTTTGAGATCATATTTATTGAAAAAATTAAATTTTGTTGCTTCTGATTTGAAAAAAATTAATTTTATTTTTAATATAAGATAAGAATACTAGAGTAAAACCAAAAATATTTTCATTTCTTTCCTTTGTCCAACGTAGAATATAACAATGAACTCTAAGTCTTAACTGCGCAACTACCCTACTGAAATTGCAACCTCTCATTTCTTCATCCCTTTCATGAACTGGTCCATCGAATGTCTTTTCATCTTTCTTCATTGTGTTTCCTTTCCTTCCTCGTTTATTGATAAAAATCTACAGTAGATTCCTTGCTTTTAGATATTCTATCCCTTTAGTAGGGGTGATTCAGGAGCCCTTCAATTTTAATGTATACTTTAGATGAAAGCCTTAGCAAGATATACTCGTAAGAAATGAGGATTTGGTTGAGGATAGAAACGTATCAAAGGTTGAGCTCAAAGAAATTGACTAAGTATACAAAAAGCATTTATGCAGATCATACCTAGCAGCTTCAACAGACTTCACAGCAGGGATTCCTGATAAGGTGATTCACTTCTCTAATTCATATAGGAGGTAGAATCTGGGCCAATTACAAGATGTTAATTCACATGTGACTCTTGTAGATTGCAAAATTTCCAAGTTCAAACCTCCCTTTGAGGAATTGGAGAACATACTCATATAACTAACTAAAAGCATACGTTTTTTATTTACCATCGCCATGTCTCTATGTTTCTTTTGTTTTCCGTTGTCTGATTATGAAAGCACCTACACAAATTACCAAGAAAACCATGCACCATGGTGTGCCACTTGCAACTGCTCAACAATAGCTTGCCATACATGAATTGGACACAGAATCGGGACTCTTGATTCCTGCCCACAACCTTACATCTTGAGTAGTGAAAATCATATATTTTGAGGTAGGGTCAACAGGATTCGATCGGTGATATGTAAGTGCTAAAGTCGGCATGGTTTAGTATGGGAATTGATACTTCTTTAGAAGATCCACTACCATACTTTCGTTTTTTGGACCATCAATATCCAGCCCACATTACCATTTGCATATGCTTCGATTTCATGATGATTTGTGGTGGGACAGCCGGAATCCGACATACAAGGAGTTGAGACTTGAAGAAAAATCTGATTAGGGACGTGAGGAAAGGAGGGGTTGGAAAAGTTTTTCATAGGAGGACAAAAATTAAGCATCTTTCTTCTAGCAGCAAATTAATAGGTCAAGAGAGAAAGGCGAATGGATGGTAGTTGATGTATAGAGAGTTTTAAGTGATGGAGAAAGGTCTTGCAGGATCCTGCGCAGTGTTATTACCAGTATAAGTGGTTGTTTCTTTCATTTTTTGGTCATTTTCATGTCTTCCTTTTGGAAAACTCTAGGGTCTTTATTCTGTTTTATTCCTCCTGATCCTATCCCACCCATTGTGCTTTGTTCTGTCTTTATGAGTGTCTTTTAAGCTTATAAGAAAATGTATTTTAAGTTTATAAGAAAATGTAAGTTCAAAATTATTTAAGAAAACGTATATCCTACTCTGATTTGCATTTGATTATTGAATCATTTAAGATTATCAATACTAAAAAGATCAATAATTGATACCAGGAAATGGAAAAAGATCACTGACGTCCTATGGTAATCTACTTTATGTAGGAACTAATACGATTTCACTTCGAAGATTATCGAAGTAGAACACCATTATTGATTCAAATTCCATTTCTGCTTTGCTCAGTCCATTTCGAGGAACCAACATAATCTATATACTCCAGTTGTTCTCAAAAAATAAAAATATCCTTTTTTTAATTATTTATATTTGTCTCGAAATATTTATTAGGTCAAAATATTAAGTAATATACTTTTATAAAATACTTTTAATTCAGAAAGAAAATCATTTTTTGGGTCTATTTCTTGTTCTTCCTTTACAAAAAAATCAATGTTTTTTATACCTTTTTTTACACATGCAAATACCTTTAACATAAAATTTTCAAAAGAAATTTTGGTTACATAAAAAAATTTTATTCGTTCTCGTAGAAACTTTACTATATGCTGAAATTTTGAAAATAAAATACTTTCGTTAGTATGTTAGTTTTTCAAAATTATTTTAAACTCAATCATTAATTAATATAATTATTTTTTTTAGTTACCATCTTAATTTTAGATATATTTGTTTTATAATTAATATTGATCATGTAATGGAGAATTATATTTAATGACCAATAATTTTAACAAAAAAGGTTTTTTAAGAAAATATGAACAAAAAATATTGATATAATATAACAATTAATAATATTCTTAAATTGTGTGAAAAATCAAAGAAAAATCAAAAGGGACGATATTTTTTAAACAAAAAAAGTATAAATAAGAAAAAAAAATGCAGATGATCATATTAAGAATGTTTATAGGTTCTAATGGAATGGAACATAATTTTATTTATTCAGCATTTTTATGAACGGATAAATTCTCATTTGTTAGCAGGGAATCATACCAATCTTTAAAGTTTTTGACCTTCCTGTGTCCATTAATTCAGTGATCCGGATAGGTTTCCACCACATACTCCATCTCGACCTCTGAATAAAAGTTCCAAATCTCATGAAAGAACTCCTTCTTTTTTTTTTCCTTATGGATGCATTTCTATCGATGGCCTTAGCACCATTC